TAATCTCGACTAATCCAAAATTGTAGCAAGTGAAAAATCATTATAACATGAATCAAAGTTTAACTTAATTGGTTTATATTATCACATTTAAATAGCAGCATTAAATAGATTTATAGATTAAATTTTAATATTAGTAATTTTTTTTTATATCTTCATATTATGATTTTTTTAAAAAAAAATCATATATGTAGCTTGTCGACCTGCCTAATAAATGAACTCAAAGTTATATATTATATGTTAAATTGACATGTTCATTAGTATTTACTAAATTTATCTGTTCTTCAAATTTATTACTATATATGACTAGTGACTTCAGGTTTAGGCTTCAGACCAAATTCCTCCAAAACGTATAGAACTTTTTTTTTTTTTTTTTTCTTTTGTTTTAGTCTTTGAAATTGAATTGGGTAGGAAGAAGTAGCAGGTTTTTGCTCAAGTTTGCCACCACTCCTTCACATGCATGGCGGCTGCTCACCGTCAATCAAGGCTTGGCTGGTTGATTCTAATCCAACTTCATTTTTTCCCTTCTTCTTTGTGCTTGATTCCCGGCATGAATTCACATCAGTTTTTTCTGATAATTGAACTAAAATTAAAGAGTTCTAGAATACTGGAGTTAACAGTTTGGCTACCCCTTCTTAATGTCACATAAAATTTATATATATATATATATATATATATATATATTTCAAATGCCACAATATATTTTGATTAGAAGTTTGACAACTTGGAGCCTGACCCTAGTTTTAACTTTTGCTTCTTTTGACACATAGCACTGCTAGTGCTTAATTAAATAATTGGTAGTACAAAATAGTAGAAGCTTGCCATCTGTATGTTAGTTTGTTTGCTGCAATTTGAAAAGGAAATTCACACTTTATATGAAAGAATTTAAAACCCACTTATTAAAATGTATGTTCTCAGGCTTTCCACAATAAAAAGTGGATAAGGGCAAGATATGATTTGTCAGAAGGTCACATTAAAAGTCACCGTAAACTTTTAGTTGAAAGTGTTGGTAAGAGAGGAAGAAACCATTGCTTTCATGCAGCATTTAGACAGAGATTACAAAGTGGTTCAATTTTCCTTCCCAACCACATGGTTCCACCTTGTCCATCCTTTTCAAAGAAATCAAGCAGAGAAGAGGATCACTTAAAACTTCTGTTTGTCTTTTCAAACCCTTGATGTTTTGACAACTCCAGTGGTGGATTGATGATAAAATGTTGGTGTAACCCTTCATGGTTGATGTTAGGCTAATTAGCTCTAAGCTCTTTGATTTGGACTACGTTCTATTATGGTAACAGAAAACAAACCCTAATTTTTTGCCCAATTGCTCATTGTTTTATACTTTTTTCCCACATGATCATATGGAGAAATGGGTGCTATGGATTCTCAGGAAAGGACAAGTGTTTAAGTACTACATATATCCCATTTGCATTGGTGATGTGAGATAACAAAATTTGATACAGAAAAAACAATTAATGTCCAAAAAGAAATCATTTCTTGTAAAATAGTATAGCCATTACAACTAGATGAAATACCCAATTATTTTCTTCAATAACAAGATGATAATGATGTGTTTGAACAGAACATTAGGCCCAAAAATATAAACACAGAAAAATGTTATACGTCATGGACCACGCATGTGATGGTGTGTTTTAGCTCAAACCATGCAAAATGATTAAGCCAATGCTTGTTTTAACAAGGTTGAGGTGCACATGGGCTTCCATTCAATAAATAAGCTTGCAAATATTATATATATATATATATATATATAGAGAGAGAGAGAGAGAGAGAGAGAAATTGCCTTCACCATATCCATTTAATTAACAGATCAGCCGTCAAAATCATAGCAAGCTAAAATAATCCAAAGTGCTGCTAGCCGGGAAACTTAAAAATATGGCGTAGAAAAAAAAATCAGCTGAAAATACGGAGAGATGAATAATGGGATATTTGATAAAGAATATCTGTTTTCCTCGATCTATGGTATTCTTTTGGTATAAATATGTTGTCCGCACGTAACAAGACCTTGAATCTTGATTATGAACTCAGAAATATGATGCACATGGGAGAAAAGATCTGTTTTTTTTTTAAGGCTTTCTTAATTATTTTATTTTATTAATTTTCCTGGATAAACCTAGGCCTTTGGCATTTTGCATATGAACGATTTCAAACCACCAAAAACTTTCTAACAGGATCCCAGATTCGTACGTAAGGAAAAATTATATATGTTCTCCTCCTGCACATCACACAATATATATTAATATTTGTTTAATCAATCAATGACAATGCAAGGTGGCAGTTGGGTTTCCGTCTGCTCTTTCTATACCTCTCGATTGGAATCATAAATAAAATAGAGTAGTGCAAGTGCAAAGTGCAAAGCGATCCAAATATATGGCCCATAACAAACATGGGCATTTCATCCCAGCACGTAGCTAGGTTTGAAGGAGGTAACGTGCTAGCTCTTGCATTGCATCATGATTTTTCTATCCAAAGGTACATAATAAATAATGTTGAATCAGAACAAGTTATTATACTTTATTCTTTGATTCTTCTGATTCATATAATTCATTATCCTAGACAATTTTTCTTTTTTACATAGTAGGCAGTAGCAAGAGGTCGGGATTCAACAACGGATTTATAAATTTTTTTCGGAAGTGTTTATTTATAATATATATAATTATTGACAATTTTATTAATTTTATGATAGAAAATATGTTTAAGAAAAAATTTTGCATTTTTCAAAATTTTTTTTTTATTATCCAATTTTTGAGAATATCCATAAACATACTACTGTCCCATATGAATCCATCTCTGCTGGGGTTAGTCTTTTTTTTTTTTTTTAATAAGCTTTTCGACTTGTTTGTTCTCACAAAAACTACAATCGAAGGGCACGTCACCAATCATTTGTAAACATTGTCGGATCACAATCTTCTCCAGTTGGGTCAAATACAAATTATTTTTAACTGCTTAAATATAATAAGAAATTAAAAGCCATCCCTAACAATAATTAAAAGCATATTTTTTGCTCATGTCCTAACTTTAAGTACAAACATTTGCTGAATCCATTCTACTTCAGTTGAACCTTGAGCATGTGTTAATCAAAATGGGGTTCCCTCGGTGTTTCGCCATTAGATCATGCGATATCTTACTACTGTTTCTATTTCCATTCTTATTAAAAGTGTGAAATTTCTCTCCATTAAGGGGTCTCTGCCAAGATGATTCACTTTCGCCTGCACAAGCTGCTGTTTTAGTTGGAGCTCAGGCCAACAATGGCTTTGAAGGGAATAAATTTGTGTGACCCCTCCAATTTTTTGGTAGGGAACCAGACCAAGCTCCTCCCCTTAGGCTAGTCAGACGACAGCCCATTTAGCCATGGCCATCCACCTAATTTGGACAAAGTGGGCCTCGTTTGTGCTGCTGGGCCTACTAACTACTCTGGATTCTCAACAAACACTAGCCCCTTTGCGCTGCAGAATTAGTTCTTAGGATTCATATTTCACCGTCTTACAGTGTACAAGTCTAAAGAAACATGACGAAAGGGGACAAAAACAAATGAATCTCCTCATCTAACCTACACCATGACCAGATCAGATCATTGCTCATCTCTTTTTTCATTGATTGGATTGTTAAATAAATTTTTCATGTTATAAGGATCTTCTGGACTTGTGAAATCATGATTAATACTTGCTATTCTTTTAAGTCACCTTATAATCATAACATATGATCAAAGACTTTAGTCTGAAAGTTCAGTATTTGTTGAAAGAATTTTTTTTTTTCTAAAAATACTGAAGAACAATGGAAATATATCATTGATGATTCAAAATGTTAGTTATACGTACTTCATTTTTTCCCCCTGATCTTCCACAACATCTGCAAAAGAATGAATCAGACATGTTGTCTTTTATTGTGAAAACATGTGGAAGAATTAAAAGCAAAAACTACCAATAATTACTCTTAACAAAATTTGCCCATCATTCTCTCTTCATAAATGAAGAGATAGGTCAAGCTTTGATCTTTGTCCTTATGATCAGCACTTCCCATCCCTTGATTGTTATCCTCCGCCATTGCTAGCTGTTGAGTGAAGCCTCCATTGCATCTTATGCTCCTCTGCCAATTCAAGTAACTTTGCTCGTCTTCTTCTAATTGATGATGGTAATATCCATTGCTACTTCTACCTTAAAACACCACATTATTATCAAACCTGGCAGCACCATTCGATCTGAATCCGTCCGATAAACGGTGGTTCGGGAAATAACGGAAGTTGGCAGAATGATCTGTTATATACATTGGAGAGTGTAAAAAAACCAAGCGGTGGCTTGCATGAGCATAAACCAATAGTAATGCCGGAGAAGATGAGAAGCTGCTAGTTGGTCCATACTCCCGTTTAGCCTTTCATGCAGATGTTCTTTCTATCTTGTGAGCATTTTGGTGGCCCCCCAAGGCTTGAGAACTGTAAAACTTTCTTGAACAGAATAAACAAGGGAAAACCCTTGTTGTTCCATCGTCTACATTGGTCTGGGAAACTTTCTCTTGATGATCATCCTCCATGCTTGAGGACAAATTAAGAGTGACTGATAGAAGTCAGTTTGCATGCTGAACAAAATAATAAGACAAAGAAACGAAAATTAAACCTTTGAAAAAGAGACTAAGAAATGGCAGGTGTGGGAGAAGTACAGTTGAAGGAACTGAATTAAGAATGCAAGTGGCATTAGCTTTTGGTGGGTGATCTGATTAAAAAAAAAGAGTAGGGTAAGAGAGTTCAGAAGCCGAGTTCTAAAGAGTTGGAAAACGTGAAGACTCTGAGCATAATAATAATTATTATTATTATTAAATGGAATGCTTGACATATTAGGGGACCGTGTCTGTATGGGCTTGGCAACAGAAGAGATAAGAGAAAAAGAGATAGGTGGGGGAAGTATTATTCTCCAAGACGTTTCTGCGTTTCTGCATGCTGAGGCGAAGTGTGACATTGGCGGGGAGATATGTTTTGTGGGTTGGAAAATGGAATCTTTCTCCTCCCCTCTTTCCCTCTCAACGGCATTTCTCTTTTCTTTTCTTTTTCTTTTTTTTTCTTTTTGTTGGAACGTAAAACTTCATTGTTTTCTCAATTTTCCCGCATTATCAATCAAAAGCCGGCAATTTAATCCCCTCATTAATATTGGGATAATCAGGTTTTCTACTTGCCAAAAAGACATTTTTGGCCGTGTTACTACCAGCCTCTTGGCATTGAAATGAAGGTTAGCTTTGACTTTGTGCTACACTAATCAAGGGCTTTCGTTTCATTATTCAAACTTAGAGACATCCACATGTTGGGGACTGGAGAGAGTTGTTAACGATAGATCAGGAATGAATGGAAGTCAGAGAGAGTGTCAGAGGAAGGGCTGAGCTTGAAAGATCAGGTTTGTGATCTTCAATGGCGAATGCGGAAGGATTGGGTGGCTCAAAAGGTAAAGTCATTCCCCACTTGATCTAGAATTCAGTGGTGGCTGCCTTAAATATCATTCAACGTCCCTTCCCTCTCTCTCTCAGCATGCAAATTGGCTCTTGTGCTGCATTCCTCTGCCCTCTCAAAGATTTTGATATGGGGTGCTGCGTTCTCCATCGCCAATCCCATGCAATTTGTCACTTTTCATCCATTCCTTGCCCTCGCATTTTCTGAACCTAATGTATTCTCTTCAACTCGTCTTGATTCCCATGTTTCCCCCACACGCGGTATCCATCAATCTTTGTTTTTTTGGCAATATACTGAAACTCAACTAAGAAAATATATAGAAATGCTTGATCTGGAAGTGAAAAACCGAATTACTAATCAGACATCTCCCCCCTGTACAACGTACAAAAGCGATCAATTATGGCACGTAATAACAAATGGAATCAACTGTGGCTGTAATAGCATTTTAACCTCGATTCAAATCTTTTGGTAAAACTGTGATCTGCATGATCGCCACCCAAGATTTGATTTCACTTCTTATCACACTATCTTTAAATTGTAAAAGCAAGATGACAAAAGTATAATAAATGCAACGGTTCCTGGAATGAAAGACTCAAATCTAGCATAGATTGGTAACTCAAAAGATTTTAAAAAATGGGCCATTCTACCTTCGAGATGAATGAAAATTCGCATTTTTACACCATGTTTCTCGGCTGTAAAAATAATTACATTTCTGGAAACAGGGATGTGGAAATTCGTAAAGAGGGATGAAATTTTCGTGTTTTCATTCATTTCTGAAAGCACCATGGAGAACACTGAAAACACACAACTAAACAACTTACAAGGAGAAACAAACATCCATGCGAGATTCACGAACAACCAAAACATCTAGCAATGGAGAATAGACTGGGTGGCTCTGGTGATAGCTCTGGCTCAGGCTTCTTGCGAGGAAGATGCCTAAAAAATGCTTTTACTGCTCCCGTAACCCCATCCTCCTTCTCCATTGCCTTGGCAAGTTCAATGGCTCTCTCTTTCACCTGACATATGTCATGTTCATGGGTTAGTTAATGGGAAATTTTCCAATATCCTCATGCAGTCATCATATTACAAGTTCAGCCAAATTTATGCTTTCAACAATTTTTTTTTTTTTTTAATTTTACTTAAGATCATCATAATAGAAACTAGACGATAAATCAGCATCCCAGCCGTTAGAGTCTGGTAAATTTGAAGGTCTCAAGTTCAAACTTGGAGAAAAGAGAGGTACTTATGAAGAGAGAGAGAGAGGTACAGCTCTGTGTTACTCAAACCCAAATGAGTTCCCACATGCACCAAACCCGCCCCCCCCCCCTCAAAAAAAAAAAAGCGACCAACAAATAGCCGCTTGAGAAAAATCCCCAAGATCAAGCTCTCTTGGAATATCCAAAAGAAAATAAAGGGAGCAAGCCTAAATGGCTAAATCTAAAATGCCTAACCGAATATAAGTTTAACAACTAAATCTGGCATCTCAAATTCATAATTACCTTTGCATCTAGCATGAAGTTTATTGCATTAACCAACTTGGGAAGTGAGAATTCATCAACTGGGATGGGTGGAGGACCCACTCCTCTGGCGTGTACTCGCTCTCCCCAGAAAGGTTGATCACCAAAGAATGGTACAATTGTTGTTGGGCACTAAAATTGAGGACAAAAAATGTGGATCAAAAGGCAGATGGACAAAAAAAAAATTGAATCCAAAAGCACCAAATTATTATGCAGGCAAAACAATGTAAGCACCTAGTCATGGAACTAGAAGCACGAAAATAACAGCAAGGATCAAAATATTTGTTCTTACCGCTGCTTTAAGACCAGCAGCTGTTGTTCCAGCACCTCCATGATGAACCTAAAAACAAGGCAAAAAAAAGATCTTGTCATTCATAAACAAATTGGAGAGGAAGGGCTCGAGAGAAACTACTCTGGGGAGGCCAAAGGAGAGTAATATCAGAAAATTTTAAGAGATCTAAAAGATAACAATTCGAAAGTTAACTGGCATGATCAAATATTTGCACGTCCTCTATCTCATGAGCATGTAATATTGCTGGATGCATGCCTATCACTAGCTGCAACTTAATTTATTTATGCTTGAGTAATTTAGTTTTTATATTATGTGCTATGAGGACACTGGGCTTGTGCTTGAATCTTTTATCCTGACTTCCCCTAGTCATTTATGCCAACCTTCTCTGGCATACCATCATTGTATTGATCATACAGCACACATTAGATCTGCAACAATATATTTGATTTCCAAGACCCTCAATATTTCACTTTTTTTCATTTCAAACAAAGGCCACATATAGATTGAAATATCTAAAAATGTCTACTATCGACAGCATATTGATATAAAGTACATAAAAAAAATATTATCAAACAAAGAAAACTGCATTGATCTGACCTCACTGAGAATCCCTAATCTTTGCACTCGTTTCTTCTAAGATTAAAAAAATAGTTGCATCAGATGGTGTCCATACTTTATTTAAGATAAAACATTGGGATCTCCTTGCAAATAGAGTAATAATCTCATCAAAGAATGCTATCACAAAAGAAAAAAAAAAAACACAGTTTTCCAAAAATTAATGATAATCATGTTATTATGGGCAGAAACAAAGTGATAATGGTATTAAAATATTTAGCAACATTTTCCCTTTTTTCCAAGATGAGGGGGGAGGGGATTTGCAAATTTGAAACCTTCAATGTGGAACTTGTAAGACCATAACAGAGCATGATTCAGAACACTAAACTAGGACAAGAGTACAGGACCAAGAAAACATTATTCCCCTACAGTAGCTCTCAAAGAAACTTTGAACCATAAGTAATTGACCCAGTATTAAAAGCCCATTCCCAAAGAAAATAGATCAGGCCACGACTTATGACCACTACATAGTTATTCAATTAATTTATAAAAAAGCAAAACAGATGTAATGAAAAAGAATCCTCAGAAACGCACTGCTCTTGTAATTTATAAACTCACCACAGCCTTGCATTGCAAGAATAGCCAATCATGAGGGACATTGTCCAATAAGTAAACATAGTCCTTGGGTTCTGCCACTGATAATAAATTAAAAAATAGCTAAGAAAATATGCACACAAGTGCTAGGTTAATAAGGAAACATTTAAAGATCCAAAAGTAGGAAGAAAAAGAACTCACAGTTACCAAGGCCACCCCAGCCTTTATTGATGATACCTCTCTGTCCCGTTTGTTCCAGTGCATCCACAATTATTTGGGTCATTTTTTCCGGTTCTTGAACCGGCTATAACATGAGAAAAGGAACAGTTCAAAAGATCATAAAATTTGAAGAAAATAAAAGGCAGCCATATTCCATTAAAAAAAAGCTATATCATGACATGTGAGAACAATATCTCATGGCATACTTGACTGTGATATCCATAAACTTTATTAAGGATACAATCAGTCTATTTTTATAGTGATCAATGAGATTGAGGGAAAAAAATGTAGTCATTTATTGCACTCATCAGACTTGGCTTTATATTAGCAACACAAATAACTCATATAAAATTTGCAAGAAAACAACCTTATAAAATCATATGCTTAACAGAACAGACAAAACTTAAATTCCTTTGGAACACCAACAAAGTGTTCTCTAAATTCTGTTGCACTCTTCTATTTCAAACCTGGTATTCTTGTGCTTTGTACGGTGCTCCATTAAAGTAGCATAAAGTGATAACACAAAATAGCAACCAAATAATAGTAGAATCATTATAGATAATAAACAAATAACTTCAAGCAAATGCACTACAGACAGTGACTAATGAACAAAACGTCGTGCCAAGAAATTTTACCATGCCCCTCATAGAAGAACTACTTACAAAGATAAATACAAGGTAGTCATTAAACATTTAGGGCTCACAACCTTGCAGCTTATAATAATTGTCAGTAAATAAAGAAGCAGTGGAATTTCTGGTTACAACATTTTAGCCATTGATACCTTTCAGTATAGAGGTCATGATTTAAAATTCTACTGTTATTTATCAATTTCAGCATCTTCCTTAACTAACATACTTGCAGATGTCTGGAACAATACAGTTTAGAAAACCTCAGCACAAGAAATTAAAGAGAAGAATCTTTCCCTATTTAGAAGAAACAAAAAGAAAAGCTTGAAATCTAAAAAGAAAACTTGCAGGAAATGACCAAGCACAGCTAGACTCAAGGTTGATAATTTCAAGAGAAGTTTTTTTTAAGCAAAAAATTTGCTTAATAACTCAATCAACATTGAAATCCAAGTCCCCAGCTCTGATTAAAAAGGTTGTAAGGCAAAACTAACAACCAAGGCCACTATTAAGGCTTGAGGGCCAGGGCCTCCAAAAAACAAGGGTTTCAATTTACTGTAAAAATAAAAAAGAGGAAGAAACGAAATATCCTCAAGAAGGAAAACCAGCATTTTACTGACAACCATTCTGCTGTATACTTTAAAATAATTTGAGAATTATATTAAAACATGAAAACTCTACATTGAATTTCACAATACAAAGAAAAAGTTAAAATCTTCATGTAAGCACCGCTAGAAATATCTAATACTTAATATGGGATTAATATGAGTTAATGACACAAGAAAACAAACTAATAGGGGATTAATATGAATCAATGACATAAGAAAACAAACTCAAAAACTATAGAAAAATATAGTAAATGATAATGAGAAAAAAAAACAAACTCACAAGGCTACCAAATCCAATATAAATAGGCTTTGGACCAGCTTCAAGCCACTTTACGAGCAATTCAGGAGGTTCATAATTTGTTGCAAGATCAAGAAAGCAAAACCCTATCACGTCAATCTTAGGTCCCCAATCTGAAGGAGAAAAGTAAAAGTGTCATCCTTCCATTTGAGAAATTCTTGCCAGCATGTCAAGTCATTATAAAATATGTTGTTCAAAGAAATATCCTCATGCTTTGTTACATAAGCAGGAGAGAATGCTGAAAAAAAAGTAAAATATATAAAATATAAACTCCTAGCTTAAAAAAATTTCCACAGATATATCTGTTTAAATTTTACACTTTTCAATTAGATATTAAGCCAACCACCTTTAGGTTTAGGAACAAGGTGAGGACTCCATATATATCCATGAGGCACATCAGAATCAGAGCCTTGGGAACCACTCAAATATGTGACTGGTCGTAGCTTCAGCTTTTTCTTTCTAACATCATTTATCATGTCCCGTATCCCAAGCCAAATCATTGAGTCAACAATTTGATAAGAAAGCTGCAGCAAACACAAACAAACAAGATGAGAAAAGTAGAAAAAAAACACATAAAACAATAAATATGAATATCAGTGCTCACTCGATATCCAGCTGGTTGCTTCACACGGGACAAAGGATGTGGAAACTCACTTGTTGGCCTGGAGGAAACAATAATGGATTGTGCAAAGCAGTCTAAGATTGCCCGTTAAACCATGTAATAGAACAATAGACTGATACAAAACAAGAAATAACAAGCTTGTAAACTGCTAGCTTCAGAGATGTTAAAGCAACATCCAACTCAGCTATAGATAACATTACTCAGACAAGACTTACGTCCATGGCATCGTGAAAAATATATGAAGTGGTATTTTTAGCGCCTCTGCCACATGTGTATGCCCTAAAAAGCATTGCCAAAGTTTCTATTAGAATATTGAAGCAGTAAATACAAACATGAATAAAATACTTCTATTCCAGAAACAACAAATCATAGTGGACAACAGAAATCACATGACATTTTCTCACCAAACTCAGTCTCTCAAATAGAGAAAAATAAAACAAATTCAGCACTGAAAGATTTACCATCCTTCATATTGTTAAAGCAATAAATATAACAGGAGAAGCCCACCCTAGAGCCCGCAGAGAAGTGCCATGACATTCATTAACACGACAAGGCCCATCTTTTATCTACTATATTTGGATGCAAATAATCATCCCTTCATGCCTAGATTTATAGAGATAAAGTTTAAACTGGAACTCACTGATACAAAAACTAGCAAATGCTACAAAATGTCAAATCATCTGGCAAGCCAAGAAATTGACTTCCTATCCCATTACTTGCCCATTCCAACAAAGACAGTGGGAGGGGAAAGGGGAAAATAATCATACACATAGTTAAGACTCCATCAAGATGGCAAAACAAAGTTTCTAGTAGGAACTTATGTAAACCATTCTAGCCTTTTACAGTTTATAGTTTTTAAATGGAGATAAATGCTCTGTAAGCACTACCAATAATTCATAAAACATCACAACTATGCTTAGGCCCTTTACAGCACATATTTTGTGGTGAAGTTGTCTGACAACAGGGTGGCCACATTATAGTTATGATTTCGTCAAACTTTCATTACATCAAACTCTGACACTCGAGGCTAAAAACAGAGTGCTAAAAAGAGTAAATCTAATATATTTTCTTCGATACTGCTGAAATTCCTTTATCTATGCATGAGAAATAAATACAAAGACCAAAGATCCATACTAAGTTGAAAATGAAACACCAAAATAACCACAATATTTCCCTTATTGTAAACCATTCTAGCCTTTTACAGTTTATAGTTTTTAAATGGAGATAAATGCTCTGTAAGCACTACCAATAATTCATAAAACATCACAACTATGCTTAGGCCCTTTACAGCACATATTTTGTGGTGAAGTTGTCTGACAACAGGGTGGCCACATTATAGTTATGATTTCGTCAAACTTTCATTACATCAAACTCTGACACTCGAGGCTAAAAGCAGAGTGCTAAAAAGAGTAAATCTAATATATTTTCTTCAATACTGCTGAAATTCCTTTATCTATGCATGAGAAATAAATACAAAGACCAAAGATCCATACTAAGTTGAAAATGAAACACCAAAATAACCACAATATTTCACTTATACAGACCCATAAATGCATACTCAAACATGTGTATACATCCATACACGTGTAAATAACACCACTACAGGTTGAAAAGTAATGAAAGCTAACCGTATGCTGGAGGATTTGCAATGATTGCATCTGCCCTAAAAGGGATACCAGAATCAGGATCAGGTTCTTTGCAAGCAGGAAGCAGAGAGTGGATAATTTCCTTTATTTGATTTCGTTGAATTGGTATCTCAGAAGGGCCTGATGGCAAGAAGCCTTTATTTTTAACCATATCTGCTCGGGAAAAAATTCAATAGAAAGGAAATCATTAAGAAGTCCTGCTGGAAATCTAAATTTTGACAAGTAATCGCATTCAATTTTAATTCACGTATGACTTTGGCCATACTGAACATTCAACTTAACACCTACATATTCTAAATGAAGCTGTGTTATAGACAAACTTAAAAATTACAACAAGGGTTCAGTGCTGCACATATGCATCAAAAACATCTTGCAATTACATGTATGTTAAATGCTCCGCATGATACTAATTTGAATTACATATAGGAACCAACTCAAAATAATGTTATCAGAATCCCAGTAAGGTTAAACCAGAAAATCATAAAATAATGTGTTAGGTACATACAACCAGCAAGAACTTTTGGATCTCCACCTAATGGATAGAACTCAAGCCCAGCAGTCAGCACAAACTCTTTGAAATTTGAATGAGTTGCCAATCTTACACGATGGCCATAATCCTGCATGCAAAACATCCTCTCCCATGGTAACATTTCAAACAACCAACAAAAAGGATTGAACTTAATTGTTTTACATTTTTTCTTTTCGTTTCAAAGCAGTGAGCACAAACTTTTTAGCAAACAGCAGTACGTATGTAGTTGCCAATATGAGAGGTTTCAAAAAGAACATATGCCTATTAGACAAAATAATAAACTGTTACTGCTTAAAAAACATCTTTTGCACTTATACACCAAAAAAAAGGTTTCAAAATCTTAAAACTCTTATTTTCTAAATGTAAAAAATAAAATTAATGCAAGGCAATGAATTAAGACAGTGGCAAACAAAGAAATTCAGCACAACCTAGTATAGATTGAATGAGCAACAATATTGATCAGTAAAGTCAATCAATTTTTTAATCCTCATCAACAGCAAACTACCCTAAATCATCATCACACAAGTCAAACACTTCCAGAGTCTATAAGCAAACTGCTCATAACAGAGCTTCCTTCTACGTTATTGTTTTTTATCTAGTTTACCCTAGTTGATGTGTGGAGCAAGAAGCATTCCCTGGCTCAATCTTCAATATAAAGAATTTTATTTTAATATTATATTATATATATTTATATATATATATATATAGAGAGAGAGAGAGAGAAATAATAAAACAAACAAGAGTAATAATTCAATCTTCAACTTTCAATTGGAATTGCTCCATTTTTCTAAATACATACATGTTACCAGAAAGCCCAGATGAGGTTACAACAAATTTAAAGGCTTTAAACATACCGCAAGAGTTATTCACACCAAATAGCAAAAATGAAAAGGGGCTAATAAAAACAAAATACTTTCCCAACCTGGAGACGTTTGCCAATCGCAATAAATGGCTGCACATCTCCACGTGTGCCAACTATAAGCATCACTATTTGCAGTGGTGGAATATACTGAATGTCTGTTTCAAGTGACTCTTCTTCAGCTACTTCAGCATATGCACCTCTTGGCCCATCACCAAGAGCATGGGGCTCAACATCTCCTGGAACTTCAAACTCCACAGTTCCATCATCTTTCACAGTAGCTATTCTGTTCAACAATTTAAGCTGCACAGATTTAAAAGATTTAATAACATTGCCAGGTACACATGTCTCGAAGATCAAACTGTCACAACATCCAAGAAAACCACCCATCAAGGCAATCCATAACAATAATCACTGAAATACAAATGATGATGAAAATAACAACAATTTCAACAATATCAAGAAGACAGAGCAGCCCCAATAAGAATTTGGCCCTCCCATGGCAAATGAAGAGATTATTAAGCTACAGCATTTAGATAGATCTTACAGTGTGCTTGCATCTATGCTAAATGCTAATACTCTTAGCCTTAAGAAGAGTCCAGGAAAAAGAAAAGAGGACTCCTGAAAAACCTTAAACAAACATCTTAAAATTAATAATAGTAGTACTTTAAAACCGCTCAAGCATATCTATCTACGTAAAACAAAAAGGAATTAAAAATTCCTTAACTACTCTGCCATCTCCTATGAATTTTGTCTTGTCACCATCCACTATCCCATCAATTTCCATAAATTTCTTTCTTATGTCCTACCACATGGACACACTGCCATCTCAAATTGTTAAGAGTGCATAAATGCTATTATTGAATTTATTACAAATTTAGTACATTTACCAACATGTCCATAATTTCAAACAATCAATGACAAAAACATTTTGTTCTTATTAAGCAGGAATTTAGCTAACATAATATACAATATACTTAGATGTGTAAAGAAAACAACATAAATTACTGCTAAATTCATAAATACCCCTCAAGTATGAAGCACAGATGTGGACATTACCAGTTCACATGATAACATAGACACTATAACACAAAAGTTCTCAAAAATTTAGGATGCAAGCACAAGGTAGGAGGGTTGTGTGCATTAAAAAAATTTAAAAACCATTATTCTTGTCATAGACATGAATGATGAAATTCTTCAAACCAACCAGCAGCTTGCTTGACGTAGCCCAATTTTAAAACCTACCATATAAAGTCATCTTTTTCTCCTCCTCCTTCAAAGATGCAGCCCACTTTTTGTAGATGATAGAAAGTGACGAGCACACCATCACATCATTTTCAATTTGTCTCTACTTTCTCCCTTTTCATCTCTAATCCAATATAAATAGGAGCCACCAAAGGCCAAACTAAATCGTGGTTTAGCTGCTATTGATAAGGATGGCAAATTTCTCTCTTCTTGTGTAACAGGGTATCGCTTCTTTTTGATAAATGATCGAACTGTTTCCAAAACCCCATCACCATATCCTTCCCATGACTATCTGGAGTTTGAATTTTTTTTTTTTTTTAAATTTCCAGCATATTTAGCAGTATATGTCACACATTCATAGTTACAAGAACAACATGACATACAGGAGGGAAACCATATCCACGCTTCAAAATCCTTAATAAATCATCCATCTAGAAGAAAAGGGTTTAATCATTCCTCTTTAACCATTAGCTATTTAATTCTTCTACCAGGAACTTATATGCATTTTGGTATTTAAAAGTTCTTACCATAGAATTATCTAACTGAGACAAAATTAATTCAACCAGTATCAAGCAATCATTCTCCGAAAACATCTAAAACTAAAATAACAATCATGGGGAAGAGAGTAAATTGTTGTTTTACAAATATAAATTGAGACAAAGGGGAGTGGTAAAAGTGATACATCCAGAAAAATTAATACCTTCTTTTGAGCAGATATCTTACTGTCAAAAATCTGCGCTGCTTCTTCAGCAAGTATGTTTCGATGTCTTTGTGTCTCAGTTTTTGATTTTTCCAATTTACCCTGGCTTGAATCCAATTTTTCAACGTTTGAAGTGCCCACAGGCAATGTTCCAACCTCAGAAAAAATTCCACGAAAGGTACCTGAATGTAGTAAGAAATATAACAAATTTAAGCCCGTACTTAACAACATATCATAAAATTTAAGCATAGTTATTGATTATTCCTCTGGAAGCTTAAAAGTAGGACTATGGCCCCGTGATGGAAATAGCAAACTTTTTCCAACTATAGGCCTTTGTCTCTTTGCATACTATTATATCCAAATGCGAAAAGAAGAAGAAGAAGAAGTAGAAAAAGAAGAAAAAAAAAAGAAATGCATTCGTGACATTTCTGCCAACTTCAAATAGTCCTCCAGAATGTGCAAAACAAGCCAATTCTTAGATCTTTTCTAATATGAGATTCAGAACATAGAAACTATATTAGCATCGTGCCATCATCCAGTTTTAAAGTATTAAGTATCATATCCAGAAACTTCAGCACATTAACAAAACGCCTGGGTATGCAATTCCAATAATCCTCCAGAATGAGCAAAAAAAAAAAAAAAAAACCAGCTCTTTAATATCTTCTCATGTAAAATTCAGAAAATAGCAACTTGATTAGCATCATCCGGTTTTTAAAATAACAAGTATCATAAACAGAAAAGCGTGGTAGGGAGCATTGGTAAATGTAGCACAAAGTGATGCATTTACAGTTCATTTAGTGGGAGGAGAAAAGGAAAGAAATAAGGATAGAAGATAAAGGGGGATACCATTTATTAGTTAAATTTGGAGAAAATAAGAAGGGGATGAAAAGGGAGGGTTGTTCTTCATTCAATGACTAGAACATCCAATTCTTACACGATTAGGAGGAATGAAAGACAAATTTCCACTCATTAAAATGAGTTATTCTACTTGAAATTCTATCCCCAATCCCTCCCTTTCCTTCTATTTTCTTTCCAACAAACCGCACAAAATGTTGAAAGCATACATTTTCTTCCTCTCATTCCTAGTTCCCTCTTCCTTTCCACTTTTCTTTCTCTCCCTTTACTTCTCTCCCACCAAACATACCATCAATGTCCTTCCTACATGCATATCCATGATTTTTTTTCTAAACAAAACTTACTATCATTTGCCTTACAAAAGCAGTATCCAACAGAAACGCTCTAATGCCAAAACTTTATCCACTAAAGACACCTAAAATAAACTCCCAAACTTTAAATCCTTTAAATGCGTAAGCCAGTGCTGGACTGTTATTGCAGATAGTAAAGAAATACTACCAACCATTAAATAGCAAATTACACTATCAAATTTAACAACAAATGAATAACAATGGACGGGTAATATGCAACTAGAATTACCAAACATACAAAATTCAAATATAAAAGAAAATAAGAAATGGCGGAAGTCAAAATTAGGTCTAAATTTCAGTCAAACTTGACTAAGCTACTCATAGGCAAAATCCACAAAGAAACTGTGAAACAAAACGTTCGAATTTTGAATTCTATTACTAAAACGGAGCGAAGTACATGAGGAAACTCCACGCACCTGAAGACTCGGCACCAACGTTATTCAGTGCACTGAGATCAACTCCAACGCGAGAATCATCGCCACTGGCGGCTTCCCGTGAGTCTCTGATATTATCCGTTTCTTTAGCACCGATGCATATTTCTTGCTCGCTTTTCACCGGAACTTCTACGGAAGAAGAAGATGAGGAGGAGGAGGACGAGGAGCAGGAGTTCCCGCGATGCTCTGGCGATGCCGCCATCACCGACTCCGGAGAGATCCCTCAATCGACGCGGCGAACTCCCTGTTCGTTCTCCGGATCTGCTCAAATTTTACGAACAAAGCGTTTCTCGTGATCTGATAAACGTTTGGATGCCGGGAATCTTTTTCTCTGAAAAAAGATGGATACCCCGGGAGAGAGAAAAACAAGATAGAGAAAGACGGAGAGAGAGACACCACGTTCGAAAGCGTGGGGGATGGGTCTGTGAAACGTGAATATTTGGTAGCGGGGGATTCCTGATCAGACGACACGTAAGCAACCCAGATTTGAGGTTAATGAATTTTGTTAAGTTAAAGCAAAGTTTGTTGTCACAAAAAGGAAAAGTTTAAAATAAAAGAGATGAAAGGATGAAATTCTGGCAAGAATGTATGTTGTGTTTTGCATGCTTTTTTTTTTTTATGTAATTGGTAATTTTTTTTCATCATTCGTAAAAATGCAAATCTAATATATACATATATATATATTATATAATAACATACATAAATTTATCACATAAGCATTTACATGAACAACTTTGTTAAATGACACATAAAATAATTTTTAAAATGAATAAAATAATTTTTTAATTACAAATTATATGATTTTAAATTTATTCAAATATCAAAATTATTCAAATTATAATTAAAAATTAAATCAATTTAGACATATTTTTTAAAATTAAAAATATGAAATATAGATTTTATTTTTTGAATAAATAATTTTAATTGTTTACCAAATAATCTTATTTAAAATTTATTTTATTATCAAAATCTTTCAAACATGTTTAAAAATTATAAATCTTTCAATAATTTTTCTTATCTTGATTTAAAAGATTATATTTTTTAAAAATTTACATAAGACATAACAAATTAAAGTAACTTTATGTAATATTTTGAAATTTCAAAAAATTTCTTCTTAAATTTTTAAATAATAAGATTATCAAAACAGTTATATCATTTAAACTCTAATTATCAAATTTAAATTTCAAGTAAATGCAAAAAAATTTAATATTATCTTTTTCACTTATTATATCTATTTTAAATTTTAAAAAATTAATTTAAAAATTATCTATTTAATTCTAATTACTACTAAAAAAATTTTCTACAAATTTAAAACTACAAATATAATGTGTTATACATCAATTTTTTTTTTTTTAGCAACCTTTTTTCAAGATATATTATGTTACTATTGCAATTTGTTCTTTTATTTGTTTATAAGTTTTTTTCTAAGTTATATTTTATTGTTATTACAATTTCATTCTTGTGAAAAATAATATTTTTAATTTATTTTGTTCACATATTTTCTAATATTTTTCATACTTTGCATAATAATTTAGTCAATATTACTAAACTTAAAGTATGTTAATACTTATTTTATTATTTAATTTATCATTTGATAATATTTATTTTTATTTTTTAAAAAAAAGCATAATTTATTTTTATTTGATATAATCTTATAGGTGTATAAATATTATTGTAAACAGAAATATTCAAAGGAAATATAATTGTTTACAAAAAAATTATTTGAAAAGAAACTAATTTGTATATATATATATATATATATATATATATATTCATATTAAATAAGTAAAATTATTTTATGCATTGTACGAGTTATAGTTTAATTATATATTTTTTTAACGAATTTTTAAAAATTCAATTGTTATATGTCATTCAATAATTTTTAACATACATTATTTTCAAAATAAAATAATCAATATGGTACATTTTTTATAATTTTAATATCATTTTCAAGATTATTACAGTAACTTAATAATTAAGGTGATTTTATTATTAAAATGATCTTATTTTTCGTGATCTATAATTACTTTATTTGATTAAGAATTATTAATTCTTAATAACTAAAAATTTTTGTGTTTGATATTATTAAAAATCAAATATTATTTTGTTTGAAAGTACAAAAATAATTATGTATATTATAATAGTTACACAAATTAATGATTTTTAATGTTATTTAAAAATAATAATTTGTATATAAAAATATTAGTAATATTTTATTTACTTCATAATAAATATTATTAAATTATTAAATTAAAAATATGTTTATTGATAGTAAACTAATTTTTATATTATAAATTATGTAAAAATATTTAAATTAGGAAATAAAACTAGTATATTAAAATCAAAAGATTATATTACAAATAAATTTTTAAAATTTTTTAAAAAATCACATAAAATATTTTGAACTTGTTACAATGAATATTAGTTTGAAAATAAAAATATTATAATATAAAATAATAATAATTAATTTGACATATCACTTTATCTCGATGATAAAATTTTTTTATTTTTTTGAAAAAAAAATTAGATCATTGTTCAAAATAATAATCTAATCACTATTAATAATTCAAAATCATCACCACATAAAATCATTAAGTGCTTATTAAATATGTATAAATCAACATAATTTTTTTAATAATTACTCCATACCAAATGTTACCTTTGAAAATTAAAAATCAATAAATTACGTTTTGAAAGTTAAAAATTAAAATAATATTCAGTTTACCCTTCTTTAGTAGCTGCACTGCAGTGCTTTAGCAGGCCTGATCTCAGTAGCCATTCTACGATGGGTCGAATCCTTTTGTTGTAGGCTGTAGAATGTTAACATCTCCTGATTTGCAGGCCTCATAAACAGATAATGAAGCGGAAATTTTAGCAAGTTGGCTTTGGCCCAATTAGTAATCATTTTTCTTTTTTCTTTTTATTTAAATTCAAATGCAGTGTCGGCTTCTATTAGAATCAACATGCCCATTTGATGCTAATTCAGCATTTGCCTCGAATCATAAACATTTTCACTAAAAATAATAGTTCTTGAAATTTTGAATTATCATGTATAAATTTAATTAAAATTTTTTATTGAATTTATCAATTATGTATTGATTTATTTATTTGAATATTTTTTATATAATAATTAAATATGATTATAATTTATCTTGTAATAATAACTTTAAAAAAAAAAATCAGAGGGGTTTTGATGGGTTTGCTTGCAAAATTTTATTAAAAACAGAAAAAAAAAACTCATTAGCTAAGGATAATACTTATTGAGAACGTGTAAGCATGTAATGATTTTAATACTACTAGCAATATTTAAATTTCACAAATCTAGACCTCAACACCTATATTCCTATAGTTAATGCTACTTACAATTTATTCCAATAAAAAATCAATTTCAAATTATCATAAAATAATAATTCACTATTATTAACAGAAATAAGAATGTTTTAGTTTGTTAAATAAATGAAACATTAATAAACAAAAATTAATAATAGGAATATAACATAATACTTTTTGAATAATTGAAAATATAATAATAATTTTTATTATAAATTATAATTTTATATAATTTTAAAATTTTGAAAGAATATAAATATGTTGTCAATCAATTAATTCTTTATTAAAAAATTCAAATCAAAATCTTAAATTGAGGTAAGCATTTATATACTTACCATTAAAGAAAATTTTAAAATATTTTAATAAATAAAATTTAGATTTTTATTTATTTTAAAGGCTGATAAAAATATATTTTTTCTTGCTCTTCTTGTAATTCTCCACAACATAGCAAAGATTAAAAGGTAATCAATCCACAAATAAAATTGTATTGGCAGGCATGGAACCACATATTTTAAATTCAAAATTTTTATTAATTCCCTACTTTTTTTTTTTTTTTTGTGTTTGCTTTTGATTGAAAAGTAATGAAATCTACATATGCAAGAAATTAACTGCAGACAAACGATACAATTCTTGTTTGATTAGGTGTGCCTTTAAAGTGTTAGTTTTCTTTTGGGGTTAAAATAAAATTTATCATGTTTTAATATTGAATTTTATCCTTATTATTTTAATTTAATTGAATTTTGTCAAAATTCATTTTAATATTGACAAAATATTGAATTTAAATAATATAGTGACAATTTTTTTTTGTTTTAAAAATGTTTATAGAGATTGTCATGAGATTCAAATATTAACCAATAAAAAATTGATTATATTCTAATTAAGTAAATTAATTAAAACTATTCCTGAATTCGATCAAATCTGATTCAATTTTTAAAAACTATCTAAAAATTAATTTCAATTTTTAAATAGGCTAGATAGTAATTAAAAATTTAAAATATTTTAAAATATATTAACATTTTAATTTTAAATTTAAAGTTAAATAAAAATAAATTATTTAATAATAAATATATATTTATGTACTGGATTGAACCGGATCCAAACTTAAAAATTCGTTGTTTGTTTTTTCCAGATCCCACTTTAGACATATATAATAGTAGCCAATTGTTGGGGTGTATAAATGGGTAAAGTATGGACATGGTAAATAGAGATGTCAATTTTATTCATATTTAATTAGGAATTTGATTTTTTATCTGAATGGGAATGAAGATGGAGATGAGCATTATATTATTGGCATGGGAATAAGGATGGAGATGATTTTAAATTTTTATACGAAGATAGGGACGGGTATTATAGTATCTATTCCATACTTATACCCTACATATATATATTTAATAAATAATTTTTTTATTAAATAACATAAATTATTATTTTAAATTAATTAAAATTAATATATTTTTATTAAAAAATACTAATATATATTTATAAAAAATTACCTAAATATATAAGATAAAAATAAAAAAATAAATTTTTTAGTTTTTATTTTTTTCAAAGCTATGGGTATGGAGAATTCTCATAACTATTTAATACCTGTGAAAATAGGAATAAAGATTAATTAAAAATATCTATAAAGTATGAGTATGAAGATTTGTATAATATAAAAATTTAGGTATAAGGATAGAAAAATGTACTACTTTACCCATTTCTTACCTATTTATATCCCTAAAGGTAAAGCATTCCCCATATCCAGCCCCAAAATTTTATATTATACATATCTCTATATTCATAGCCAATAAGTATTTTAAATTTATTCATATCTCCATCCTCACAGGTATTTAATGGGAATGAATAATCCCCATACTCATCATTTAAAAAAAACTAAAAACTAAAATTTTTTTAACTTATTTTATGTTATTTTTATCTTATATATTTGGTAAATTTTTATAAATATATATTAATATATTTTTCAATAAAATATATATTAGTTTTAATTAATCTAAAAATAATAATTTATATTATTTAATAAAAAAATTATATACTAAATATTTATAAATATATATGTAGGGTACAAATACAGAGCGTATGCTATATTACCTATTCTCATCTCCGTATTTAATAAAAATTTAAAATTATACTTATTTTCATCCACATACCAACAATATAATACTCATTCTATATTCATTTAGATAAAAAATCAAAAATTTTTTTATTAAGTATGAGTAAAATTGACATTCTTAATCAATTGAAAAAATAATGTGATTTTTGTGGGTCAAGCAATAAAACTAGCAAAATTTTAGAGGATGATATCAAAAAGGTTTTATGAGGATGTGGACAAGGCAACCAGATCTGAAGTCGAAAAAAAAGAATAGGGCTTATATAAAGACTATAGGAAGAGGTTGGTGTTGAGTTAACTGACATTAAAATTTTGTGCTGCAACGACAATCCATGGCTCAAACTTGATATTGATTATTTTTTTTGGGCCTAGGTTTTTGTCACCTGTATGAATCAACAATGGCCAAAATTAATCATACATCGTATGTCACAAATTGCGAGTTCCTTAAACTAAAACCACACTTCCGTGTAACACAATGACTACTCATAGTCAAGGTTAGCCTTTCACGAGTGCATTTTACTATAGACAGCTCAATATTGATTATTTAAGATTCATACTCTTCAGCTTTTTTTGGCTCTAACCTCGTAAGGTCACAACTTCCCAAACTCAATAGAATGTAACCTAACTTTCGTCAACTCATCAGTCTATGATTCTTAGGGTGACCTCGAGTACCCATCTTTACCCGCAGACATCAAGGTCCAAAGCATTGACCCGTCTTACTCATAAGGGCACACAACATCAGTTCTCATACTATTATCTCATTATTGCATAGTGAAAATCCAACACCATACTCGTTCAGATTATTTGTAAGCTTTCATGCCTAGAACTTAAAGATACAATACAGATGCTGGTCAACAGCTAACTCAGACCCATACTAGGCTTATCTTATCTCACGAAACTTATATTTCAATGCCTCAGCCTTTAGCCTAATTCTAAGCTATCCGCATGTATGATGTATATCTTACATCATGTTTGTCCCACCTTAAGGGACTTGGATATGCTACTCAAGCCGTAAAACACCTATACCAATTGGCCACAAGGGTCTAATAGCATACTTGCTTACTAGCTCGCTCATCCTTCAGGCTCGATGATGCCCTTCTTACATAACACGATCTTATGATCCTTGGTTATTCATCGATTCAGCTTAATAAAGGAAAATTGAAAGACAACGAATGCTAGCATCTAACCTCATAGTTTAACGCAATGACATCGACCCTAACCATCCTCAAGTTTACTATGACCCAAGAAAACAGTGTACTATACTTGTGACCTGATCATACCCACCTCTAAATACCATACGTGTCTAGAAATAGCTCACTTTAGATTAGCCAAGGCCTCTCTTGCCCGCTAACTAAGGGAGTGGTGGAGAGTTGACATTAGTTGTCCCCGTATAAAGAACGTAAAAGATTTTCCAACCATCATATAAATCGTAAGACTATCTAAAATGAGAATACTTTTTTCCTTAGCCATCTCATGGTCATTTTCAGCTAAATTCAAGACCCAGTGACCTACTTTTTGGCTATCATAATTCTTAGATTATGCTCATTGCTCCACTAATCTACTCGAGGGTGCCTATGCATAGTTTCGATCGATAACACCTGATTGACTATCTGGCTCTAAAGTATCTGCCTACTAGCTTGCATTTACCCATAAATCTTGGAACCTAAGGCTTATATCGTCTGCACACACTATCAGTAACATGTTCTCGAGCTTACACTGCCCGTGCATAGCTCCAGGACTACTATCCTGACTATAAGACCTTATCCGTTGCTCAACTTAAGGCTAGTCATGATAGGATTGAGGCATATCAGTGTATACCATAACACCGCAACAATATTATTAGCGACGTTTTTCCATTGATAGTATGGGTTGTGTGGTGTGTTAATCCATTATTGGCTTTATACTTTCTCGTTAATGTCATGGAGAAAAAGTCGAAAAGGGGATGGAGAGGAAATATAAATGTAAAATCAACAAATTTTTTTTTTATTTATTATTAATTTAATAAAATAATACATCATTTGGTTTGTAAATTATTGTAAACTTTTTTTAATGTGATACTTAAATTAAAAAAATTTTAATTAGATATCTAAATTTTAATTTATAGTATTAAGTTATTCGAACCTTTTAACATTATTAAAATAACATTATCGTGGCACTTTAATGTTAATGTAAAAAGATACTTAACTATCATCTGAAAGTGATGTGATTATCAAATATTATTTTTATAGAATAAAAAAAATAATTTTTTTAAAAAAATTTATTTTAATTTTATTTTATTAAAAAAAAACACATGATAGTTACATTTTAAATCATATAATAATCACGTGTCATCTATATGAATATTTAAATATCATATCAAGATTGTTCTAACAATATGAAGATATTATGATAACTTAATATACAAAAATTAAATTTTAGGTACTTGATTATTTTTTTATTGTTTAAATACTATATTAAAAAACATACAATAATTCAAAAATCAAATGAAGTATTATCTCTTAATTTAATTAAAGGTCGAGATCATATGGTTACCTTGCTCTATAATTTTATTTTATTCGATTACAAAAAAAATTGATGGCACCATATAAATATCATAAATACTAAGTCTATAGTTGATTTCTTTTTCATCAAACTTCATTTAAAATGTTTTGGGTATTTTTGAAATATAAAATTACTTGTCACATTTGTTTAAAATATAGAAAAAAAAAAAAAACAATTTACGGGGGCAAAATAAACCATTTTTATATACTAGAATTTGGCCACACATTATGTGGGTGTTTAAAATTGTGAATAAAAAAGGGCAGCTTAGGAATTTTTAAGAAGTGAGCAGTTTTTGTTAAAATTTGTTTAATAAGAAATAAAAGACATCAATACTCTTGATTTTATTTTAAATTTTTACACATTTTAATTAAGCCGGTGCCATTTAACTCGTGACATAATAGTCAATAACTTTATAATTAGTACTAAAAATATATACAATTATTTTGTGAGTGAAAAAAAAAGGAAAAAATATTGTTTTTTAAGAAAAAATATCTATTTAAAAAAATATATCATACGAAAAATTAAAAAACATGAATACTCATATTTTATTATTTGATATTGTGATTTTATTTGATTTGTTTGTATTTTATTTAATTAAGTTGGTCACACATAATTCTGATACCAAACTCTATTAGACACTTAATGAGTAGCAAAAATAATTAGTCCCAGATATTAGTTCATGACACTTGACAAACCCACTACTGGGTGAAAGAAAAAAATAAGTAATTTTTTAAAATGAGAAAATAACTAAAAGAAAAACAAGTTAAATAGTTTTTGTTTTATTGTCAAGTGTGTTGAATGGAAATTACTTATATAATTATGTTTTATTTGCTTTATATTTTTTATTATTGATTTTTTTTTTTTATCATCACATCCAATTGAATTGATTTTGGTTGCTTCAATCAAATATTTTGTAAAATAGTACAAATATAAATAAACAATTAATCGACATTTTTTAATCTGTAAAATGGAAAAATGAAAATGTTGTCTTATATAATAAGATAAAAAGGTACGAGGATATCACTTTCCTTTGATTTATGATTTACCTTTTTTTGCGGGAGTTTTGAAAGGAAAAGGCAAGTCGATAATAATAATAAAAAAAAGCAGTAAATTTAAAAAAAATATTGACAGGGTGAATTAAAGGAAAGCAACCAAATACCAGAACTCCACGTAGGAGAGATATATGTATATATATATATATATATATATATATATTATATAAGCCATTACAGTTAAAACTGGAAAAGGTAAAGAAAAATAGTATTTATTTATTATTTTATTTTATAGTATTTAGTATAATTTTAACAAGGAGCTTAATTCTCGGCAATGTCAGCTCTTGCATGCTCGGGATTGTCACCTGCTGTAGGCGTAAGCCACGCTCTATTCTCCACCATTTTAAGTTCTCGGCTTTATCCATTTCTTTTCTCCTTTTTTTTTTTTTCTTTTCGCATTTCGGCTCTTTTTTTGTTTGCCTCTCTCGATCCAACCCAAAAAAGAAAAAGAAAATATTTTTCATCGTCGTCATCAATAAATTGTCAGCTAAGGAGCTCCAAACATGGATTTTACAAAGCCGATTACTTATCAGGTACCGTTATTTTAATTTCGCCTAATTTTGTTTATATTTTAAAAATTTGATCGATATGCCGTTGAATTTCGTTCGAAACTTTGCTTATTATGTATTTTTTTATTTATGTTTTATATTTGTTTTTTTTTTTTTTTAGGTTTCGCTGTACATTGAGGGACGATCATGATTCTTGAGTAGTTTTTTTCTTTTTTGATTTAGTGGATTGGGTTGCATATTTGGATCTACGGTAATCTGATTGGTTCAGGAATTTATAGAAGAAAGAGTCATTTGTATGCTTAGAATTCTCGCTAAATTTTGGCCTTGGGTTGAGGGATGCTGATATCTTGTGAATATATTGTACCTATTTTTTGTTAAAAAATGGATTTGTAAATTAGCGGTGTTCTTTTTGTTACATAAATGTGTTGGATTTGACTGAGACAATTGAGTTGCAAATATAAGATAGGATGTTAGTGATGTATGAAAGTGTGAACGTATGTTGGTTTTGATTTGAAGTTTAAGCTATTAGGCCTTGGAGGTAGCGTTTGTATGCGTGGAGGAATACTAGATTTTGACTGTGAGTTTGATAAAGTTAGCTGATATGAGAATAGCTTGATTATGCATTATTGGTTGGTGGGTTGAAGAGGAAAAGAGTGGCTCAAGGAGCTAAGACATTGTCTTTGTGCAAGTAAATAGACCTGGGAGCTTGTTGGGGAACATGATCAGGGAGGCGTCTAACTCATCTGATCAATTGATTCAGCAAGAATCTACATCTGTTGTTCCTGATGTGGGAAAGAACGTAAATAATAATAATAATAATATCTCTGTACAGACAGGTGAGGAATTCTCCATGGAGTTTCTTCAGGAGCGTGTTGGCACAAGAGGGATTCCTGCAGTACTAGATGCAGCTCAGATACATGAGAAGAGTTTCAATCAGGACCAGAGCCAGCAGCTGGGGTATCAGGATCTTGCTCGAATTCTTGGGTTGAAAAGAATGGATTCCGAGTGTGCTTCTGATATTTCTGATTTTGCATCTGCAAAGGGGTCTTTTAAAGGGAGTGAAAATGGGTCTTGTGTTGAAAAATTAAGTAGATACCAGAAGGAAGATGGTGATATTGGACAAGTAGCAAGGAAGGCTTTTGGTGAATTGAATTGTGATAGGTGCCATCCAAATGGTTTTGGACCAAGTACTACACCCATTTATGTATGCAACACTCCTAGTTCCAGCAACTTTAGTTGGCAGGGAGCTTCTGATGGATCTCAATCTGGGAAAATGAAATTTCTCTGCAGCTTTGGTGGAAAAATATTGCCCAGGCCTAGTGATGGAAAACTCAGATATGTTGGGGGAGAGACGCGTATTATTTCGATTAAAAAATGTCTTTCTTGGGATGAGCTTGTGAGGAAAACTTTAGCTATTTGCAACCAACCTCATTCAATCAAGTACCAACTTCCAGGAGAGGATCTTGATGCCCTTATATCTGTGTCTTCTGATGAAGACCTTCAGAATATGATAGAGGAATATCATGGGCTTGAAAAGCTTGAAGGTTCTCAAAGGCTGAGGATATTTTTGATTCCTTTTGGTGAGTCCGAAAGTGCATCTTCCCTTGAGGCTAGCACCATTCAGCAGAGCAATCCTGATTACCAGTATGTGGTTGCTGTCAATGGGATAGATCCTAGTGCTAAGAAAAACTCTGGTGGGCAATGTTTACCCAGCGAAGGAAGTCATCTAGGACCTGCTTTGGATCATAACCCTAGTTTTCGAAAGCAGTGTCCAACTTCAGTAATCCCTTTGGAGACTATGGGTGGTTTTAATGCCTTGCATCCATCTCAGGTTTTCCATGATTCCCAAAATACAACCAGATCCCCACTTCCATCTCCTATTTCTCCACTACCTTTCCAGCATGGAGAGTCCAACAGTGTTTGTGCACAAGCAGTTGGTGATAAATCCAGCATTGAAAGCAACAGTTCCTTCATTACAGCACACTTGAACTGCAGCACAGAAACTCCTAGGTATAAACATTTTCAACAGGTTCCATCTACTTTGGTAATTTGTAGTCACCCTTATGTAAAGGTTGATGCCAGCCAAACGTACCAAGCTTATGAAGGGCAATTATTAAACCCTGATCCCAGCAAAGATTCTATGACTCTTTCAGTTTTAAACAAAAATAATCGTGATTATAATGGTGTCTCACATGAGAAGCCTATGCATAAGGAAATATCTTTCCTTTCTGAAAAGCCTATCTCACATGCTGGCGATCCATTGAGCCTGTTGTCAGGATCTGTTGATTCCATTGATTCTCACCCAGGCATGTCACATGCATTTTCAGATTCAAAGCTGCAAGAGCATGGAGGAAGGTTTGCTTACTGTTCACAAGAAGGAACAAGCCCATCTTCCCCTTTAAATTTTGCAAAGACTCAATCACCTTCCCTTCTTGTTTCAAATGCTGTGCAGGAAAAGTTGATGCAGCAACATGATAACATTGATCTTATGAAGCCCAGGGAACAAAATGATTTGTCAGATATTGAATCTACATCAAAGTCAACACTGGATATGTTTAAATTTTCTCCAAATCCTGAACTTTCATGCAGGAATAAACCTATTCACAAGGGTACTAGTGACAGTAATGACAAGTGCCAAACAGCTAAAATTGATTTGAGTAAATCCAGTTTGGTGACACCTAACAGTTATGATGAATATATTACAAGCTTGGATGCCAGGAACAGGTCTGATAGAAGTGATCCAGTTTTTCATCAAGGTGGAAAGCTTTATGAGGAGAGATCCCCTGACAGCTGTATGGAATACAACAACAAATTGTCTAATGCAGACTGCAATCAAACTTCTGGTGTTGCTATTGACGCTTGGAAAAAAGATCCACAAATCTCGCAGAAGATGGTTCCTTCTTCGTTGGCTATAAAAGATAACACAGAGCATCCACAGACCTTGGATAAAACCACATCTGATATAGTTGGATGTTATGGTTCCAGTGGGAAAGTAATTGATGGACAAGGGGGCATTAGTTCACGCACCAGGAACCCTGAAGTTGCATGCTTATTTCCAAACACCGTGAAAGACTCAAGAGGTCAGAGCTCAGCAGGCGATCTTATATCTGAGTCATGGAATGGCCCAACGTCACTTGAACCACCACAATTGCAGTGTGTTGCAAGTCAGAAGGATATATCTAAAGACGATATGCTGATGGGCTCAACCAATTTGGACCCATCTGCAGTTCATGTTGACTCTGGTCTGTGCTCAAACTTGTACAATGATGACCTTCATTCTATGTCACAGAATCCAGCAAACAAAGCAGTTTTTAGGAGAGAGGTTTCTCTCATTGATGATGACCTTAATTATCCCAATCAGAATGCTGAGAAGATGGTCCTCATAGGATCTGAGCATGAGAATTCAATTTTAGATGTTACCTTTGCTCGGACAGAACCCTCAAGCAAGAACCAGTGTCAAATCCAGCCAGACCCAGTAGTTATATTTGAAGATGTGATCACTAGTGTACCTTCTGGGATTCAACTTTCATCTGTAGTTGTCCCACATGTGGATGTGATCAGCAGTGATATTATATCTCCTATTGCTACAGAGTTGGAGGATGTCATTCCAGAATCTGAGTCTGACGTAATATTTGTTAAATTTTTCATGTATGTCTAGTTTTATAACTTGTATAGATGTTAGTAAACTTAGGTAGCTTCTTGGCTTTGTCCATAGGATGCTACAGCTGATGATCAAGACAAGGATGAGTCCTTCACTGATGCTATGATAGCTGAAATGGAAGCCAGCATCTATGGCTTGCAGGTTCTGCACTAAACCGATTTATACATGTCTTCAATAAAAAAATTATTGTTTAATACGTGACCAGTTCATGCAATGTTGTTTAGTGAAAAACATGGAGTAAAATTTTGAACTGTAAATATAAAGCTTCCCTATTTGTGAGTTGGGAAAACATTCTTTTTGCTGTATTTGAATAAGGTGCCATTTAGTTAATCTACATTGAAATTCTAATTATGTATTTGCTTATGGTATCCTCATGATCACCCACATGAAAAACATGCAAATTAACTTATGCATCACTTTGTAATTTGATCTTGTTTAGTTTGTCCTCTTCTTTTTGTCTTTGCTCCCTCTGTTTTTCTTTTCCTCTGAAAACCAACAATATAGCTATTAATCTACTTTTAGTATCGTAACCAGACTAGTGGTTTTGTTAGAAGATTTGATTTTATGTCAACTTCCGATTATGTTTTCCCTTGTAACCAAAAACTTTTGAACAAATGATCAGCCTGCTATTAGCCCCCTTCCCCCTTTTAGCTTTCCTCCTTGTAAAATTACCTTCTGAAGGAGAATGAAAGTTTTCTGATTCTGATGTACAGATTATAAAAAATGCTGATCTTGAAGAACTGATGGAACTAGGATCTGGTACGTATGGAACTGTTTATCATGGAAAATGGCGGGGAACAGATGTTGCTATAAAGAGAATAAAAAAGAGTTGCTTTTCTGGGAGATCATCAGAGCAAGATCGACTGGTGGGTCTCCATGGATATTTTCCTCTTTTTTTCTCCCCTAAAAGTAGGAGAGTTGATGTTGAATCTCATAAGAAGCTTCATAATTATTTAGGGTACAAATTTGAGGATATATGCCTGCACTGTAAACATTTGATGAATTCATCTCGAAGCAATTGTCTTTGTTCACATTTATGACATGTGTTTTCATTTGTACTAGCTATTCTGTTCTACAAATTTTGGGTGCAGAAAGTTCTAGGGAGGAAAAAATGGAATAATTTTTGCTGGTTAGGTGGTTTGGATAGTGCACACGCATCGTAGGCTTCAGCCAAAAAACAAATAAAGGAAGAGTATGTCAATTATTATTATTATTATTATAAGTCATGGAAGAAAAATTCATGGGGGTGACCTTGCTCTTCTTCCTATTGGTTTCTTTTTGGCCTTCTTCTTGAATTCTGTTAAAGTGAAATATAACCACTACTGTTATTTTGCCCTTCTCTCCTGCAATTTGAGATTCATAATCTGTTTTTGTTATTTTCATAAGGTTGTCAGTTCTTGAGTTAAAGTTGTTTGCAGTAGCGTTGATATATCACAAGTCACATGTCATGTTTTTATCAAGAAATATTAGCCTGTGGTCTCTCATCATTGCTTCAAATTTTGAATAGAGGGTCTTGGAAAGAACATAGAAAATGGCTTTTTTATCCTTTGGGGTGGGATTTGGTTTTGATTGAGCAAAGATGAGACATTTGACCTAAACATGAGATATAAAAACAGCTTATAATTAACTGAGAGACTTGAGTCCACTGGACATTTTGAACTGGGTCATTATTTCCCTCCCTGCCTCCTTTTTTGCTATTGTAATAGCAAGATCCTTTAAACAATTTTGCAGTCATATTCTTCATAGTAATTTGAGTTATTTGCATGCTTGAAGCTGATGAATGTTTGACTGTACCAGATCAAAGATTTCTGGAGAGAAGCACAGATCCTCTCAAATCTGCATCATCCAAACGTGGTTGCATTTTATGGAGTAGTTCCGGATGGAACTGGAGGAACCTTGGCAACTGTAACTGAATATATGGTAAATGGATCGCTTAGGAATGTGCTAATCAAGAAGGATAGGTAACATAGTTTAAATCTCCCAATTTTATATTCCTTCACTCATTAACGATGCACTCACTGGTTTTTTGGAATTCTTATGCAGATCACTTGATCGTTGCAGAAAGCTCATAATTGCCATGGATGCAGCTTTTGGCATGGAATACTTGCACTCCAAAAACATTGTCCATTTTGATCTGAAATGTGACAATTTGCTTGTCAATCTAAGGGACCCGCAACGACCCATATGCAAGGTAATTAATATGTTACAGACAAACTCCTCTCCAGTAGACATATTGATTTCAAGGTGCCTTGCGTGATACCAAAAACCATAAACGGCTAGAGAGAAGAAATCTTAATCCCAGTTAAAGCCAAAATGATTCTTTTTTGGTCCAAGATGAATGCTTATCATATGCTTGGATCAAATAGAATACCCTTAAACTTTTATGCTGTAAGTTATCATGTTAGGAACTAGAAAGGCATATAGTGCAGGAAGGTTTTCGTTGGCTTTTCAATTGAAGCATGGCTACTGTTTATCGTTTCTGTAGGTTGGAGATTTTGGATTATCTAGAATCAAGCGCAATACTCTTGTTTCTGGAGGTGTGCGAGGAACCCTCCCTTGGATGGCACCAGAACTGTTAAATGGTAGCAGCAGCAGGGTTTCTGAAAAGGTCAGTAAAGCCATATTCTAACATATGTCTTGCCACTGTGAAGGAAAGAATGAATATACGTAAAAGCCAAAAATTATGATATTTACTTGACAGGTTGATGTGTTCTCATTTGGAATTTCAATGTGGGAAATCTTGACTGGAGAGGAGCCATATGCCGATATGCATTGTGGTGCCATTATTGGTAAGATTTTGATTTACCTAATGTGCTGTTAGCTCTGATTGTGAACAGAAAATTCACATGCACGTAAAGGTGATTGGGATGTTATGACATGATATTAGTTCAACTGTGGAGGGCAAACATTTGCTAAAATGTTATGTTGATATTTTCTTTGGTATACATGGATTGGATTGTACAAAGTCAAATCTACGTAGAGTATGAGGATTTGCTTGTTATTTTCCCTCATATTTTCTATTTTGATTTTTTTATTTAAGGTAAGACAACAATTTAGAAAGTTCCAAAAAGCAAGCCAAAAATTGGCTAGAAGAAACTAATATACTTGCCTTTTAAAGTTGGCTTCACTGGAAGTTCACTCATGAGTTAATAATGATGATATTGGTGATCATTAGGTCGATAAATCAAATGGTAGGTTTGGTTGAAGATGAAGATAACAAAAATTTATGGAGAGTTGTAAGAGTTGCTACTTTTTTCACCTAGGCTTAATTGCTCTTTTACTGTAATAGTGTAAAACAACTCAGATAAATAAATTGAAGAGATATCATAAACTGCATGCACTTAACCATCTTCCTTGTTCTTTTGGTTGTATATTAATTACCTTTCAGTTTTTTGCTATCTATGAAAAATAAACAAAAACCTTCAGCTTTTCACCTAAATTTGGCTTTAAGTTTGATTGGTGAATTGTGATTGCAGGGGGGATTGTGAAGAACACTCTTCGACCTCCTATTCCAGAATGCTGTGATCCTGATTGGAGGAAGCTAATGGAACAGTGCTGGTCTCCTGATCCTGAATCTAGACCATCATTTACCGAGATAACTAACAGGCTGAGATCCATGTCAAAGTTGCTTCAGCCAAAGGGACCTAATAATCAGGCAAGACAGGCAAGGCCTATTGTTACGGCATGAGTCATCATTGTACGGTAGCACCTTTTTTGTTTTTAGGTACACCTTTAAACCGTAGTTTCTCCGACAGAGCCCTTTGAGGATGTGCATGAGTAGAGTTTGATCATTTATGGCCGAATTTTTTTTCCTTCTCCCCTTGTTAAATATATGTCTATTTGTTTATTCTTTTGTAACAAAGTAATTCAGGTCACAATGGTAAGCCTGAGAGAGAGTATTTACAGAGTTTTCCGACTAGTTTAGTGTTGATAATTTTGTTGAAAATAGTATTTTTACATGTATATACACACATTTAGAAAAGATATAAAAGAAGGGGGCTTTTGATTAGAGTTTGCTCTGATTTATCTCCATTCTGTCCTGGTTTCCACATCTTCATATTCATTTTCTTGGTGGTGCTTGTTTCATTGTTTGAACAGTAATTCTGAAAAATACAGCTATAAAATTTATATTCAATGGTACATGTATAAATTTCAAGCAAACTTAATTGTTTTATAATGGTAAATTTTAATGATATATTCTATATGAAAGGGGATTGGCATAATTGATGCTAACTTTTCTAGTCACTTGAAATAGCATCAATTTCTTAGAAGCAAAAGCATTCAGTTCATCATATATGTTCAAAATGATGAAGCTTATAAAGTCACATTAGATCTAAAAGCATTTCAAAGTTATGATAAGTATAATCAATCATTAACCATTTCAGCTACTGCTGTCGACTTTGTCCAAACTTGGAAAATCTTACAGTGATTGGGTTAAATAATAAGGGCCAAAATTCTCATTAAAACTGAGAACATGGCATGGAACCAATATCATTAAAAAGGAAGAACAAAGAAAAAGGGAGTAGCTGACACTCTCATTCTGGATCAGGTGACCCTCCTGGGACCAGCTGCATTGCACAAAAATGAATTAGTATGAGAATTTTCATATGGAATCCATTACAATTTTTAATGTTGAGTGGCCTTCAGTTTCTCTTTTTCAAATTGCTACCTTTTGTTCCTAGTTGGCGATCTACAGTTTACATGCTTATATCTGGCAGAAATTTGCTTCAACCTTAATCATATACTGTAATCCTCAATAACTATACCACATCTATGTAAATTATGGTTTTAACAAGAAGTACATTAACTAAATCAGAAACCATTAAATCTTACAATGGCAATGTTGTTTCCATTAAGCAGAATTTGATCAAGCTTTGTGATCCGTCTTCCTTCAGCAGTGATCTCACTGTGATATGCAAACAGAAACAGAGAAGCAAACAAGATCAACACAAGCTATGAAGGCTGTCCTATTTAAGGGGACAAACATTCTGCAATCACTTATACAGACAAGCATGAGGCAGACATGTTGCTTAGCCAATAAAGTCAAATGATCATAAGCATGTTCTTGTATGACACTATTCTTTTCAAGTCAATTTGAGAAAAAAAAAATTAAACATTTTGTCAGTCTCAAAAGGAATAACCACCACCACCACCTAGTAAAAGAAATATGAAATATTATACAATCAAACAATGAACATCAATTGGGACACAATGTAAAAGCAGCAGCACCGAAGTTAGCTAAGTGAGCGGATGTCCAGCCCAAAACAATTTTTTCTCTACACAGACAGCTGGTTCTCAACCTGTTCCTTCTGTAATGAGGATTCTAACAAATACAAAGTCACAAGTAATTAAAATGGTTTGCCGAAAAACCTGAACTCCACCCCCAAGGCATTAATTTTGTTAAAAAAAAGTACTAAACCACACTCTATCCCAACAAACTTAGAAGCCATCTCAGTTTCTCATTGAACCAAAATATGGAAAGCAAAACTTCAATTCATAGGAATTCTGCTTCAAAATTAAACTTAGACTTTGAAGTAATTTAAGGAGAGAAAAAGGCAATCCAAAATTTGATATTTGTTAAATACAAATAACATAACTAATACCCAAAAGTAAAAAACTCCAACTTACTCTCTTTCCCATATTTTCCGCGAGAAAACATAAAACTCTAAAAGCACTAACATACAAAATAAAAATAAAACCTTGCAGCCGATATATCTACATCTAAACATTCAAAGAAAAAAAGGAAGAACTTTACTATTCAGTGACATCTTCGAGGACCATGTTGACGTAGACATCGAAGCCTTTTAGGGTACCCACCAGCTCCTTGTCCCCTTTCATTATCACCCAGATTTTGGACCCTATGCACCTGTCTATCAACTCTGCAAAAACAAAGAAAACAAACTCAGATTATCATTCGTTTGACTTTCACCAGAAAATTGAAGGAAAAAATAAAAATTGACACCTGATGGAAGAAGCTGCGAGGGATTGTTTGCCATTGCTCTGACAGAGTTCACTCACGAAGAAAGGGATTCAACCTTTTATCAAAACTCAAAAACCTAACTTTTTCAAATTGAAAGGGCTACACTATTTTTATTGAGAGAGGAGAATGAGTCAAACAGGACCTTTCAGCTCAATGGGCTACGAGCCCTGACCCAGCATCCACAACTAAGTGGGTTGTGCTTAGCAGGGCCTGTTTTCAACTAGTAATTACAGGCACAGGCCAAGTCATTCAGGGCCGAGGCGGCGTCACTCACAGTCACTGTCCAAAGTGAAAATTCAAAACCGACGGAGGGGAATTTGAGTGCAGTATAGTAGTCGAGCAGGAGGAAGGAGCATGTGTCACGTGCTTCGGTCTTAAGTCTCGTAACCATGCAGTTTTAGACGGAAAATTATCATCCACATATGTTTAAATCAGGCTTTAATTGGATTGAACGAGTGTGTCATTAGTCGGGTCTTAGAGATAATCGAACATTATAGTACACTAAGAAAACACTGATGAAAGACTATAAGATATTTTTTATTGCTGGAACAATCTGGTTTATGTACAATTGTGCTTTGAGTAGTTTTGTTGCTCCATAAGTTCTCTAGTTCTTGTGTGTTGGTCCCATGAGCAGGACATCCTTATTTATATTTGAGTTTCATGATTCATGTGATTATTAAAAAATTAAGTGTGGGACTTTTATATTCATTCTAGAAGATTTCAAGGCTCTTAAACATATGCATTGGTGAGTTTTTAAAAAGAAATTAGTTTCAGACACTTTGTGACACACTAGATCCAAAATATATTAGGCTCTCTCGCATAGTGCCCACATCCCAGGCCTTCCAGAAGCTTACCTGTCTGGGCACTATAGTACCCTTGCTTATTTTCGTATCTAGCTCCTCCAACAGATTTTATACTCGTACGCCTGGCCTAGGTCCAAGTTTATCTAAAGGTTTTACACGTATAGTGCCGGCACCACTTTTCCAGGGCTTTCTAGATACTTATCCCGAATGATTCTTAGGTTTAGTATTAAGCAATTCTCGTACGGATTTATTCTCATGATATGATGTTTGTGTCGCATATTTAAAAAGAAATTTTAAATCTTACATCGAATATAAAAAAAAAATCATTAAGATATATAAGAATTCATATTATCTCTTTCTTATGAGATATTTTTTATAAGATAAAATCGTGAGGTTAAAGGAGTCAGAGCGAATAATACTTCATAAAGATGTGAATCGTGACAAGTAAGCTGATTTAAGATGCTGGATTAGTGGATGCTCAGGTCTTAGAGCCTTGTGAATTCGAAGCTTAAGTTTCAACCTGTGACAAGTGGTATCAGAACCAGTCTTATACCGTTTGATCTACGTCAAGTACCTCGAGAGAGGTAGGTAAGGTGACTACCCTCTGTGATGAGAGCATCACGAGATTGGGTAATGGAGAATGTCACGGACCTAAGAAAAAATCTTAAATTTCACATCGAATATAAAAGGAAGGTTATTATGGTATATAAGGGTTCATAACACCTCTTCCTTGTGAGGAAAGTCACTGGACCAATCTCTGTGACAAAAATATCACGAGGTTAGATAGAGTAGAATGTCACGGACTTAAGGAGGAGTCCTGAATTTCACATCGAATATAAAATAAAAGTTATTATGATATATAAGGGTTCACACCACCTCTTTCTTATGAAAAAGTCACTGGAGTCTATCTCTTTATTGTAAGATATTTTTTGTAAGATAAAACCGTGAGACTAGGGACAAAATCGTAAGGTTAGAGGGACCAGAGTAGACAATATCTTATAAGAGTGTGAACCGTAACAGATAAGTTGATCTAAAATGCTCGAGTCTTAGAACCGCTCCTAAAGAAGCACTTCATGAAGCCTCTCAGAATTTGATTGATTTATTTATTCTCTTTCTAGATGCGAAAGAAGAAAACTTACATTTAGAAAACAATCAACACAACGTTACTTTACCTTTTTTTCCTTTTCATGATAGATTAGCTAAACTAAGAAAAAAGAAAAAAGAAATAGCATTGAAATATATTTTTATTGACCAATCAGAATTGCCTTCCAAGATCTATAATTGTTTCAAAAAGTCTAATATACATACATTATTGGACCTTTTGAATAACAGTCAAGAAGACCTTATGAAAATTGAACACTTTCGCATAGAATATGTAAAACAAATATTGGGCATCTAGAAAATAAGTAGAAAAGCATTGCGAAATTGATTTACCAAAATTTTAAATCCACAAAACCGTGAGGCTAGAATGACCAGAACAGACAATATCTTATAAGAGTGTGAACCGTAATAGGTAAGTTGTTATGAGATGCTCGAATCCTAAAATTACGTGAGTTCGAATCTTAAATCTCGACCCGTGATACTTGAGTGAGGGTCTTACTTACTAGTGTTGATGCTATGGCCTTAGCCTCAATGGTGGCGGATGATACGTCATACATGTGAGTCTCAAAGTTGACAAAGATATTGCATGAAGGACACGTATTAAAGCAACAACCCATTAAATTGTATTTACGGGTATAATTGATTCAAGTGGATATAATATTAAGCTTGAATTCAATTTAAAATTTAATTTAAATTTGATTGAATTTTATTTTTTTAACTCAAATTTAATTCAAAATAAATATTAAATTATTCAAATTCGTTTAATTAAATTCGATTAACATATGAAAATAATATCGATTTTTATTTTTGATAAAAATTTAATTATTTATATTCGAACTCAAATTTAAGATATTTTATTAATTAAAATAAATAAATATATATTAAAATATAAAAATTTAATTAAACTTACGAGCTATTCAAACTCAACTTAATCAATGAATTAAACTATTCCAACTCAATTTGATAATAATATAATCAATTTAAATTTTATTCAAATCAAATTTTATAAATCTTATATCTTATAAATTCACCCACCTCTCTCTCTCTCTCTCTCTCTCTCTCTCGCTCTCGTATAAGATAGTTAAATGCGAACAAAATTTTTTTTAAAAAAGATAACTTTTGGTGAGGGATTGCCGTTGACTCTATTCATTCAATTCAACTTTTGTTAGTCACATTTTCTACGGTGCTTCTGCCCTTCCAACGCAACCTCCACTTCCCTTCTAGAGATCGGATAATTTTCAGTTCCCAAATTCTGTATTTCCCCTTCGTAAATCCTAAACGTTTTTATATTCAATTGATAAAGTTTGAAATTTTATGATTTTTGCCTTTTTTTTTTGGATTGATGGGTTGATCTGTGTATGACCAATGGGGTGCTTTTGATTATTTGTATGTAATTTATAAATTGATGATAACTGGTTCGTCTACCCTGATAAAGGAGGAATATTTTTGGTGGTTAGGGTTAGCGTTAGGGTTTGGGTGAATTGCAGGGGAAGGATTGGTCTTTTTGATAAGATGATATGTGGGGTTTATATGATTTGGATTTTGAGTTAAGGTACTGAATCTTTGGGAAAGAAATAAAAAAGGAATTTTGGAGTCTGAAAACGCCTGCTTTTATAGTAATTATGTTCCACATAAACTTGTTTTTCCTTTTTCAGAAAGGAACTTGTATATTTTTCTTTTTCTGTATGGGGCTCTGGTGAGATTGAAAAAGGGTAGCTGAGCACAATTAGGTACAAAAATGTCCGTATTCTATTATTGAATGAAAATTAAAAACCTGCTTGATATGAATCTTAGGAGAACCATACTCCAAACCCAAGTCGGTATAAACTGGGATTTAAGTCTCATACCTTGCAATTAGGATCCTAACACTGTTCTTTAGGATCACCTTAACAAATGTATAGATATTTAATTTGAAATCCGGCTTTGAAAAAATGCTAGTTATGGTGTTTGGTTGTTTGAATTGATGACTTTAGTAGACAATTATATTCTCATACGTTTATCCCCAAGTAACTGGGAATTAAACCTCATCAAGCATAAAATTTTTATTAGAAAGTGTTATTGCATTGATGGTTCAAACAATCATTGCAATCTTTACCACAATGTGAAATGACCTAGATGGTTTTTTTGCTTTTCTATTTCTATCTATTGATTGTTCATAGAAAATTTAGATTGAGATATATCAATTTGACAAACTCTTCTGGTTTTTGTGGTATCACTGCAGGTATGGTAGCCAAATTGTTCAAGACTAATGTCTTAGTTACTTATTCAAGGGTTCTGTCTCATCAAGTTTTCTAGGGCCATTTACGCATTATATTGTTCAGTGTTTTGGAGCTTTGCATCAGGCTTTGCCTTGTGATTTTATTTGTAAAAGTTAACAAGGATTCTATAGTTTTCAGTTGGTAACACAAAGAGACACAGAAGGCTGCAATAGGAAATATATTTAAAGTTCAGCCTCCTGGTAAGTTTATGTTCAGTTAAAAGATGTACTACTTTCTTTATGTTTTAAAAATCTTGATGGTGCTTGGCATGTCTCTCATTTAATAGACTGGCATTTTTTTTTTTCACCCACATTGCCGTTGTTTATAATTCATATGCAAACATCTCTGGATTTTTCTATCTAACATTTACTTTATGTTTATATTTTCATATGTGATGAAGTTGAAGAAGTAGTACTTTCAAGTTTGAATATTGGAAGATTATTACTAAGGGACTATAATGAAATATGTGCATTGAATGTGGTTAAGTTCTTCTTGGTTTTGACTTGAAAATTGAGGATGAATTTTTAAAACTTTGTTTGAATTCTCTTGGCAGCAAGGTTTCCTTTGTTACTACGCTAACTAGTTTTTGTGAAGATGTAGAAAACATTTTGGCTGATTGTTTTCTCATCATCTGTATCTAGATGGATTGTAGGTATGTGATTTCCTCCTTTTTGACACTAGTTTCAAAAGTGTGACTTGGAGTGGTCATTGTTGAGGAATAACTGTTGGTTATGACTTATGATAATGCTGTTTTTTGGATGGCTAATGACAGTCTATCAATGAATTTCTAAAATTAGTCCAAGAAAAACAGACAGTGAGTTCTGATCAGATGATTTAGGTCATCATTTCTTAAATGATTGTTGATAACATGTCAATGGGGACCTTTTTAATATGCAAGATGGGTTGCTTTCCTACTTTATTCACTGTAAACATGATTCCACATTGCCACCTTCACTTCTTTCTCTAGCCTTAGGGTTCATGAAGGATAAGGCTGAACATGGCATATCCAAATTCGTTTTCTTTCTTAGTTGTTGGTCCAATATTCAGAAAAATGTGAATAGAGCATTTTTCTAGACTATTGCTGACTGGAACAGGTTTTTTCAAGGAGAAATTTTAAAACAACTGACCAAATTATTGTTTACTTTTCCCTTTCATATAGGTATATAGGTGTCTAGCAAATTGTGAAGAAAAAACAACTTACCAAATCTGTTATTGTCTGCTTACTTGTCTCTTTTGTATAGGCATGTAGGCTTTTATCAAATTGTGAAGTGAAATTTTATATTAACAAAATCACATAATTAAAATGAAATGAACTTCAGGAATGCAGTTGCATGTGAGCTTACTGGTGCAAGATGTGATTGCGATACCTTGTTACAGTTATCTCTCCCCATATCAATTTGCAAAATTAGCATTCAGTACAATTACTGGCATTAGGACCGTAAATCTGGCAATATTAAAAAATGAGCTAAAATAGTTCGTAGCTGATTCTTGCATTAAACTGTTTGTCTATCCGTATGGCATGCTCTTAATTGTAACTGCCTTGTCTGGGGCCTAAGTTGTTCTTTACTGGAGGACTTGTTTTTAATTCTATCTAAATGGTCTTGGTGGTTGAACCCTAGAATGCTGTCAGGTGCAGGCTTTTGAAATGAACCATTAGTTGTGCCTCATATTGTTTTAGGTCATTATTAGTGTGAACGTCAGAAGAAGTGAGAATCAGAAAGGAACAGTAAAGAAATTTAGAGAAATTTTGCTCCTTTACCTTCCTGCACCATGCCTTTCCTAGACAGAAAAAGAATTGGGGTTTATGGGACAAGAAGAAAATAGGCTTTCCTTATTATATGGTTGTTTTTCCGTTTTTGGAATCTTGAGTGTTTTTGGTTGGTTGCTTTTTTATTCTCTGGCATGCTGCGATTTTTCTGTCTTATTTTATTAGAAAATAATTACTTAGGTATGGAGACTTTTGAAAATGCTTCTTGCATAGTGCTAGCTTTGTGGTTTATAATGTTCATTATCTTGTTTATCCTTTGATTAATGGCCTATTTTTCCCATTACCTGATGAGTTTAATATGCTGAGTAACTTTACTCAGCATGTGCAAGATGGCTGGTGTTAAACGAAGAATAATTACTGATTCAGATGTCAGTGCTCTCCATAAGGAACTGGATGAAGTCTCATGTCCAATCTGCATGGACCATCCACATAATGCTGTTCTCCTCCTGTGCAGCTCACACGAGAAGGGTTGCAGATCATTCATTTGTGATACAAGTTACAGGCATTCAAATTGCCTAGACCAATTTAAAAAATTAATGGCTAATTCTAGTAAGAGTCTAATATTACCTCATCCCATACCCATAAACCCTCAGAATTCTAGTACTTCTGGTATGAACTTGGCCTTAAGAACTGATTTTATTGAAGGTAATGGAAGTTCAAATCTGAATGAAATCAATAGCATGGCAGGAGGATCAGAAGTCAATACCCAAGAGGCAATTAGGCATCTTGACTTACAAGGAGAAGGTATTATAGAAATAGGGGACTTTGAATCGTTTCATGGAAGAGCTGAATCTGAAGAAGTAGATGCAGAGAATACATCAGAGTCTATATCTAGTTTGAAATGCCCTCTCTGTCGTGGGAACATACTTGGCTGGGAGGTTGTGGAAGAGGCCAGAAAGTATCTAAATTTGAAGAAGAGAACTTGTTCTAGGGAATCTTGCTCCTACTTTGGCAATTACCAGGAATTGCGTCAGCATGCCAGGAGAGTTCACCCAACAACGCAACCTTCAGATATTGATCCGTCTAGAGAACAAGCCTGGCACCGCCTTGAGCATGAAAGAGAATATGATGACACTGTAAGTGCTATTCGATCTGCCATGCCAGGTGCTCTTGTGGTTGGAGACTATGTTATTGAGAATGGAGATAGGTTGGCCCCTGAAGGGGAGAGTGGCACTGATGAAATGAGTGCATCATGGTGGACTACTTTCTTTTTGTTTCAGATGAGTGGTTCGGTTGACAGTGTTGGAGAACCTAGAGCAAGGTCCAGGGTTTGGTCAAGGCATCGGCGCCCTGCAGGAGCTTTATCTGAGCGTAGGTTCCTGTGGGGTGAGAATCTTTTGGGTTTGCAAGATGATGATGATGAAAATGGCCTGCGCATATTAAGCGATGTTGGTGAAGATGCATCTCCAAACCCAAGAAGACGTAGACGTCTGATGCGATCAAGGTCAGATGAAGATCAGTCATGAAAGGAATCAGATACTTGTCCTGGTAAATTCCCGTTTCTTGACATGCCTTCCTATGCAAGTTATTTTAGATTGCTTTTAGCTGACCCTACTGATATTCTTACCATTGATTTCCCAGTAATGTGCATAGCTGTCCAATTTTTTGGACGATAATATAAGTTTGCTGGTTTCAGAAGCCATCAGCTTGTGGGTTTTCAGGATGTTTCAAGTTAAGTAGAATTTTATATTAAACTTTTATGTGTTCTTCTGGTTTTAGGCGATTATGCCTATAGTGTACTGAAACTCAAATCAGTTTTACTCTTCAATGTTTATGCATTACAAAATATTTTACTGGCAATTGTCCATTCATTTAATTTTTTTCTTTTTTCATTTGTCCTCTCTATCTGCTCTCAATCCCAACTTACACACTCGACTTTTAGATAGTTGCGTTCTGTGGGTTGAACTAACATTTGCTGCTAACATTCTTTTTTTTCTTTTTTGCTCCCAAGCTGTTGGATATAAGATGTATTTTTGTTCCGAATCTGTTGGATGTAAAAAATGCATGGATAGGAGTTGATTGCTGCAGCCATTCGTATTCTTTGTAGACATTGCTCCACAAAGCTAACCTACATCATTTTGATCTTTTCGAAAGCATTTGAATGGAAATAAAGCGAGTTTCAAGTCCAAACGTCATAAATGTTGTGTTGGATTTATATACTCATAATAAAAAATGGATGTGAATTTAGTGGGTATCGATTTTGTTACAAAGTTCTATGATCACTTAAAAATCTAGTATTCTATTAACAGGTTTTTTCGCCTTTTAATGTCCAGAGTTCAAGGCAACGGGTTTTTTTTCTTTTTTCAAAATATTAAATTAAAATAAATCATAAATCAGTTTAGAGAAAGTCACGCTACTCAAAATAAAATTATTCTATCTTAAAGGGTGGTTTTCAGAATATATTTGATGCTTTCTTGCGGTTTCTATTCTTGTATCACAGCCCAGCGATTTCAAGATTTAACCCTCTAAGCCGTCTTGTTTGACACCATGCTAGGAACAATTGTGGTGTCAAATGTGGACAGAGAATTGGATTTCTTGCATTGTAACGTTGTTATGTCCCTGTCTTCCGACAAAACATCTTCTCATGGCTATAGTATTGTCTTTTGACATGTATATTTCAGAAAAAAGCTTGACTGAAATCTAGAACCTGTATTCTCTACCCTACATTCTCACTCCGAAGTTGGAAATCCCCCAAAGTCAAAAGGCTAAATGGTGGGCTGTGTGTTCTTGCTACTTGACACTTGGATAATTTAATTTGTTATTGCTTCAAAACTAACGTGGACAGACATTCCACCGCAAAAGCCCATGCAATGGGGAGTTAAAAGGGTAAACATTCTACATTACTCCAGTGCGTTCCTTTGTTCTGGTTCGATGTGAGACAGCAGCGGGCAGCTTTCTTGTTTCGCTCTCGTTCTTCTCCCAACATACGACCAGTCCAATCCAGTCCAGCCTTGCCAACTTGACACCAGAATCCAATTCAGGCAATGGAGAGCAAAGTGACACGTCAATTCACCTGAGCTTCCATCAAAATTTTTGAGAAGGAAAGGTGAGACTGCTTGAGACACATGCTTGAACTCTGCAAAGATCGGCCTCAAATTTCTCCCAACATTATTATACTTGCGTAAACAACTAACTACTGAGTAGTGACTACTGAGTAGTGTGGGCTTGTTGCATATCTCTTTACTTTGCAATGTGAGGCAAGACTGGTCATTGTCTTTGCCCCGCTACAATTAACATTTCTGATACCATTCCCGCATTCAATGTCCTAAAATATCTCTTTGCTCACATGCTACCAATGTGTTGGAATCGTCATTATTCTGACATTACATGTTTCTTTGGTACAGTGTTACCAACTTCATCAAACTTGAAGTGATCTACAAAAATGCTGTTATAACATAAGAGTTCACCATATGTATTAACTGTTTCTTTGGTTCACTTCTCACCCTTCTGTTTTCAATCGCAAAACAATCTCATAGTTTGGCAGTTAAATGTATTGTTGGCCTGATCTGATCCCTTCCAGATGATCTTTGTGAGACTTCGAACATATCTTTCAACAACGATATTAGCCTTCTCGACCAAAAAAAAAAAAAAAACAATGATATTAGCCTCGATTTACTACTGATCCTATGGAAAGCGTAAGCTCCTACTCTATAATTACGCAAAGAAATGTAACTTAAAAGCCATTCCAAGCAGTTGGGACCATCCAGGATCGATCAACTGCAGTCGTACAAGTGTATGGCAAAGAGAAATGCCACCCGGGCAGAGAACATTCTGGTTCTCAATTAATACTAATCTTCCTCTGAAACCACCACATGACCATTTTCTTATATAATAATCCGCATGTTACTATGAATCTCAAGCCAACCTTTCCCCACTCACTGCTTGGTTGTCTCACCATCTTCCTCAGATTCCCTCCCAAATTTCTTTGTCTTCATCTCCACAAGTGCCTCATTTTTTAGCACAGGAATCTTAAGCATATAGACAGCACTGGTAGATCTCTTAGAAAGATTTTAGCTCAGTTTCCAAAGTTAGATCATTCACTTATTTCAAATACTAAATAATTGGCCGTATTCCCAAAATATCAAGCAACACAAATGCAGGTGAGATTTGTAACTCAAAATCAGATAAAAACATAGGTAGCATTCTCCTCAAAGCTTATATCCCTCATTGTGAATTATAGCAGATCCTTCAGTGGCTCTTTAAGGCAGCACATGAACAAGGAGGACAAAATATAACTGCTAGTCCTTCCAACAAGGGAACTACTAAAGGTAAGAAAAACTCTTCCCAAGCACAATCAAGCATCTAAATGAGTCCAACTAGCTAGATTTCTCGCTGACAGATATTATTTCAATTGTTTTCTGATCAAGAAGATAAGCCCAAAGATATAATTTTGTCTAAGAGTAGAAGATCAAAAAGTAAGAGGTTTAAGCCATTTATATTTCTATGCAATAGAGATGTTGCAAAGGCTTGCTTCTATAGTACTATCTATTTGAGAAGAGTCAGGAGCTCTCCTAGTAGACAGCATTGGGCGCAGTCCATGAAGATGAAGAAAGAAGATATTGCTGTTGTTAGTCACAAGTCAGATTCGGCTACTTATGCAGGGAACAAAGTTCTGCCACTAAGTGAGGTGTCATTATCCTCCTCCACCAGCAAAAATGATCAATGTAGCACCAATGAAAAGAAAGGCAAGCTTAAAGGGGATAAAACCAAAACCATGTCTAGAATGAAGGAGTTGTTGAGATGGGCTGCTGTTGCAAAATCAGCGAAAGGTGGAAACTTCATCGGCGGAAAGGTACAAAAATGTGTGTTCATAATCTTAATTTCGTCTTTGAATTATTACTACTTACTTTTAGCAGCTAAGAAGTGTACTTAAGGCACTTGAAATTCTTTCCAGGTTTTGCAATTCAGGAATCGTGGAGCTCTAAAAGCAGTGCCAGATGATGACCAACTTAGCAATGACTCTCCTAAGATAAGTTTCAGATGGGATGCGGAGAGCTGCACCACTACTTCCTCTGCATTATCAGGCGTTTCCGTGACTTCTTCGCTGAGAAATGATCAAACCTGCAATATAGTATCATTGAACTCGACTCCTATACACGGCTTAAATCGTTGCTCTAGCAGGAGAGGAAATTGGATAACTACAGACTCTGAATGTAAAACTCCTCTCTCTCTCTCTCTCTCTCTCTCTCTCTCTCTCTCTGCCTCTATTCCTCGATCTGATCTCCAATTCACTGATCTAATAAATATATCTGTTTCTTCTTCTGGACAGTTGTGGTGCTTGAGCTATGAGGAGATAAAGAGACTGATCGAAGGCTGAAGTTGATGTTTCCAGGGTTGAATGAATCAGCAGAAATACTCCATCGCCATAGCTTAGATGGATAAATTAATGTATTAAAATTTCCTGTTTCTTGAGATAATATCTGACGTTTCTTTAAATGCAACGTCAGTGCTAGGGATCTGAAATGTATGTGTATGTAGCACCAGAGAGAGAGAGACTAATGAAGATTGGCCTACATCGTGACTTTAACCCATTTTCCATTAATCTTTTTTACATGAAATTAAAGAATGTCCGATGCATGTCGGTAACTATGAATATGGATTATTATCTAGCCTAACCTGACACACATATTAAGTAATAAACGAATCGAACATAATAAATTTTATTATGTTCATGATTTGTTTGTTTGTTTAATTAATAAATTTTGTAATAGTATTCATTATCTTTTGTTAAGTTTAATAAACGTATAAAATTAAATATATTCAAAAGCTGTTTGTTAACAAATTATTTTATATATATATATGTGTATAAAGAAATTAAATATAAAAAAAAATTTATAATCATGATCTGTTCATTTAATTAATGAACCCTAACTCATAATTATTTATTAAATTTAATAAACGAATACAAATAAATAAAAATTAAATATTGTATTTTTTTACAACCGTAACTAATTTATAAAAGTGTAGGATGATTATTTTACTTAATGAAAACACAAGAGAAAGGGAAAAATTGCGAGTTATAAAAGTATGGAATCAAACAATTTTTACAAAGTAAAATGGAATTATTAGAAAAATAATTTGTACAGAAGCCATTGTCAATAATTAATCGAAAATAAAATATCTTTATGTAGAATAGTTATTGAAAATTGTGGCTATCAATTCTTACATAATAATGATGACGAGAAGCCTTTTGCTCTGTTTCTTTCCTTTTCGTTTTATTGAATTCTTTGGCCCAATTTTAGGGTTTGAGCTTAGTTGATTATAATAAGCAAGTTGTTGGACAGATGAAATGGTATTTCTGCATTCAAAGCCACCAAGGGCGACAGCTGACAATTTATTAAACGTGATGGATCGATGGCTCAATAAAAATTAATTAATTTCACCATCTTCTTTGAGTTAAGAGAGGGTTAAGATTTTTTTTCAAGAGAGTTACATTTATGAATTGAAATTATATAGCAATACAAAATAATTATTAATAAATATGACATTGTTATTATTTTAATATAAATATTAATTAATAAATTAAATAAATTACAAAAAATACCAGAATATTATATTAAATTATCTAATATTCTACTCGAATTTCATATTTTTTAGTTTCAAAATTTTTCTTTATCAGTAATAAAAAAAATAAGTTAAGAGTTGAGACTTAGAGATCGAAAATCAATCACTCATGAATGTGTGAAAATGTAGCAATTTTTTCATTTTTCATTTTTTTTTTATAATTATTACAAAGAGAAAAGAAAAAGCTTTTTCTCTATGGCTCTTTTCTGTTCTCCCCTTAAACAAAATCTAAATAGATTTATAAAAGAGGAGTAAATTATTCTAAAAATTTTGGCCAAAAAAACTATTAAAAAAAAAGAATAATAATATAAATTAAATATTTTACTGGGTCAGTTCCAGTGATGCCGCTGACAGGCGTAGAAGCCGGGGAGCGCATTGGTGGAAATTCATTGAGGCCTTATAAATTCATAATTTGGAGAAATGAAAATCTCACTTACAATAATTGAGATTAACGTACCTTTTTTTTTTTTTTTGCACTTAAAATTTTATATTAATAGAAGATAAAGAAATCTGCACTAATACAGCTTTGTGATCGAAATGCACCACCAATATTACTACTCTAGGCTCTAGCCACTCAGTAACGCATGATGTTTTAATGCAAATTTTTTTGTATGAATTATTGATGATGTTTTTTTTTTTTTTTGAAAAATTTATCCTTATCACATGTGTAAAAATTAGTAATTATTTAGATTAAGTAATGTGTATTTGAATTTTTTTTATAAAAAGATTATAATTTAAAAGTATTGAAATTTAAATTTTAAATATACAAAATGTCATTTTTTAAAATAAGATAATTTTATGAACCAATTGAATTATTATTATTTGCTTATTTTTTTAAAAGGTAAATTATATAATTGATCACTCAATTATTGCGATTATTTTAAAAATGATTATTAAAGTATTAAAAATTTTAATTTAATCATCAACGTTTGAATAAATATTTTTTTAGATCATTATATCATTAAACAATAACGTTTATATGATGTGATTTAATTGATCAGAAACATTATATTTACATGATTCAATAGCAAATGCTATTATCCAAGGGTACCAAACACACTAATCCATATAAATGTTGATTGCAACAATCCCAGCTGAAATCTCCATAGAAAATTTTCGTCAAATGATGATCCAAAAGTAACAACCAATATATAAAATTTCCATTTATAACAATAGTAAAATGTAGCAGCAGCACATATAAACACTTTTTCAATAAATAGATATAAATTATAAACATATTAAAAACAAACCAAATTGTTGCCCAAATTTGAGATATAAAGAGAAAAAAAATACCGTTCTCTGCCTCTTAACTTTCAAGTAACATATTGCAAAGGATATATCTCTCAACCTTCCATTTTTGAGCATTTTTAGGGACCCATGTGGAAACCTTAGGAACCTTAATTAACTCAAATAATTATCCTAAAAACTATAAGTATTTGCAACTCTTATTATTAAAGTCAGGTTATCATAAAAAAATTAAATTTGTATGATGCATGATAATCTATCCAAATGCTAAAATTTTAAGAATACCTGTATCTGACATTTCAAATCTATGTAGATACTCGATATTCATGTCCTTTAAAGTTTAAAATGAAGCCATATTATTAAAAAGTAGCATAAGGATATAAGATTAGAAAATTGAACATAAGTTACAGTAGTATCAGAGATAAAAGATTTCAAGCACCAGAAGCATGATCCCTAATTCATTTGTTTATACACATTCAAGATTATTGAGATGAATGTATTTCTCAATAAGAAATAGACAAATCTCAACCAAGAATTGCAACCTAAAAACCTTTTTCTAGGTTTGTCATTTGACTCGAAGGTCTTAAACTCAGTTGGTATTTTCACAATGATAAAAAAGAATACTAATATTAAAGTTTTTCATCCTTAACTAGAGGAGAAGAAACAAAGGAGAATAAGCAAGAAGAAGAGGGAATGAACTAAAAAAATTAGGAAAAGAAATGAATAAGAGATAAGAGAAATAAAAAAAAAAGTTGTAATTTTATGTGTGACGTGAAAAAAATAAATTATGTAAGCAAAGTGTTTTTGATCAGTTAAGCCACATTTGATAAATGTTACTGTTTAACGATACAATGACCTAAAAAAACATTTATTCAAATATTAGTGATTAAATTAAAAATTTTAATACTTTAGTGACTATTTTAAAATAATCGCAATAATTCAATGACTAATTATGTAATTTACCATTTTTTAATTACGTAAAAGAAAAAGACATTTTTGTTAAATGTAATTTCCTAAGAATATTTTATAATGAAAACTTAATTATTGTTGTACAACTAAGCAACTTTGCATAGTATTTATGAATAGAACCAAAAAATAAATAAATAAATATTATAGTTTATTATAATATTTGATTATTATGATTATTATTAAGAAGGAAATCGTAACCTTAAATCCAAGCTCTTTAAAAGGGAATAAAAACTTTACAATATATTTAACTGTACGCTGTTGTGTAAGATCTCCAATTGACCCTCTTTTCCATTGTAAATATGTGAAAAAATAAAAATAAAAAGTGCAGTGTAATGAAAAGCAACGAGAGCATATACCAACAATTATTATAATATAATTAATTAATTATAATTTAATATTATGTAAGATTTATAAAAAATAAAAATAAAATTTATACTTTTAAATGATAAATTCTTACATAATTAACTAATTATTATATATATTTTTATTATAATTAATTATTATATTATAATAAAAAATTATAAGTGATATAATTCTGCAAACAACGCATATTTAAACATAATTTCGTCAATCCAAACATAATTAAACCAAATGAGTTGTTCCAACATTTTTGGATAAATCATCCATGTATGGATAAGCCGAGTATAAACATAGAAACAAATTTCATTTATTTACTTTTATAATTAAAAAATTTGTAGAAATAATTATTAAGCTGTCGTTCTGCCTAATTATCGAATATTTTTAGTTGTCTCCCATTATGAAGACTTTTAAGTTAAAAAATTCAATTCTTACATGGTGCACCGTTTGTGGTAGACTTTCGCCAAGTATTTTTTGGCACTAATTCTGCGAGCGGCGGCCCAACCTATCCACTGGTTCTTTGCTCCTCTGCCTACAACCACGCCCATGTCGGATGGGGATGGGGGTGCTAGGCTGGCCATTTGCTTTCGAAATGGTCGAGCAATGAGATTGTGATCTCTTCCCCCATTTTGTAATTTCTATAATACTAAAAAGATCATTTATTAATTAACCTAAAGATTGATGATTTGTGTCTCAATTTATATTTTAATTTGAAAAAAATATATATAAAGGTTAAATTATGAACTATTTTTATATCTAAAAATTAACTATTGGATTTTAGTGTAAGATATAATATTATTTCGACATTCCTTTACACTTTTAGGAAGAAAAAATAAGTAAAAAAATAATTTTAATTTAATGACTGAATTACATTACAATATGTATTATTTTATAATTCAATCATTAAATTAAATATTTTTATTTTCTTTGCTTCTTATCAAATGGAGTCGAACACGAAGTTCAAGATTAAGTTTATCTTAAGTCAATCACCCTATTACAATTTGCAAAGTGGAACTTGTTCAATTTGATTAAACCTTAAGGAAGTCAAGTTTGAACATGCCAAAACTCCTAATCAATTTATTGCTATTAAATTGTACATCTTCCATTAAATGTGCTAAATTCCCTATCATGGTTGGTTGTGGGTTGTCCTCCATCATGCCCTCAATTTAATCCAAAATTAGTAATTCAAGACAAAATTGCATACCATCCGAAAATCTTGCAATCCTTTCATATACTTACTTTCATTGTTATGAAAAAAAAAATTTAAGAAATGGGTTTAGTGAAATTATTCAAATAATTAACAATATTTATTTGATTTATTGATAAAAATTTCAAAAAAAAATTTATGTAGAAGAGATTGTGATTTTAAAAAATGAATTATAAATACTAAATTTAAAATTTAAAATTATTAAATATTATTGTTAAAACTTTAATTTTAATACTTAATAAAAAAATCTCAAATAAAAAAGTCAAATTCCAAAACCAACCCATGATTGCTATGTGCTATTGACGTTTATCCAAATTTCAATGTTGTTCGTAGTAAACATTTATTGTTGGACGCTACCTGACTTTTGTTACATGATTTAAGATTGAAGCACAAGAAGATTCACATTTCATAATGTTTTCTCTTTAATAAACAAAATAAGTCTTGATTATTTTTTAAATCAATTAAAATTAATATTTAAAAATTATAAATTTAAAAGAATTTAAGCGTGTAATATTTTTTAAAATCAAGGTTGTAATAATATAAAATTTTAAAAATAAATTAAAAAATTTTTAAAAATAAAATAAATATATTTATAACTAATGGGTTAAAAAAAAAAAACATTTATGATTGGAAGGTAGACAATGTCAAAAGGCAAAATTGAATAAACAATCAAAGATAGGGCAGATCGTGCGTCAGCTTGGAGTAGAAATCGATAGAGTTGGTGGATCAAACAATATCCTTTTTTTTTTTTTGTTTGTCGATGGCAGAATAAGGAAGATTGGGATCAAATCTTAACTGTGTATCCTTTTAAGATTTGTTTGATCACTAGATTAAAAAGCTGAAGGTAAAAATATCCTAACTGCTGCGTTATAAGCTGAGAGCTCTCTGGCCAAAAAAGATAAATAGGTATAATTGATAGCTTTTTCGTGGGGTCAACAACAACCGTTCTTGACGACAATTCTTCCGCCCCTGTTTGCCCCCCGAGAAAATTGCTCACTCTATTCTCTTTCGCCAAGAAATTGGAGAAGAAAATCCCATTTTCTTTCTGTTAGAAGAATTGGAAAAATAATGGGCACGCTCCAATTAGATCGTTAAATCATAAAAGTTATATAGTTTGGATTGCAATCACAATATTAATAGAGTTCTTTTTTTTTTTTCTCCAATTGATTTATTAAGTCACAAAATTTTAAATTAATTTTACGATCAACCATAGTGTTAATTGTCAAATCAAATCCTAAGTAGTATAATAGTATAAATTTAATTGAATACATGTTGCAATAATAAACATAATTTTGATTTTTTTTTTGTCATCCAATAATGAATTTTCTTGTTTTTAAATTACAATTATAATTAAATAAAATATTCATTCATATAATCAACTATTACATCATAATTAAATTATAATTAATTAAATAATTAATTAACAAATTAAATAATCAACTAATAAATTATAACATAATTAAATAATCAAACTAAATATAATAAGATTTGAATCTAAAATTTTGAAATTGAAAAATCTCTTCTTTATCACTAAATTAAGATTTTTTTTGGCAATAATGAATTGTCCTTTAATTTCTATTAAGGGTAACAAAAGTAATTTTCCTTTTGGGTTCATTCATTAATTAATTGAATTTGATGAAGATGATGAGTAGATTTTTTTAATTATTAACTCATTTATAATTGATAAGGCTAATTATATGCTTATTAAATGGATAAGGTTAATTATATACCTATTGTCTTTTCAAGCTTTATATAGTTTTTATTTAATTTTATTAAATTATATTATTTAAAATTTACGTAATTATTACAGTTGTGTGTACATATGCAATATAAAGAAATGTTCAACGAATCAACCACTCCATTTTGACATTACCGTTTTCTAACCATAATTAATGTTTGTTTTTCCCAAGTATTCCTATATTTCTTCACATTTCCCTCCGATTCCCCGTTCCTCACCCAGCTCTCTCCCTCTACATTTCCAACTACCTCCGCTCTCTCTCTTCTCTCCAAGTCCCTTCAATGTCAGATCACAACCCCAAAGAACCCAACATCAACACCCTTAGCGTCGACCTAACCGAACTCATCCTCTCTTCCCTTCCTATCCCTTCCCTCCTCCGTGCTTCCTCTGTTTGCAGACTTTGGCATTCTCTCATTTCCTCCCCTACTTTTACCCCCCCTTCTCTTTCCTACCCTTGGTTCTTTCTCTTCGGTCTCCACAACACTTCTTGTAGAAACAACCAATCTTTTGCGTTTGATCCTTTATCCAACACCTGGATTCGTCTCCCGCAACTTGATGACTCCTCTTCCTCATCTTTTCTCGGCTCCAATGGCTTCTTTTTCACCACCACTCCCAAATTCAGCTACACCCCAGCTCTCAAATACACCTGGCGTTTAACCTCTCCCTTGATGTACTCCAGGATCAACCCTCTTTTAGGTGTCTTCCATGATGGTTCCTCTGATGGGTACGGCTTCAAATTCATCGTTGTTGGTGGGGTCAGGTTCATTGGTGGCTTGGTCGATATCGAAGACAGCTTGGCTGTTGAAATATACGACCCAAATCACGATTCTTGGGAGCTTTGCCCTGCTTTGCCGGCTGATTTCAGGTCTGGAAACTCCAGCCAATCTCTTTCATCAGCTTTATTCAAAGGCAAATTCTATGTCTTTGGAATCTACTCCTGCTTCATCTCTTGGTTTGATTTAGAAAACCGCGTGTGGGGCGAGGTCCAAACTCTCAGGCCACCTGGGGTAATGTTTTCTTTCTTGATTTCATGCAATGACATGCTTGTTTTGGCTGGAATGTGCAATGCGCCGTGTGGACCGTCGTTTAACCTCTGGAAAATTGATGATAGGACAATGGAATTCAGTGAGATTGCGATTATGCCTCACAGCTTGTTATATGGTTTAGTGGATAACGAGGAAGATGACAAGTTTGCAAGCTTGAAATGCGTAGGAATGGGTAATCTTATTTATGTTTTCAACGAGGAGTCCCACCAAAAGTACCCGGCTTGTCTTTGTGAAATCACTGCAGAAAATGGAAAGAGCAGTTGGAGGAGAGTGCCTCAGTTACCTTCACCTGTTAACAAATTCCATAAAGTCATTAGCTTTTGTTCTACCGTTTCTCTAACTCATATTTTTCACCGACAAGAAGATGTTGGGACGGCACAAGCTATGTATGACTGACTGATTTGCTGAATTACTTGGACTTTGGTAGGTTTGATTGTTTGAACCTTGAATTTCCTTGCCTTTTATCTTCTTTTATGCTTGATGGATTATATATTGTGTTAGCATTGTTATTTGGGTGATCAGAATTGTCATGAACTCATGATGATTATTACAAACTCTGTTTAAAATGTTTTTCTTTGGAAAATTGTTTTCAATTGTATAGATTAGTTAGTGTGACTGAATTTATTTAAGTTGTGATGTTGAATGAATCTATCAACTTTAGTAGTTATTGATTGGTGGATGAATGGGATCTAGCTCTAGCAATCAGAAGGTTGAACCTCTAACCCAATTTTTTTAAATGAAAAAGATAGTGGAAGTTAACTTGATATGTTAATGCTGCTTTGTCTTGGTAACATCAAAATCAAATATGAGTACTTTTTCTTTTTGTTTACCCATATTTGGTGTTTTTGGATTCTTTCATAGCCTATTATCTCTGTATTCTGTGCAAAACAGGATATCTTTCCTTGATGAATTATATGAGTATGCCTCTTTTTTTTGGAAAATTGCTATTCCTGAACATAATATAGAAGGTTTTGTTGCATCCTTATGGCAATTTGTCGTACAAGTACAAGCTGTTAGCAAAATCCGGTTGAGTGGAGCAAAATGCAAATAATGTCTAAGTAGTTGTTTTGGTGGGTTGAGCATAACTAATCTTTGTAATTGTTGTCATTCAGCAATTCTTTCTTCATAATTTTTACTTTTCAGTTCATTCCTAATAGCACTGACATAATCGAACTTCTGTTTTACTAGCTATTCGTGTCTAGTTACTTGCTTTTGCTTCTTCAGAATTGTTAGTGAAAGCTGAGCCTTCCATCTCATTCATGAGCTGTTGGCTTCGTGATTGTTTCATTTTCTTTTCTTTCTGTATCAATCTACTAAAGATGGCATAAAAATATCTCAACAGAAATTTCAGTGTTTTCATTTGGGGTGTGGTGTCTGTCAGTCATTATCTTTTCATCAATTCTCATCTTTCGTTGCCTATGGTACCTGGTAGTTGCAAATTTAAGGTACCTATTGAACCTACGCAACCTTGGATATTATTGCTAGAGCCACTGCCAGGGATGCCTCAGGCAAATAGTTTGTAACCTTGAGAAATCTTGTTTTTCTGAATGCAATTTCTGCTGCGTTATTCTCATGTAATGGTTGTTGTTATTGACGTATCATCTTTCAACAGCTAGATTGATAGCAGTACTACAACAGATTTCCTAGAATCCAATAAATGGTGGCTCATGCTTTAACCGAGAGACGAGCTTGCTGGTGCTGCTACTATACAATTCCTCATCTGCCAGCCCTTGCATATCGGTATTTAGAAAACGTTGTGAGCTTTATTTTCAGAGTCTCACAAGTTTTTCCAGCAGCTTATTTTCTTCTCATGATCGATCATCCCTTGAGATTGGTCGTCTTATCTGTTACAAGTAATTCAGAAAACGTGTGGAATATGAAGCTTTTAAAGATATGGAGTGAGGACTGATTCAAACTCTGATTTAGACTTCTAAATTTCCTCCCTGCATTATCTGCATATACAGGGATTCTGTTTGTTAAAGCCATGTTTGGTTATTGGTAAAGAATTATACCCTGCATATAGTTGGAAAGCATATTTAGTTTGCTGTTGTGCTGCTGCTGCATCGATTGGTCAGAGAATGAGACCTGGGTTTTGCTTTATGAACTTTTTTCTCTATTTGACACCAACAAAGGGGAAAGGTTTGCCGTTATTTGCTTGGATGGTTTTTTTCAGTTGTCTTCAGGTATCATAGATGACAAATACTTTATTATAAATTAAAAAAAAAATAGTGTTCTGCCTCCGCTTACCATGAGTCAATTTTTTATATTAATAAATTATAAAATTTAAAATTATAATACAATTACTTATCGTATCTATATATTTGAAATCTAAATGTATTTTGAATTTTAAAGAATTAAACCTTATTTATTTAGACTACATTTGATAGAATAATAAACCATAAAACCTAAAACTATTATGTCTTACCCATAAATTATAATATCATTTAATTTATTTTTTTATTATTTAATCACCACAATATTTTTTAATTCAACAACTAAAATTAAAAAAATCTAATTACCATTAAATATTTTTATTTTTACCATCCTTTTATCAATATTTACTACTTGGGAACATGTCACATATTGTAGTATAATTAATTAATTATATTTAAAATTGTGTAAAAATCATCAAAATTTAATATAAAAATTATATATATAAGTGGTGGATTTGTTACATAATTTTTTTATTATGATTAGACAATTATAATATTATAGTAAAAAAAATTGTAAATGAAATGCTTCTTACATACTTTGAGGTAAAAAACTTTGCTAAATATACCAACAAAATACCAAATGTCATTTAAACATATCACTTCAATTAGTTGTAATATATAAATTATAAATTATAAATATTATTATAATAAATTAAAAACAAAAAATTGTCATTGGTTAACATGCCACGTATCAACAAATGACCTCTAATCATAATTTTTTATACATGTATATAGAAAATTCAAGCTTTAAGATAATATTGAATTATTCGTTGAATCGGTGTTATAAAAAGTTTTAATATTTTATATACTAAATATAATGATAAAATCACTTTTTAAAAGTCCCATTCTCTTAGTTTGATTAAAACCTAAATACAAAAATTGGGGTGATTTTATGCAGATACGATGATTCATATATTTGTGTAATATAAAATATTAAAATTTATATATTTATATTATATTTCAAACGAAAATTACGTATCATAATTTGTATCGATATGAAAATAAAAAATATAATATAAAATATAAATTTTTTTGTTTTTTTTAATTTGTTGGGCCTTAAGCAATAAACACAACAACGCAGAAGTAATATATCATAATAAACCAATAATAATATATAACAATCAATAATCAACAATGCAGGAAAAATAAAGCACACCAAGATTTACGTGAAAAATCTTTCAGTGTATAGGAAAAAATCATGGATCACCAGACAAATCTTCACTATCAAATAATGGATATACAAAGTTTTTCTATAACTAAAACTAGAGCTAATCAACAACTAGAGAGACATAATTAGAGAAATTTTACCAAATAAGTGACTCAACAAATACACATTGGATTTGTTCCTAGACAGTCTCAAACCCGATATTCACTGTTCAAAAATTAAAACTCTAAATCATAAACCTGTTAACAAAATTTTAGTTCAATAAGATCACGGATCGACTTCTGTTCAACTAACTTTCCCTTATCCCTTTTTTCTCTATCTTTCTGGCTTTTTTTCTTTTTTTTTTTCTTGATTTGTGACACCATCTTAAAATAGTCCCACATTATTTTATTAAATAACTAGAGCTCAATGTAAAAAGAAAGACCGAGGCTTATGGCCTTTAATTGGTCTAAAACCAATTACATAAGGTTGGACCTCATTTTTCTAACAATCTTTCTCTCTAGCTCCATTAGGAGAAGATTCATCACTATAGTAGTTTTCATTTAAAATTTACTTTGACCAAGGAACTTATTTCGGTTAAGTTATTGCAGAGCTCGAGTTTCTCTTTGAAAAGTGTTTTAGTCAACATATCTGCTATATTCTCATCAGTATGAACTTTCTTCAACAACATCTATTATTCCTCAATCATTAACGTAACTAGTGATATCTAACATCAATGTACTTTGTTCTAGCATGATACATGGTATCTTACTCAAATTTAAAACATTCTGGTTATCATAAAATACTATATACTCTTTCTGATTTAATTTCAATTCAAGAAAAAAATGTTTCATCCAAAATATTTCTTTACCTGCTTTGGTTGCTGCAATATATTTAGCCTCTATAGTTAACAAAGTAATACACTTTTATAACTTAAACTGCTAAGACACAACTCTTCTTATAAAAATGAATAAATATCTTGAGTAGATTTTCTACCATCAAGATCACCTATCATGTCAGCATCAATAAACCCTTCTAGAATTAATTATAAAATTTCATAACTCAAGCACATTTTTGAGGTGCCCATCAAATATCTGAAAATTTATTCATTGCTTTTTAGTGAACCTTTCTTAGATCAGAAAGAAATCTGCTCATTACACCAACTACATGAGCAATGTCAGGCCATATATAAATCATAAGATACATTAAAGAACTAACTATAGAAGAATAAGAAATACTAGACATAGCTAGTTGCTTCTTCAGACACTGGATAAGATTTCTTACTTAGATGAAAATGATTGGTAAGTGAACTATTAATTGATTTAGCATGTTACATGTTGAATCTACTAAGCATCATTTTAATATGTTTTTCCTGTGACAATCATAGTTTTTTAGCTCTTCTATCCTGAATAATATCCATATCGAGAATCTGTTTTGCTAGACCTAAATACTTCATATCAAAAGACTCAGACAATTGTTCATTCAACCTGTGAATTATACCAGCATCTTGTCTCACAATAAACATATCATCAACATATAATAACAGAATAATGAAGTTATCATCAAAAATTTTTTTGACATACATGCAAAGATTTGCTACCATTCTTTTATAGCTATTATTCACCATAAAAAAATTAAACTTTTTGTACCATTGTCGCGAAGCTTATTTCAAGCCATACAAGTTTTTTTTTTCAATTTACAAACTAAGTGCTCTTTTTTTTTTTCACTTTAAAATTCTCAGACTGGTTCATATAAATGTCGTCCTGCAAGTCACCATGTAAAAAAATAGTTTTAACATCAAGTAGTTCAAGCTTAAGATTCAAACTAGCTGCTAATCCTAGCACTACGCGAATGAAACTCATCTTCACAACTAGAGCTAAGATCTCATCAAAATTGATGCATGATTTCTAAAAAAAATCTTTTACCACAAATCGAGCTTTATACCTTACTAATTTTTCACTATCTTTTTTTAACTTGAACACTCATTTATTCTTCAAATGGTTTATTCCCTTTTAAAAGTTTAACAAGATCATAAATATCATTTTTTTGTAATAACTTCATCTCTTCTTTTATTATTTTTAATTAGTACTCTCTATCTGGAGTAACCTGTACACATTGAAAGCTCTCTAGCTATCCCTCACTGGTAACTAAAATAAAATCTAAAATTAAATACCTGATAGATGGCATGTTCTTTTTAGTAGATCTCATTGGCTAAAACTCTATATCACCTGATACTGAAGCTAACTCCTCTTACTTAACATTTCAAGTAAAGAAGATTGCTCTTCCTATTTAAAATTAATTGCATCTAGCACATCACTAACTGTGGTTAGCTTATTCAAATCCCCAAGTTTTATTTTTTGTTCATTTTTATCATCTGTGGCTCTTTCTTATAAAACCCTTGTCGATTTTAAGACATCACATTCAACAGTAACTCATGTAATCTTCTTATTTTTTTAAATATTTTTTATGATTTTTTTTCATGAAAGACCATATCTCTGCTTCTGACTGTCTTTCTCTTCATTGGATCTCATATCTTGTAATCAAATTCTTCATTACCATATCTTACAAACATATACTATATGGCTTTATTGTGTAGCTTTGACCTCTGTTTTTCAGTAAATACATGAATGCTTTACACCAAAAAACTTTCAAGTGAGAGTATGAAGTATTTTTTTTTGTCTATACTCTTTTTAAAATGTCAAAATCCAAAAGAACTTATGGTGATCTATTAAACAAATAACAAGTTATGTTGACTGCTTCACTCTCTAATGGCTTTGATAATTTTACATCCTCAACATACATCTGACTTTTTTCATAATAGTGCAGTTCATCCTTTCAACAACATCATTACGCTATGGTGTTTCAGGTTCTATCATCTTTGCCTGATCCTATGTTTTGAACTCTTCAAAGTTTTTTGATGTGTATTTCCTATTATTATTAGTTTGAATACACTTTAAGGGTAATCCTATCATCATTTTCACCTTGACATAAAATTTTTAAAAATATTACAATATCTGACTTATTTTTTAACATATATACTCAAGTCTTACGTGAAGCATCATTAATAAAAGTAACAAAATACCTACTACCACCTAATAACTTAACCTCAATGGGATCACATACATAAAAATATATTAATTCTAATATTTTTTTTCTTTGAGAACTCTTATGAAAAAAACTCTACGATGCTAACAAATAATGATCACATGAATCAAGAGACATACATTTGGTCAAAGAAATAAGAGACTACCTTGCCAAAATCTGTAACCCTTTTCTCACTTATATGTGCCAACATCTTATGCCATAAGTTTGCTAAAGCATCATCCTCAATAAAATTTATCTGGTTACCGTTCAATTGTATCCATGTCTTATATATTGTACAACATAATTTTTTTCTTGCAACTACCATAGATTTTTTTAGAAGCTTTCACTGCCCATTCTTTTGTCGACTCTCATATCTTTTTTTATCAAGGACATTAATAACAAGTAAGTTTATTATCATATTTGAAATATGTATAACATCCTTTAAAGTCAACATGCAGCCTATACTAGTTTGTACAATAATATCATCAATTCCAACAATCTACGACATACTCTTATTTTTCATCTTGGTGCAACCAAAGTCTCTTGCCTTTTAAGTTATAAACAACTCTATCTTAGAAACACAATGATATGTCACTCTTGTGTTAACTATCCACTTAATACCAGGATCACTAACATGATTATAATCATCACGTGTACAAATCAAAGTAACTGAATCACTATCTGAATTTACTACTACAATATTACCATCATCTGAACTCTTACTTTTTCATCTTTATACTTTTGCTTTAAGATTTTATAATGTCATTTTATATGACCTGTTTTACCATAATGGAAACATTTTACTTTATCTCTAAACTTTGATCTATATTTAGACTTACTACGACATTTTGAGTTCTAACCTCTGTCGATATTTTTACCTCTATTATCTGTGATCAGAGCTTGATTCTCAAGGTTTACATCTTTTCGCCTTACTTTTTTATTAAGCATATTGTCCTTTACTATCTATAATATCATCTTATAATCAATAGCTGAATTAAGAATAATCACAACTAGAATATTTCAACTGTTTGACAATGAACCCAAAAGAAATAATACCTTCATTTCATTATTCATCTTAAGCTCTATAGTAGTCATCCAATTAAATATATCTTGAAAATCACTCAAGTGCTCTTTAATAAATTGTCTATCCCTGTATTGTAAAGTTACAAAATTTTTAACAAGCATAACTTTATTCATACTTATTTTTCTGTTATACAATGGTGTTAATTTTTCTCAAATAGTGTGAACATCTGTCTTTTATGCTACATGATGAAATATGCTGATATTAACTCATTTTTTTATTATAGTTAGCGTATTTTTGCATAGCTTCTTCTAGTTTTTACCTTTCATATCTGTTGGTTTAGTCGAATTACTCAATATCGACTTATACAAATCTTTGCAGTATAAATTATATTTCATTATAGGCTTTTCAATTGAATAATTTGATACTGTCAATTTTATCATTAAACCTCTATCACTTTCAATGATCTCAAACAGAATTTACTTCTGTCTCGGGTTACTTCTATATAGATGTCTCCAAAATAACCATCGTTTTGATATCATTTGTTGGGTCTGAAGCAATAAACACAATAATGTAGAAGCAATATATCACAATAAACTTATAGTAATAGACAACAATCAACAATCAACAATGTAAAAAAAATAAAACACATCAAGATTTACGTGAAAAACTCTCTAGTATAGAGAAAAAAGTCACAGACTATCAAAAAAATCTTCACTATCAAATAACGGATATACAAAGTTTTTCTCTAACTAAAACTAGAGCTAATCAATAACTAGAGAGAGACAATTAGAGAAATCTTATCAAATAAGTGACTCAATAAATACACACTGGATTTATTCCTGGACAATCTCAAACCCAATGTTCACCATTCAGAATGTAAAACTCTTAATTATAAACTTACTAACAAAATTTTAGTTCAATCGGATCACAAATTGACTTCCATTTAACTAACTATCCCTTTTTTTTTTCTCTATCTTTCTGGCTTTCTTTTTTCTTTTATTGGTTTGCAACATCACCTTAAAACATCCCTATCTCTTTTTATTAAGTAATTAGAGCTTTGTATGAAAAAAAAATCAAGGCTCATAACTTTAATTGATCTAAAATCAATTATATGAAGTTGGATATCATTTTCTCAACAAAATTTATATATATTTATTATAATAATTTTAAATCATGTCATTTTTATATTTTATTTTTATATCGTATTCGTATTATATTATCCATCATATTTTAAATTATCATATTCAGAGCTCTTATTGATATTAGAATTTAATACTAAAAAAAAAGAGAAAATCTTAGTTGCTTAATACATGTTTCTTTATATATAGTGGTATTCATTTATGATCAGGTTGAAAAATACTTTTGAAACAAAAAGAAAATAGCGATAACCTTTTCCCATTTTTGGTAAACAAATCAACAAAAAATATATATATAAGAAAGAAATTTCTGAGACAATTTTCTTTTGAGTACTTTCTACTCTACTTTTCTTGACCTTCAACGAAAATACTCAAACTATGAGAAGAAATAAAATCCTAATGCGGGCCCGAAGGCCCCGGCCACCTAGCATCATCCAATCTAAACAGTTCGTGAAGTACACTCGCTTTCCTGTGGCGTGTGACGATAAAAAAATTCTGTACCGAAACTTGAGCAAACCCAAACCCAGCAACAATTCCGAGTCGGAAAAAATTGGCGAAGGTGCAAGGCCAGAGAAAGAAAAGAAAAGGGCTAACAGCCTACGTTTTGCTTTTAGCCTTTGACCTTGACCCTCTCCCTCTCAATCTCTCTCTCTTTCCTTTTGCTGTTTCGCTCTGCTAGGGTTTAATCAGGGTTTTCTTCTGCTTCACAATCAGTAACCAATGGATAGATACCAGAAAGTAGAGAAGCCAAAGCCAGAATCACCCATTAACGAGAATGAGATCCGAATCACTTCTCAAGGCGCTATTCGAAACTACATCAACTATGCTATTGTTCTTCTTCAGGTTCCCTCCCTCTTCGACTCCCCGTCACCCCTTACTTTTTTTTCCTTTACTCTCATTTCTTTTAAGAATATTTCTTGCTTGTGGGTTTCTCTTTTTGTTTTGGGTGTTCAACATTGGGTTTATCTGCCTCGGCCTTTTTTGGTCTTTGCTTTTATTCTTTAATGAGTTTTTTATTTTGAGATTTCGACATAGGTATTTTTGTGCAGGGTTCAGGGGTTTTCTAGTCACTTGATGGGTAATTTTTTTGGTTTGGTTTTGAGAAAATTTCGTTGGGTCTCTTTGATTCGTAGGGCTATTTGTTTGCATTTTCCCTAGTATTCAATGGGTTCTCTGGGGTTATTATGAATCCGGTTGTTTGATGCATTTTTTTTCAGTTATGTAACGTTTGGGATTTATGTTCTGTTAGTTCATAACTATTGATAAGTTGATATTTGTTGTCATATAGATTCTGCTGCCTTTCCGTTCTTTTCCTTGGCTTCTCTTCATTTTGCGTATTCTATTCTGCGTTGATTTACCATGAATTAGAGTTTCCCCCTCATGTGAATGGTGTAATGGTGCACCCCTTTTTGGTTTTTCTTTTCCTAATAGCTTCAGAAACCGTTAGCCTTTTGTATTGAAGCGTATTGGTGATGTTAGGACAAACGTGTGAAGGAGATTGTCTTGAAAGCAATGGGACAGGCAATCAGTAAGACAGTAGCCATCGCAGAGATTATAAAGGTTTGTGTCCTTTTTTATCATCCCTGCATTGTGCTTTCCCACTTTTCCTAATTAGTGGTTTGTACTTGTAAAACAGAAAAGGATTCCCCGCTTGCATCAAGATACTGCCATTAGCTCAGTGAGCATAACTGATGTTTGGGAACCTATCGAAGAGGGGCTTGTTCCGTAAGTCTCCGGACTTTTTTATCCCCATTTATGACGTGTTGGTTTTATTCTTGTGCATCTAAGCATTTAATTTCTTCTCTTTTGCAGTGTGGAGATGACTCGCCAGGTCTCAATGATATCTATAACCTTGTCAACCAGAGAGCTAAATAAAAACTCTGCTGGGTAAACTACTTTACCTTAAATGTTGTTGGGTTTGTCCATTTTGAAGAATGAGAAAGTAAATTGATGAGATGTTGATTGGGTAGCCAATTGTTACTTTTTCAGGGAAATGAAACTATGGGAACTTTTTTGTTTTAATATAATGCTTTGCTGGGATTTGTTATACACTAATGCCAGTGATTAAATGTTTTAATAGTCCATGATATGGAAAATATTATCATGTTGCTTGTTTTATTGATATTACTCTTTACTGGTATGACTTGAAATGTGTGACTCCAGGTATCAAGCTCCCCCTTATGCTGAACAACCGAAGCCACAATATCATTACCAGCAGCAGCAACCACCCAAACAAGCTCGCATTCCATATAATGCTGTTAATGAAGGTGACTTCAGGAACAAGTAGTTCTGCAACTATTCTCTAACAGCTCTGTTCTTTTAAATCTCGACTCATTTCCTGCATTTCGTTTTTAGATTCATATGGCCAAGGAAGGGGTTATGGTAGAGGGAGAGGGCGGAGTTGGGGCAGGGGTGGATATGGAAATTATCAAGGTAAAGTTTATAGCTTTTGATTAGTATTATGGTAACTATTAATATTTGTCTTTGAACTTTTACATTTATGAAGTATAATTTTGCCTTCTAGTTGGACCACACCTCATTCTTCACTCATTTCTTATATAGATAATGGTGGATACTCAAGCTGGGGCAGAGGTGGTGGGCGAGGAAGGGGTTGGGGTTATCGTGGTAAGTATTCTTTATTCATAGCTTATGCAAGGAGAGTATTTTATCACTTTGAGAAGTTTTGTCTTGGTTTATCTATGCAAGTAACCATTGTTAACATCTAATTTCATAAATGCTATGTACAAAGAGTTCATAGATGAAGGTTCTATGTGTTAAAATTGCAAACATGGATCTAGAGTTTCATTGCTGCATGTCAACACATCCATCATCGACTGACTCTTTGCCAATTTTGACTCCTTTCAAAATAAATAATGATTTGGTTTATCTAATTGACTACAATATAAAGAATGTACAGCAAATAAAAATTTGAAATAGATCAAATAAAATAATTTCTAGTTTAAATGTTAGTTGCAACGAAGTAGAATTTGGAGGAAACATATACAATAATCTTAACAAGAATCTTTTAATTTGGATTGACAGCTTTTGCTAGTTATAAGTTATGAATCATGAACCATGGCAGTTACACCTATTAAAGTAGATAAAAAAATTACTTAAATATGTTCAAACTGAAGAAAAATAATCCGTTAGACAAATGAATTTCAATTTGCTAACTTATCAAGAATTTTCTAGTTCTTTTATTCTAACAGGTACTGACTATGAAACAGGTAGAGGTGGAGGGGGCAGAGGCTATAGCCGTGGCCGTGGAAGGATGGGTGGAGGTCGCACAAGGGGTGGTGGCTACTAAAGCATAATCAAGGACTGAATCTCAATTTTTTTTTTCCTTTAGCTAAATGCTTGCCTTGGGTAAATTGCAGTACTGTTTCTAATAGCATGAGATGTGGCTTAAAATCTGCAGCATTATTAAGCAGTGGTTTTGTGTTTCTTTCTACATTATATGGATGTGGGCAAGGTTGTTTTGTTGGTCTTTTTGCATTTAGCCAAAGGCAAGTGGATGGGTTATGGTTGTGCTGTACTTCAAGCTACCCTATCATGTTTATAAATATATATTTCTTTATTCCTTGAAAGTCTTTCTTGTCTCCTTGATTTTGTCTTTGCCCAGCCATAGTAATTCAAAGCCATGCCTGGTAATGGAATGAAAAAGAAAGTAATCTAACAATGTCACCATGAAACTTATTCTTAAATTGCATGGGCCTTAAGCCTTAAAGCAATAAAGCTCCATTGTTTCTTCTGCATCCTATTTCAGGCCTTGATCCATTTGATAGGAAAGTAGGAAAGGCTTCCATCCAAACAGAGTGTAAAGATAAAAAGTATTTGCATGGCTATGCTCCTAGGCCTATTGTATTCACGGGTAACAACAAACAAGTTTACCTTGACAGGCCCACCTTCCATCGTCAGCTTACTGTAGTTTTATAGAAGAGTCAGGTCATCATCAGTCATCATCTGGCCTTTTATAATCGTTAAAGATCGTGGAAAAAAACAGTTAAAAAAGTTTTATTGGCGTCCCAAGAGTTGGACAAAAACTCATCAGCAAGCAGCCCGCCCGTTTAATATTAACCTTTGGAAATATTTTTTGTATTTAAAAATTATTTTAATATAACTATTAGAAATAATTTTTGTGTTTAAAAATTATTTTTATTCAAACATAATATTAAATAATAAAAAATTTTGACTTTTCAATTAAAAAAATTTATTTTAAATTTAAATAAAAAGTTTATTCAAGATGTGTTTTTAGATAAAAAAAAAAGACGTTTGAGATAAAAATCACTTTATCTTCCTTATATTTTTAATATTTTATTATTTTATATATATATTTTAAAATATTTCCATTACTCATAATATATTTTTATTGCAAATTAAATACTTTTTTATCAAATATTTTAAAGCACTTTTTAAATCTAAACTTTTTTAACTATTATTTTAATGGTAAATTAACCTTTAATATTTCTAAACTTATACGAGTAAGAAACGAAATGTAAATATCAATTATATATGTACAGAATACGTTAAAGTTGTGGATTTTAAGAAAGACGATGATAAGTATAATTGTTAGTTATGTTTTGTTTTTGATTATTTGCTGCCGACACATATTTCGTACTAGCTTGCTCATGTCTCCATCGGTCACTTCTTGAAAGATATGTTCAACAAAACAAAAAAAAAAAAAGCCCTTTTTACCAAAATGGCCGATGTAAAACTCAATAAGCAATTTATAATCTTGAAAAAAGGTAATATTTTTTATCGTCATTTTAGTTTGTTTTCTTATCGGTTTGTCACATTAAAAGAGATTTTTTTGTTACAATGGTGCATGGTAAATTATGTTCATACATCTAAAAAATATATATTTTTTGATAAAAGAATAATGATACTTGTTTTTTTTTACAAGAGATGATGATAAATATTACGTGAAACAAAAATATTATATCTAAATATAATACGGATCTTGACATCTGATTTTAAAAGAATCAATTAAATTTATATATAGTTTCATTTATTATATTATTTAAATTCAAAAATTAGTATAGAGGTAATATGTGCTCAACGAGAAAATATTAATATTTTTCTAAATTTTTTTATTATTTTTAATTTTCAAATCTTTATTTTCCTATTTATTATATATGTATCAAACATAAATACTTAAAAAAAAAAAAAGAGAAGATTTTGATCAAATTAACATAATTTCTTTAAAGTTTTATCAAACATAAAAAAATAAAAGTCACAAAAATATGAGATGATAAGTGATGGCTAAAAAAAATACATCTTTAGTATTTGATTAAAAAGTTATAATATTATCAATAAAACTAGAAAGTTAATTTATTTGTTTTTTAAGTTTACATAAATTTGATTTACTATTTATTACAAATCTATTATTTTTAAGAGTTCGTGAATAATTATTGTAGATATAATAAATAAACAAATAATAATGTGTATAAATTATAATTGTTAAGCTCAAATTAAAAATAAAAAATAAAATTAACAAATAACAATGTGACGATTAGCAAAGAAATAAAAAGAGTCCAACTATATTACATTGTATACAGTACAGTATATATGGTTTTCATATATTTAGTAAAATTATTTTATAATATAAAAAAATAAAAAAAAAACCAAAGAACGCCGCTTAAACAAATTTCGCAGTAGTGTATTTACCTTGCCCCAAAAGCTGTCCTGATGTGTGATAAGTTCGGAATATAGACGCAAAGAAGTCCGGGTACATGTTTTTTCAAACCCACTATTGCAGCTCTTATTTTCTTCCAAATCGCGTCAGTACTGTATAAAAGAAGGGAAATTCAAGAGAACAGAATTAGAGAGAGAGAGAGAGAGAGAGAAAAGGAATGGAAGCCATGCGCAGCTCGAAGATGATGATGATGAGCAGCTCAAAAAAAGATCTTTTTCATGTTATTCATAAAGTTCCTCAAGGTGATACTCCTTATGTTAAAGCCAAACATGCTCAGGTATCTGTCTCTTATCATTTTATTTTCTGTTTAGAACAAACAAAACCCTATTTGTCTTATAGCTTCTTCAATCTGTTTTTTGCATGTTTATAATTTAAATATAGCATTTATTTTTTTTTACATTATTTCTAGCTCTATCTCTCTGGAATCCTAAGAGATTCAAGCATATTTTAACCTTTAATTTTGCATCCAAAACATAAGCATTTTTCTTAAGTTGATCCTAGGAAGAGAAGAAGAAGATGGATGGAAAACCTATCCCATGGAACTAAACAGAAATTAAGGAAGATCTGGCTGCTGATCACCCTAATAGTCAACAGCATCGTCTCAATGAACAGTGGACTTTGTTTCTTCTTCGTTTTTCTTGGATATCCCAAATTAATGAACAGCATATCTAGAACACCTAGGTGATGTTGAACAACTTTCTTCTATCCTATGAAGCATGGACACGCCTAAACCTTCATTCTACCAGTGTCTTTGACACGGTGGAACAAGAATGGGACACAGATATTTTTAGTTAAAGCATCTTCAATCTTTTTTCTATTTTTTCTTTTTTTATAGTATTAAATTAAAAAAAAAAAAAGAGAGCACGGTTGATCGGTGATTAAAGTTTGTTCATCTTTATTCTCTCTGAACATATTTCATTAAAGTACTTTATACCTGTAATTAACTTTTAGTTAGAAATTTAGAACTTAACTTGAATCCCAAATCAGAAGTTAATAAAATTTCTATAGATGGTATCGAAAATACATTTTTCTCTCTGCGTTTGATCCAAAAATTTTGAACTTTTCTTTAGTTGAACAGAAATTTGGTTACAATTTGTTAAAAGTACTGAATCCACTGTGATTTTGGCTTGAAAATATTCCAGATGGTACAGAAGGATCCAGAAGCAGCAATAGTATTATTTTGGAAGGCAATAAATGCGGGGGATAGGGTAGACAGTGCACTAAAGGACATGGCCGTGGCGATGAAGCAACTAAACAGAAGCGAAGAAGCCATTGAGGCTATCAAGTCTTTCAGGGGCCGTTGCTCAAAACAAGCGCAAGAGTCACTTGACAATGTTCTCATTGACTTGTACAAGGTATAATGGATGATCGATTGATTCCATCCCCTGCAACTGTATTTTGGTTTATCTTTTTCACTATGATGACATTGATGATGATGATGATGATGGATTTGGCAGAAATGTGGGAAAGTAGACGAGCAGATTGACTTGTTAAAACGAAAGCTAAGATTAATATACCAGGGAGAGATCTTCAATGGAAAACCGACCAAGACTGCACGCTCCCATGGGAAGAAATTTCGAGTTTCCGTTAGGCAAGAAATTTCAAGATTGCTGGTACGATTTTGATTTTTCTCGCTACTGTAATTTCGTGAGAACTGGGAATTCCTTTGTCTTATCCTGCTGCTTTTCCCTGTTTCCCGAATGCCTTTGTTTCTCAATAGGGTAAAGAAAAAAAATTTTCTTAAATCCTGAACTGAAGCACTTTTGGTAAATGTCGCAGGGAAATTTAGGCTGGGCTTACATGCAGAAATCAAACTATCTGACAGCAGAGGTGGTGTATCGAAAAGCCCAGATGATAGACCCGGATTCCAACAAGGCGTGCAACTTGGGTCTTTGCCTGATCAAACAAGGCAGATATGAGGATGCACGTTCAGTCCTTGAAGATGTATTGCAACGTCAAATTCCAGGTTCAGAAGACATGAAAGCCCGGAATAGAGCTGAGGAATTGTTAATGGAACTTGAAGCCGTGCAGCCACCACTGGAATTATCGGATATTCTGGGCCTTGATGATGATTTTGTGAATGGGCTTGAGGTCTTTATGAATGAATGGGCCCCAGTTAGATCAAAGAGACTACCCATTTTTGAAGAGATCTCCTCATTCAGAGATCAATTGGCTTGTTAATATTTGTTCTTTTGGTTGTTCAAAGGAGTCCTTAATTTGTGCTATATAATTGGGGTGGGATTAGTTTTATATATGTAGGAATAAGGCATGCTGTAAATACTAAATATATAGTGTAAAAGTGCACAACCGAAACCTATTTGCCTTTTATTAACACTAGTTTCCTATTATATGAACATTTCTGAAATACAAAAAAAAAAAAAAAAAAAAAAAAACTTAGTGATCTCCGGGTCACACGGCAATCGTTGTAACAGAATTCTCATTCCAGGTTAATATTTGTTACTTAATATAATATTGACAAAATTACATATAAAAAATATACCGTAATATAATATAATTTTTAAATAAATATATTTTTTATTAATTTATCTTAAAAATTTATTTCGATGTTTTCATTACCAATGCTACATAATTTTTGGAAAAAGTTCTTTTGTCATGCTAATCAAAATGTTAAAAAAATAATGCAAATAGATAGATGATATAATATTTTTTATTTCTTTTATAATAAGATAAAATTTGTACTATCAAATAATTAATTATGTATTAAATAATTATTACATCAAATACATCAAACCATCGTTTATAAATTGGATCAAACTCATTAGGAGAAAAATTATAGCCTATAAGTGTGATGATAACAAAATGAAAAAAGAATTTCAATAAAAAATAAGTAAAAAATCAAAATTAAAACCAGATTAAAAATGTGATTAATAAAAAATCAATAAAATTACATGTTAAAAAAATTTTCAAACTCACAAATTAAATTTATACTCATAATATAAGAAATTTATTAGAATCTTCAAAATAAAATGAATGTACAAGTGAAAATGAAATTTATTTTGGACCCTTTTTAATAAATTTAAATGATGTCAATATAAAAAAAAATTAATTTTTTTTATACTTAGATATTATTAATTTTTAAAAGTCGACTATTATAAGGTGGTTAGGCTTAGGCCACTGCTGCTTGACAATATTAGGCTGATAAGTAACATGGAAATCAACATATGAAAGCACATTTTTAGTATAATGTACTTTTTGCCCTGGAAGAGCAATCAACTGTTTATATCTCACCTCTGAACTTATCAACTGATGGATCATGCTCGGTCAGCAATTTCACTGGTTTTTTTTTTTTTTTCCAATGGATTCTTCACATGTCATGTTTTACGATGGTTTGATTCTTAATTTGTTCCAAAACCGGCTGTTGAATTTTTTGTATAATCCCAAAAAGGTGCAAGTTTAAAGGAGTGTTTCCTTCTTGTTGTCCTAGTTTATGTGCAGAAAAATGTAAAAATAGAATTTTTTATTAAGCAATTATGCTTATTTTGCGCTCCATCTGTACACTGAATTTCAGAGCTGTAGCAAAGGCTTAATTTTAGAACCACTTGAAAATGCTTCATTCATGCACCTAAACATGATCTTCTGAAAGCACCTTCTTTATTTATTTATTTATTTATCAAACTTCACTCTCAATAGATGCTTATCAAACTTCCACGCATCAACAAACTTAGTGCCATCAAAAGAATCCAAATACAAACTATACATGCACACAATCTTCTTATATAGGCTACAGCTGAAAAGCAAAGTGTAATAAAAAAAATCTATAATCAGGAAGAGCATCAATATTAATTGTGACTGCAAGAACAACCAATCCATGAGTGGCAATAGGATTATTGGAGAAGAGCAATGCTTCAACATTTGAAGCCACCGCAAACAGAGAGTACAATGATGAGAATCAAGGCAATCAAGATTCCAAGAACTATCAGTTTTATCTTCATATTTTGCAACCACATCTTTCTCCTCATTTTGGTTCCCTGCTGCCTGAAATCTTGTGCCTACAATGCCCAAACAACATTAGAAGAGCAGTGAACTAAGACAAATATTCAAAATCCATAACCTATAATTTTGAATCATCAGTAGGAGAATCATGTAAAGAAATTTTCAGGTTTCAAATTGACCTACTCAGCTAGCCCTTAAAAATTTTGAAAACTAGTACCAGTAAATTTTGCTTTTAAAATAAAAGAAATGCACAATTGAATGAAAGAAGCAATTCATTTTGTGTCACATAAGTTCAAGTATCCCACATTTAACTTAACATTCTTGTCTTGGACTTACCTTATGATGCTAACAGTTTACATACCAGTTAGTCACATAACAAGCCCAAATATTTCCCTATTTATGATCTATCCCCAGTGCAGTTTTAGAAACATTGGAGTTAACTTATGATGCCATCTATCTATTTTCCTGTCAGAGGTTAGCATGGGTTTACCAGTCAGTCACCTAACAAGCCCAAGTAATGCCCCATTTATGATCTGCACAGTTTTTAGGGAACAATGACCATATTTTAAAGTAGAACTATATGATATACATTTGCTGACCTGAGAGTGAAGATTTTCTGTTTTATCCACCAGAAGCTCAATTTTCTCACCACGGTCCAAGACCTGCAAAATAAATTTGTTAATGGAAACCACAAAAAAGATCACAAGCTTTACTATTCATGATCCAGAAATTTGTAAAGCTGGACTCTTTCTGCACTTAAAACCCTTACATTGCACTCCATGTTATCATGTATGTAAGGCAACTATGAAAGATAACAACAATTACCTTCTCAATGTTTTCCATCATAACTCCTTTGACTTCTGAAACTTGAGCTTTCACTTTGGCAATTTGACTAATCTCCTCTGGATGATCAATGCAATACTGCATGTGCTCCTTCAATTTTGGCCTACAACAATGATAATAAAAACATAGCATCAATGTATTTGATAACAAAGAAGACATTCTAGTTAATGGTCAAGGAAAAAAACATACCCAAACTCCTTGCTCAGGCTGTTTGCAGGAGCAGTTGCAGCTTTTCCTCCACCATATCTCTTGGTAAAATCCTCCTTAATTCTCTCGAGAAAGGCAATTGGAACCTGTCGGCCAGCTGATTCAACAGCAACCACACAGTAAGCTGCAAAGTGGAAGGAAGGAGGTTAATTCAAGCAAGGAATGAAGTAGCCTAATTTCATAATACAGGAAGCAACACAAGTTGTGAAGTAACAGGAAAACATCATGCAACCACCAAAAGTACCTTTGAAATGAACACCTAAGCTTTCAGTGTTTCAATGGTAAGAAAACATTAAAGGACCAAACATGTTTATTCTTCTACAACTATAAGGGATGTGAACAAAGGACATTAATCATTTGCTAAAGTAATCAAATTACATAACAAGTTAATAACCCTCCAAAAGATTTATATATATATATATATATATTATATAGAGAGAGCGAGAGAAAAGGTATAAGCAAATAATGACGTCAAATTAAAATGATCACACAATCATACACTGGATTGAAATAAAAAACCAAACATTTGAATTATACTCTGTTCTGACCACTAGATTTTCCAATATAAATGAATTGAGTTCAAGGATATTCTAAAATTAATGGTTTTTTTTTTTTAATGTAAATAGCTATATAACTGCTGGCTTTTTAACATATCATAAGTTGAGCAACAACAAATTCAAGAAAAAGTATGGACCTAAAAGGATGAATTAAAACCAGTATGGTTCGAATTAGTCTAGCCTCAACTCATACAAATACTTTAGTGCTTATGAATCATAGTAGTTCATAGGCATACAAAAAAGCACAAACACTATAGAATGATAAGATAACTTTAAAAACAATAGCAGAAAACCTATACACGCTTAATTTGGTTGTTTTGCTACTTGCTTTATTACTATTGACTTCTTGCTTCTTTAAAATCACTCAAAAGTTAAAACTAAACAATAAAAACTAAAATCATAATTTGCTAGGAATGAGCAAATGATTAAATTATAACACACATTCATACATAATTGTCTACATTAAAGTACAATCATGCATTTCGGTTGCTTATAAAAGTTTAAATAAGTTCTTAACTTTCAATTACTCATAAATATTAGTATTTGCTGCTGTATCCAAATGCGATCAACACTTTTGCTTCAAGAGCCTTTTGTCACAAGATTTCTATGCAGATTTAATTCATTTGAATCGGCGAAACATTCAATCTTTTAGTTTTTAATGCTACTCAGTTTTGGAAAGTTTCAATTACAAGTTAAACCATCGATTTAAATTGCATTAATCTCCCCAAATTAACGAACATGCATATATTTTATGGTAATAGAAGCATACTTCATTTCTTGCACATCTTAACCAACTCTTTGCTTAAAATAGAAAGAATCCAACTGATTCTATCTCTTTTCGATCCCTTTCCTATGCATTAAGTTATGCTGAACACAATTAATTTTAATAACCTAAAAAAGCTCAAATAATTTAATCAAACTCACAAAAGGTAAATGAAAATTAATAAACAAAAAGCGGTTAAGCAGATAAGAAAAATCGATCAACAACAATGACGAGAACAGAAAGAACTTCGTCGTCGAATCAAAGAAGCAATAAAAAGGCGGATCCGAGAGAGATAAATCAACGAAATGAGAAAGAGAGAGAGAGAGAGGAGAGGAGAGGATATTACTGAAGCCGTTATCGACGAGATAGTTAAAGGTGTGGCCATCGCAGCTGTAAGTGAACCTGTTGTTGGAAACAGGAAGTTTCTGGAGACACTGAGAAGCTATGCCGGTGAAGTTGCCAGTGAATTCGGTATAGTCGGCTAACACCACCGTGCCTCGAGACACGAAGGCGTAGATCAGCGATTGTTGCCCCATCACAATATAAAAAAAAATCCCACCCCTATCTCCCACACCCTAGCACAAAGAAATAGAGAGGATTCGAGGCTTCTGGTTTGGAAAGGTGACGAGGAAATAAAGAAATGGAAAGGATTTTATGGGAGACAGAGAGAGAGACAGAGGAAGGATGTTCGCTTGGATGAAAAGCTACGTATATGGAGACTTGTTTTTTTCCTTATTTTTTTCTTTCAAATTTTTCGAATGGCATTTGGTTCAGCTAAACCGGCTGGGGACGCCACGGAGTGTGAGCTTCGATATTGGAACATTCGGAGATTTGAATGAAAGTTTGCAATTTAGCTTGGCTTGTGTGTTTCTAGAAGAAGTCATTTTCTAACCTTTTTTATTTTATTATTATTCTTATTATTACGTTGGTTGTTTGTTCTTTTGCTTTTCTTTAGTATACAGGGGCAAGCATAATTAGAAATGTGGGCGATATATTAGTATTTTAAAATTATTTGAATTTAATTTGAATAAAATTTAAATTTAGTTAATTTGATTATTATCAAATTTAACTTAAATTTGAGTAGTTTGACTTATCGATCGAATTAAATTTAAGTATTTTTATATTCTATTCGAGTAATTTACTCGTTTAATCGAATTTTTATATTTAAATATATTTTTATTATTTAATTAATAAAATATATCGAATTCGAACTCAAATTTGAGCATAAATAATTAATTTTTTATCGAATATAATAATTAAATTTATTTTTATATATTAATTGAGTTTAATTAAGTAAGTTCGAATAGTTTGATTTTTATCTTGAATCGAGTTTAAATTAAAAAAATAAAATTCGATCGAGTTTAAATCGAGTTTCGAACTTTTAATTTTAAATTGAATTCGAACTTAAATTTAATATTATTTCGATTCGAACTCAATCGATTATATTTTAAAATAAAAATGTAACTCTCAAATAAATATTGATAATATTATAGTATAAAACTCGAAGTTTGTTTTCAATTTGATTTACTATTTCCACTTTATTGACTTCACCTATGTATTTAACGACGGTTTATGAAACAAAGATAACATTTTTTACACCCAAACAAGTATAATACTAATCAAATTGGTAAGCAAATGAAAATAGGGATTCGAAACTAAAACGTTATATTTCTTGTATCACTCTATTTTGAAAGGAATAATAAATAACGATCAAATACTTATCATACTAAGTCTCATTTGTAATAGAAATTAGTATTAACAACCGTATTTTCACTTAATCTATGAAACTAAAGTATGAATCTCTTATTATTGATATCGATTACAAATATTTATCGATTTAATATTATATCGCAAATATAAATTCAATATGATTTAAGTGATTTGAAAGATAAATATTCAAATAAATAATATGAGATTTAAGTTTTTTATTTTATTTTATAATATGATCAAAATGTTTTTAAATTTTATTTATATTTAATTTTAAAAATAATTTTAAAACATTTTTCCCACATAGAAATGAGTATTCCTAATAATAATCGAATCTTTATATGAAATTTGATTCAATTTATAACTTTGATTGAATCTATCAAGTACATTACTAACTATGACATATTGTTGATAAAGGTGAAAAAGAAGCAATTATGGCATGTTATTTTTGCTTTAGTTAAAGCTTTTATCAATCAATTTCCAACATTATTAGCGGCAGATTTGCTTAAAGATAAAAAAAATTCATCACAAGCAACTCCAGACAATGACTAAGCAAAAGAAAAAATGGTCGTTTTCCCAATGAATTAATATATTTTGTTGGAGGCCATGAATATGGGATAGGAATAAAAGAAATTTTGAAAAAATTAAAATTTGATTTGAAATTATAATATTTAATTTGATTTGAATTGATTTTTTTATTCGAGTTACATAAAAATTATATATTAAATATATATATATATATTAAGTTTGGATTAAATTTCAGATTAATAAGTAAAAAAATTCGAATTAAATTATATATTTTTTAACATTTTATAAAATAAAAATAATTATTTTATATATAAATATATTAAAAATTTTATTAAAGTAATATATATAAATAAAATAAAATTTAAAAATTAACATACTGACCTAATAAAATTTGATTTATTTAAAAAAAAATTAAATTCAAATAAAATTTTAAAATATTTTACATTATTTAAAAAATTAAATTAAATTTAATCTAATTCAAATAATTATCTCTAATAAGAAAAAATAAAATAAAATTTGATTCGGTTTAAATATGGTCGTAGTTCCGGAGGAGGCTATATAATGGTCTGGAGTGTCAAATGAGAAAAAACAAAAGGCTCGGCCCAGTTAGCGGAAATCGATAGGAGCTTAGACCCAAACCCATTTTTCTCGGAAGAAAATTCCTTCCATATCAGATTTTGATGACAAAGACTTATAAAGGACAGAAATATCAAATATGGGAAGTGAAAACTGACAAGAACTGAGAAAGAAAGAAAGAAACAAGAGAAAAACCATGAGCGGATTGGCTTCAGCTTCAACACCCAGTTCTACTTTCTTCTCTATTCAACAATCTACGATTCAAAGAAGGCGTTATATCAATCCATGTAACTCAGTTGTGATTCCTTCTACTCAGTTTTGTTCCTCAGATCTCAGCCTTAAAAGTTGTTGCTTTGGTAGGGCCAGAGTGGCTCAGAGAAGCAGTGTTATCTGCCCAAGTAGCGCTGGACCTGGTGCTCCTGGTTCAGGTGCATTTCCCTTTTCGTTTCTTGCACTAAATTCGCTTCGGCTCATTTATTTGCTGTGAAATATAAACCAACTGTGATGTGGCCTGTGGGTTTAAAAAATTTTACATTTTGGTTTTCTTTTGTTTTTGTTTCGTTTCTGAATCTCATGCTTCTTGAACTTTGAATTAATTCTAGCACAAAAAATACTATATATTAACATGATGATGGTTGTCTGTGTTTCTTTGAATTATCATTAATCTCTTTTTAATTGGAGTAATAAAGCAGAAATCTTATCATCTTGTGGTTATATAGCTGTTGGAAAAGAAGTACGAACATGAAATACTAGTATTTCCTTGATTATAATCGTGTTCAAGTTCTGCACCCTATGGGGTTAGGGTAAAAATTGAGTAATTTCTTGAAAAGAGTAAATAAACCCAACCCATAGTACACTACAGCTGCTTTTTTTTTTCTTTTTCTTTACGTGCAAATGAGTGAGATACTAGTGTTTCAGGTGATAATGAAAGCAGGAATGTTTTGGATGCATTTTTCCTGGGGAAGGCTCTAGCTGAAGCACTGAATGAGCGAATTGAGTCTACAGTTGGGGAGATTTTGAGTGCAGTTGGTAGGTTGCAGGCTGAGCAACAAAAACAAGTATTGGACTTCCAGGTAATTAGAGCTTGTTTTTGCAGATAATTCTTTGTTAAATTCATGATTTATGCAGGGCTTTGACCCTTTTTATTATCACTTTCTGAGTTTATTCAACCCTTGTAGAATAGCTTATTCGCTAATGCATGAAATGGGAAATGGGAAGGTTATGCATTCTGCTGGGCCATTGTATGTGTTTGTAGTGCATCAATATGTTATGCAAAAGTGATTGATTCTATCTCTTACAAATGAAACCTTAATGGAAAAGTTGATGATTATTTGAAGGCACTAGAACAATTGGAGCTAATTGCTTTCTTTTTCTTTCTCTAGTTTTTGACAACTGTACTTGTAAGCTTTGCAATTTTGCAGGCCTTGTTTTCTGCAAATCGTAAATTGCTCGAGTAATGACTAATGATTGCTTCATTCTTTTCCCCATCGTAAACTTTCTTGTAAAGGCCTTCTTATGCTAGCCTATTTTTTTCTTCACTTACAATAGGAAGAAGTATTGTAAGCAACTTTTTTTCTAATAGGAAAATTGTCATGTTCGGTTTTACAAATAAAATGTATTTGATGGCACTTTCGGTAACCCACACTTCTTCTCTCCCTTAACCTTAAAGATAAAAACTCATGGTGAAGTGCATGCCCAGAGTTTCAAACCAACCCAAGTTCTAGTAGTTCCATGGTCTGATTCCACTTTAGTTATTGGAACCTGAAGCTAGTATTAAACTTCTTAGCATCTAATACATGTTTCATCACAGTGGTTTTGTGTTTGGTTGTTAATCACAAAAGACATGTCCACATTCTGCATCAACTTAACAGGTCGTCTGATTTCATGACTTTTAAAGCTTTTCTTGTTGCGTGACTAAATGTTGCTTAGTGATCTATTATTTCATGAAGATATCCCATAATAAAGTTGCTTTGAGGAAGTATTCATTTTCTGGATTTTGAATTGGTCCATTCTCAATATTGCTTCATTTTACCACCTGAGATACATATTGATAATTCGTAGTATTAGATATGACATCTCCTCGATTCATTTACACAGGAAGAGGTGTTGGAAAGGGCTAAAAGAGCCAAAGATAAAGCAGCACGTGAGGCGATGGAGGCACAAGGCCTGATCCCAAAGTCTACTGCTGTAAGTGCAACATCAGTCACCAATGGTACTGCGTCTAAAGTTTCATCCTCAACTGCCGATGATAAAATTTCAGCAAATTCACCCTCCTACGATCCGGCCACCCCTGATGCTAATACAGACCCTGGACCTGCTAAAATAAAATGATGCCAATTATCCCCATTTGTCGTACTTTTCATCCGATATAAAAGATCTATTGTACCAAATAAATATCCAGGATGTTTTTTTTAATCTGTAGACTTTTTTGATTGGTCGACCCAAACCACAAAATCGCTTTGTTATTCAAGCATTCAACGATCAAATATCATATCCTTGTCCACCACCTATAAACATAATAGAGTTTATTCCAAGGGTTTCTGCATCTTTTACAAATCAGATTAGTAATGGTAATGTGAGATGTGAATGATGAACAATTTTTTCATTTCCTTGTGTTCTTGGTCTTGCTTGCAGCCAAGTGGGGAGAATTTATATTTGCCCCGACTAGTTGGGTACAGCAGAAATGAACTAAGAGAAGCATTAATCAGATTAGTACATTAAAGAGTAAGCATTAAAAGAAATTCCATAAAATTAAACAAAATTTCTCATATCCTGCATCGATCATGTTTAATGCATACATTGACACCAAAATATAAAAAAGAAAAGAATTACCAACATGACAATTTCTAGGTATGGTTAATTCTCATCACTCATCAACTTCAATACCAGACATTGGCACCCCTCCAGTGGTTTGACCCTTCCCCTTGACATAATCCACACCAAAGTCATAGTCATCATCATTGATGGCATCGTCTCCTGTGGTTGATTTGTTTTTGGCTTTTTTCCTTCTCTTATTCTCTGCTCTTTTCATCCTTGTGTTAAGTATACCTTCTATTGCATATAGCTTCTCATTTTGCCTGCTTGTAGCAGATTTTGACTTAGCTTTTTCCACATCATCTTCTTCAGAAGCCATGGGCTCATCATTACCACCCTCAGATATATCTTCTCGGCTTTCATCACCTTCAGTTGATGGCAAGGGTTTGGTATTCTCCTGAAGTACAGCAAATATCCAACAGATTTATATAAGCATAACACCATAAGTTCAAGCTATTCCACCTATTAACGTGCAAAACTAAACATTAAAAAATAATAGGGCCACCCGCCACTTCACATATGCTCATGTGTTATATCCACATAAGCATAGGAGTGGGTATCCATTGGGAAAGCAATTGCAACATCCAAATTGGGGAACCACATATAATTTAAAAGGAGCAATCACGAACCTCTAGCATAGTCTCATCGAAGTTGAGGGGGTGGCTAGGAGGAACTTCAACGGAATGGAAATCATCAGCTGACTTGAGACTTCCAATGAATGAAGATTCTGTGTTGTAAACCTCATCAACATTAAACTCTTTTCCAAGTTCTGTAACAATCCTCGCCTCTGAAGGTTCTTCTTGATTTCTGACTGGTGGCATGGTGTAATATGGAATTTTACCTGATGTATGCCAAATGGATAGCAATGTATTAAATTGGTATTGAAATCTGTTTATTCCTAAGCAATTAATTTTTCTATCTTTCAGATTTTCTAACAAAGATAGAGTGGAAAAATAGCCAAAAAATTTATTGACATGCATACCTTCATTCCAGTCATGCAGAACAATTCTTGCTGCAGCTTCAACATCCATAATACCACCCTTTTTGAGCTTTCCCCTCACAGTGGCCACATTCTGAAGGAATTCATCAACCGATTGAAAGCCTGGGATCTTGTATATTGTCACCAACAGTCTTTCTGGACAAAGCTTGAGAATTTCTCTCACTGTGTTGTAGACAAAGGAGAATTACAATTAGTATTGCTAACTTGAATTTGGCAAGACAAGTTAAAATATTGCCAATAGTTGAGACCAAAAGATTTCCCATTCAAAGATTCCTGCATAGATAGACAAACAACGCACTTGAAATTCCATTAACATGTCAGTACATATCTCACAGGTCGATCTTGTAGGAGAATTTAATGTCAGAGTAATTCCACAACTCATTTAGACTTTCGCAAAACTTAGGAGCCTAAATCTTCTATTAAATGTTCCTATGTTCCCTCTTCTCAAGAAAAGTTTGCACTTTGAGAAAACTGAACTTTACCTTTTTATTTCTCTTCATAATCCCACACCATAACCATTTTTATTTATCTTCTTTGAAATGAACGCATTTGAAAAGATAGATTTTAAAGCATGCCTTGTTTAAATATATATTGAAGGAATCATAGTTTGTATTTCTTCTAATAAAAGTATAATAATAAGTAGACTCTCCACCTAAATTCCAAACTACTCAGAGTCATTACAATAAAGCAAGTTAAATCTCTAACTAAGCTCATCTCAACTAAACTATGCCTCAATCTCAAGTTAGTTGCAGACAGCTGCATGAAACACAAAATTCGTTGGTTGAATTACCTGGACCAACTGGATCATCCAACTTCTCAATCCTTTTGCAGTTTCGAAGAGCTATTGATGCATCATTCCCTCCAGATCGAAGCATAACAACACCAGGACAGTCCAATAATTTCACATTCTTGTCCAATTGAACCTCTTGCATTGATCTTGTCAACCCTGGAGTAGCACCAACATTGACAACATGGCATCTTTTCAAGCTGTTAATTAGGCTACTCTTGCCAACATTAGGCAGGCCAATAACACCCACAGTTATGGACTTCTTTATCTGCAAAAACAATTTATGCAAAGAGATAAATACTTGCATTAGAACAAGGGATTTAAACTTCAAACTCCAACATGAAATTGAACAGGCGGATAAACCAGACAAACATAAATATATAGAGGACAGAATTACCACTAAGCATCAAACAGAGAAAATTATACTGCAGATCAAAAACAACAACTAAGTGTACCTCATGACTTCTTGAGTAATTTTTCAACAATTTAATGAGAGTTTCTGCTCCAAGACAGTCACTTGTTTGCAGAAGATTACTAGGCTTTCCTGCCTTTGAAGAAGATTTCCACCCTAAGTTTGATCTCTGCTCTTGAGTGCTGCACTTAAAGGCAACAGCAGGTAACTCTTCCCTGAGATATTTGAGCCACTTTTCAACAGCTTCTCGAGGAACAAGATCTGAAATACAAGCTTTCGTTAAAAACAGTTTAGGCAGAAAAAGTAAAGCAAAAAAATAAATAAAGAAATAAAGAAAAAAGTAAAAGGAAACAATGCCTTGATTTTACCATGGGACACACAAATACACTGAAATTGCAAAATTTAACTATACATTCATAGGTTAAATTGTCAAATAATCCCTGTGTGAAAATTCACCCTTCTTTCTTTTTGACTATTAGGATGCCTAGAAATTTCTTAAACTTGACATATTCATTGTACAAGGAAAATATCGAGTAGATAGGCAAGTGAAATAAAGAACTTACCAATTTTATTCAAAAGCAACACAAGGTGCTTCTCAGGGCCTGATTTCATCACCATCTTTTCCAAATCAACACAACGGGTACCGAGAGGATCTCTAGCATCAAGGACTTCCAGAATGACATCTGATGCTTCAATGACTTTAACCAACTCCTTGTAGAAAGCTCTATCTGAGTTATCTGCAATTAAGAAGACATGTCAAAAAAATATGAACCATCCACCTAGAATGAATCAATCTCCACCTTAATATCAACTTACCACGGACTTTCACAATTCCAATAGAATCATCAATGCCCTTCCCCTCTTCAATCCTTTGTTCTTTTTCATCATTCTCTAGTAAACCCAATTTCCTCTTTTTTGCCTGAAAATTCATAGAGGCCCAACAGATGCAAAGTAACCATTTGAAACATCATAGCAAAATTTAGAAGGGGCCAGGATATGATAGTAAACAATTCAGCAAAAAAACCAACATTTGGATTAAAAAGCATTACAAGTTACTAAAAACAAAAATAGGCAAAGTTAAAGATTATCCTATAGACATGAGCTTTAAGGGCTTAACGATATGATAACAACCAAAAAGCAAACCTCCTAACAATTCGCCTTGGCATCAAACTAATTCCTTCAATCTACCACTATACATGAAAAAGTTTAAATTTAAAACACAACCCAAGAACCAAAGCTATAGTAAAACTAATAAAGATTTTTTTTTTTTTCAATAAGAAACACATCGAAGCAATACCCTCTCCTTGCGGGCAGCTTTCTTTTGCTCCAATTCCTCGAGTGCCCGAGCTCGACGAGCTTCAAGAGCCTTGAGCTCTTGTTCCTTGAAAGGCCAATCATTGGGGATACCAGGGTCTTTCTCAACCTTTCGCTTACGCTTCAATCCCAACTTCTTGGCTTCCTTAGCTTTCTTCTTGTGATGCTCCTTCACTTTTCTTATAACTTTGTACTTTTGCTTCAGTGAAACTCTCTTGCTTTTGCTCTCTGCAAAATCATATAACCAAAATCTTAGAACCGATACTAAAAAGAATGAGGAAATCAAAAACTGAGAATTAGGTTTTGCTTACTTTTGCTCTTCTTCACCATTTTTTATTCCTTCTCACGTTGAAGTTTAAAATTTTGTTGGAAAGTGGAAGCAGCGGCCTTCTGCAGGTTTAGGATTTTGGGAAAGAAGATGGAATGGAGAAAAAAAATATTTTTTAATTTTGTTTAGGGTTTCTGGAATAGTGAGTCGGTGTGACCCGTTTTTGTAAAAAATGGAAGTGATTTGGGGTAATTTCTCAATTGCCCGACTCGTTTAGATATGAGTCCTCTAAGCGCTAAAACTGAAAAATGGAAAAATCAATGGGGTGAGAGAGGCTCGAACTCTCGACCTCAGGATAACTCAGAAGCTATGAGACCTACGCGCTAGCCAACTGCGCCACCACCCCGTGGCTTATCAACCATATTATAAAAATAATTAAAAATATATATCGAAAATATAATAGTTAATACAATTTTTTTAATTAATATTAATAATAAATTTAATTTAAATGAACTTAAATGAGTTTAACGGGCAACTCAAATTTGGATTTAAATTTAAAATGTATCAATTGAGTTAATTCGATTTATGAATATTTTAAATTATTTATCAGATACAATTTTTAGACTTAAATAATTTTATTACTTATGAATGAATTTCATTTTCATCGACTTTATTTGCTTACATCTAGATTATAGTCTTATATTTATATATTTTTAAGCAATGACTTTAAAATTTCCCAATTTTTATGTAAGTTGCCTAAACAGGCAAAGAATCATTATCCTATATGCAAATGGTGGAATTCAAAAACTACAATGAGTATGCTTTTCATTATAAATGTATATAAAGAATTGATCGATTTATATAGTGTATTTTTTTTTATTTTACATATTTTTTTAATCATTAATTTATTGTTATTGTTGAAATATCGACAACCCTTTCAGTCCATCGATAACAAGAAGCCACTTGAATTTGTCGTTCCGTAACGACATGATATCCTTGACTGAGGAAGGCCACTTCATCATCACTAACCTGCATATCAACTCTCCATTTTGTACAGATTAGTAATACATCATTGAGTTTATAAGATTTTGCGGGGTAGGGATTCAATATTTTTTGAAAATATCTACTTATAATATATATATATATAATTATAGATGAATTTATCAAATTTACCAATGTAAAATATATTTATGAGAAAATTTTCTTTCAAATTTTTATTTTTGGAGATGTTCATGAACACCCTACCTGTCTCCTTGCGACCGGTGGGAATTAGGCTCAGGCAAAGCTTGGATACCCTTGATTTTTATAAAAGAAATGAGAATTATGAAAATTGTTTATGACTGCATTGATCAAGATAAAATTAGAATAACCTTGATGAAATCAGCCTGATTCCTGATGCTCTTGATCCCATTTCTAGCAGCTTAAGGAGAAGCCACAAGGGCAAGAGCGCGTTGGGGTCACGGGAAAGCAAAACGGTAGCCTCCTTAGCCGCTTTCATGGCTGCCATATTAGCTGATTTGCATGGCTCTGATATCAGGCTTATGGATCCATAATGGAATATCCTGGCTTGCGATGAGTTCCATATTTATGTCTGAGTCCTTCAGCAAACATGACTTCTCTTTGTCCATTATTCTTGAGCGTGACGAATGCCAGGGCGGTCCTGGCTTGTTTATCGAAACAGACACCATCGCTGTTCATCCTATTCTTCTTCAACATATCCACTAACATGCGCCCAAACTCATCGTCTCCAACCTGACAATAACATGGGCATCAATTGAATCGCCTATGAATTATATAAATCGGTTCATTCATAATTTATGCAATTAAACAACAGTTCAAAACCTTGCTAATAAGGGCATCCCCCGAGCTTACCGATGGCGCATGCAACATCAGCAGGTGCGCCACCAGGAGGTTTGATGAAAGCAGATGATTCAGCCAAGGAAACACCAGGACTTCTATCAAACTTTTTTTCCCCTCATAATAATGTAATATCCCCTGTTTGCTCAAGATTTAATGATTTATTCCGTGTGCACAATTTTGTGTTATGTTTACTTTAATAATAAATGAAATTTAAATTTAACATATTTTGTATATGTAATTACGTATACTATATTTATATCAATTATCATCTAATAATAATATAATTGTGTGAATTATTGATAAAGTATTGAATTTATAATTTAAGTAATCCAGATTTAATTTTTTGTATTCTCAAACAACAAAAAAAATTATATAGTATATAAGAGTTTAAAATATGTATTTTTAAAAAATGAGTGAAATTATAATATTGATTTGTTCTTAACCTATTGGACCTTAACATCTCTCCCACCTGATGATGAGGAATTTGGGGTTTGGGTTTGAGTTTGTCCTGCGTTTTGTTCCTTGGGCTTTGAACTTGGCCATTCTTGGGCTTATATAAGTCTTGTCTTTGGACTAAGTCCAATTAAAGTTTTCACAACTCCAATAAGCAGAAGTTCCCAAACTTTCAAGTAATTGGAAAAAAACAAGCTGACTACTGAGCCCAAAGTTGGCTTGAAAAAAAAAGAAGAAGATTTGAACATTGACCGGATTTTCCGCCCAAATTGTAGGGACAAAATAGAGAAGGAAAGAGGAGATGATATCAAGAATTGGAGACGAGAACAACAACGTCTTAAGGTTCGCACATTTTCAATCGTCCAATCAAATACTATTTCTCCATTTTTCCGCTCTTTCTTTCCTACTTCTCCTTCCCTTCGCTTCCCTTTCTCCATTTAAACCACAAAGCAAAAATTGCCCATTTTTTTTTTTTTTTTGTAAACGCTAACCCTACCCCTAACCGCCACATCCCCCTCCCTCACTCGAATGCCGTTATAAACTCCTGTTTTTTTTTTTTTAGGGTTTGTCTTGGTAAAAAGTAAGAGGAAATGTTTTGATTGCTTTGCTGGAAAGAGTTTTAAGATCAAATGGCGGAATATGCAGCTTCACCGTCATGTATCAGGCTACATCTGCACCCAAGTTTTCTTAAACAGCGAAGATTTGTGCACCCGAATTCCAAATTCAGGACACCTAAAAGGTCTGCCGACTCCTTTTCTCTTATTTTTTCGTTTAGCCCTTTTCAATCTGATATTTAGTTGTTCATGATTTCTCTTGAAGAACAATTTGGGTTTCACATTGTAGTGAGCTTTTGTCATCTTTTATTATGTGATTTCATATTTGTTTGTGAGAAGTTAATGAAAACTATCGAGTTTCACTATGTTTCCGAAATCGGAATTGGTCAAAGTGGTAGCTTTAACTGCATATTTTCGTCACAACACGCGCAATGCTATGTTTTTAGCTGCAAATTGGTGTAAAAATTATATGCATACTTTTCTTTCTGCTGCTAGGCATTGCAATAACCATTGAATTTTGCTATTAGCTGTGATTTTAGCCTCACATTTGTATTTGTTGCTTTGTTTCTAGCAAGTGTTCCTATGGAGGCTGTAAAGTTTTCTGGCTTTCAACATGGAGAAATTGGAAGGTTGATAATCCATTTTTCTCAAATTTAAAAGTAAGTCCCAGCTTCAGGGAAACTTCTTTGAGGTCTACTTGCATGTGGCCTTTAGTGGACTCTGATGGTATAACAGCTTCTGATTGGATTCCTATTGGTGATCAATTACTTTTGATGGCTAGTATATTTCTTACGTATCTGGCTGGAGTAATTCCTGTTCAAAAGTCCAGTTTCACCTTTCAAAAGAACATAGCTGATGATGATGCCTTTCCCCAAAGCTCAACCTCTTCTGGTAGGTAAGGGTAAGCGTATCAAATATTTAAATACAATGAATGTTTTCCTTGTACATGGATCACAGAACAGTACACCTTTTTTTTTTTACATTTAGTACTTAAGTGCTGTGCTTTGACATATGCATGCCTTGTTTCTCTCATTTACTGAGGACATATTTACTTTATAAATGCAGTGCCAGGACAAACAGTGACCAGGATAATTTGAAGCATATCTGGGATGTAGTAAGAGGAAAACTTTTGGATTCTCTAGACGCTATTGAGCATGGGAGTGATTTCAAAGATGGAGTCCTTGATGAGCAACAGCGTGCAAAGCAACCATTAAGTTTGTACGCTATATCTGAAGGTCCAAAGATAAGATTGCTTTTGGCTTCTCTTCAGCACCTTGAGGAAGAGGCAGGCACTGTCTCTATTTGTTCCTTATGCTTTAGTTACTTTGAATATTTCCTTATTCCGGATTAAATTATATAATTTCATTATTTTCGAAGAAACTGCTTGTTTTGGATGGCTGCTGTATACCATCCTTGCTTTGCATCCTTCAAATACAAAATAAAAGGTCTTTGGGTACCAATTAGCAAATAATGTAGGGGACAAAAATCTAGGTTTCTGAAAAACTTAGGGCACTTTTGCTTTGTGAATTTAACTTTAGGATAAAAAATGTATAATCTTAACAAAAGAGGTTTTATGTTTCACTTGTCTGATAATGAACGAGTTAATTAGTTGTTCATTGAATCCAGGGGGTGAAGTAGATCTGAGTTTGTGTGAGAAAAGAACCTAGTGTTATTCTGAAAAGTCAAGTTTCTGAATTCATAAATGCCACTTTGTGCTAAGAAGTAAAGGGGTCATCTTTTATTATTATTTTGGGTTTGCAATAAGGATACCCTTGAGCATGCAACTTTAATAAAATTCCTCATTGCATGCTTACTTGGTAGAATATTAATTTTTTTATTTATTAGGTTTGTATTTTTCTTGAAGGTTTAAAAGAATTGTTTTTCAGGTGAAAAATGATGTTGGTTCTCCTGATACTGGCAATATTGATGATTGGTTCATAGCCTTTTCTAAAATTATTGAAAAATCTTGTAAGCCTGTATGCTTTGCTTGGCTGGAGAAGGAACTTGGACTTGAAACCAATAATATGGTACTTAAAGAATCTCATGATGACTGTATGATTTTTGTTTTTTGACCTTGTTTGTATGAATATCCTTTCTTTCCCTCTTTTGACAGGAACTTGTTACTCTGATAACTGAGAAGTTAAATGGAGACGACACAGTTTTACAAAATATTAGAAAGTCGGGGAAGGAAAATCTGTATGCAGAATTGTTGTATTTTCTTAGATTTGATTCTCTAAGGTAAAATGAACTATGACTGTCTCCTTTTTGTGTGTTTATCATAGTTTGTTCAAAGATTATTGTTTCTATATGTTTTAATCTTCATAGATTACTCAAGATCTTTGTAGAATATGAATTTCTGGGTAGTGACCGTTGCATTTAGTACTCTGGTTGAAAACTTCCAGGCTACTTGTTCAATCATTTGTTGCATGCCTTATTTTGTTTCATGTTTCTTTCTCTTCAGGAACAATTTCTAGTTAATCTTTTATGCATGTATGCTAATGAATGGATGGAGAATGATGACAAGATATATATATGTGTGTGTGTGTGTGTGTCGTCTATGTCTGTAACCTTCTCTTAAATCATGCTTGAAGGTGTATAACAAGTCTCGTATTTCTCGGCTGCTGGCTTCTTAACTCCCTTATTGTGGTTTATGCCCCCTAACCACTGCTGGGAATTTCTTTCGTTTTTGGGTTTTCGAAGTGCATGAAACAAGTGAATTCTGAGTTGGTTCAGAGGAAACGAACCTGGATGTTTCCAAGATGTGGGATTTAAATGCCTTGATGGCCCTTTATGTAGCCAATATATTAAGAGGAACATTTGGAAGGCAGAATACATTTGACCCTTCCAAAGTTTTGGATCCCCTAAACTCCTTGACTTTGTGAAGTAAAAGAAGGTGTTCCATCATAATGAAAAATTATGCAACTGATAGAGCTCATAGGTTGTGGGGTAATTGACTGTTTAGCTTTTCTTTTTCCATCTGAAATTCATTTCCCCCAACTTACCTTCCTGGAATATAAATCTTAATAGATATGATTCGAACAAGTACACCATATCCCATTGATCAATCCACTGGTTAGAGTGATACTAGATTGATTGCCAGATATGGATACAGACCCGTAATTTTATGCAGTGGAATAGGATGCTTTGAACTAGACTGTTAATGAAATCTTACTTTGGTTTCCATACTATTAGTTGTTTCCAGATAAAGAGCAGAATGGGGATAACTTGCATTGATAGTTGTTCAAAGTAGGATTATTGAAGAATCTGTGATTGTGTGTCAGGTATCGTCATCACTTGGCAGAATAATTGTGCCTGCAACGAAAAGATTTCTATCTCAGATGGTTGATGTATTTATAAAAATTTACTGCTACATATTATATGTTGTCCAAGGATATCTTGCTTTTGGGTACAATTTATCTAGGCTTTGACATCCGCCTTTCACTTTTAATGTTCATTAGATTCTATTGTCAAAATATATTTAATCTTTTTTGAGAAAATTATTTGTTCCATATATCTATTTTTTGCAGGAAGGGTTGTTGTTATGACCAAAGCTTGTTTACTTTATATGGGGATTCCATATTGGAAGATCTGGTGATAACTTTAGCAGATGGGATAGCAAGCACTTATTTGGAGCTTATTTCTGTTGATGGTAATTTGTCAGATGAAGTGAATAGTCTGGGTTTAACTATCTGTAATTTGTCTACTCGTGCTCTCCAAAGGTTGCGTAATGAGGTATGGCTCTGTTTCTTAGTTAGTTTAGTGGTAGCACCTGTTTGTCTTCAATTCCTTATTATATAGCTCCTGTCTGTGAGCATACTTTCTGAGTTCTGTTCTTCTAGAAGCAAAAGAATGATGTTCTTGTTGTGTGGTTTGATGGATGGGCTGATTGAGCATACTGGGTATATTGACTTAGTGCTGGCAATTAGCAGGTCAATAACTATTCTTATGGCAGAAATCATCAAGGCTTTTTATCTTTTTTCTTGCCCTTACCTCCTTTGCATGTCAAGCTCCTTACTGATGCATACATGTTGATCTGTTTCATTTTATGCTTATAAAATATTTACATCCAGATGCTATGGATAAAGCTCGCATGAAGACATATTTCTTAATTGGATTGGAGCACTTTGATAGTGTTTATTTTCAGCTCTCATTTCACATGAGCTGTATGGTGAGGAGGGAATCATTTCTCAAATTTGAAAGACTAAGATTTTCTTAAAACTTTTATGTGATATTAGTGCTGGTTTTAAAATCTGTATGGTTTTTGAGTTAGATAATACGGATATATGCAATATGAGAAGATTTAAAATTGTTCATATTAATGCACTATAGATCTTTGCTTTAGGTATCAGGACTTCTGGTTATAATTTCATCAAGATTTTAAAACATGTGCTGGTTAACAGGTGGCTTTAAACCAGTGGTTGTATCAGAATCTGGAGGCAATTGTATCAATGTATGAGGATCGCTTTGACTTATGCACACTTAAGAGCCAACTCATTGGGGAAAAAGGCAGTGATTATGCTGAAACTTATAGTTGGTGGAAGAAGCTTACACTAAGAAAATATGAAAGTGTGTCACCTTCATTCAATTATGTTGTGATAAGCCATTTCTCTATGTCTGTAAAACGCACCAAGGAATTAAGAGCCTTGACAGGGTGGTATGTTTTTCTATACCCTTTCCCCCTTGAATAAGTTTCTTTGCTCCCATCCCTCATTAATCACAGTCCTTTGGTGGATGCAGATTAGTCTTAAGAGTCAAAGAAAATCTATGACACTTCTCTCGTATTTTTATTACTGGTTAATTTTAGTGGCTGGGATATTCCCTCTTCTATAATTTGTCTTGGGAAGTATTTAGGTTACGTCTTCTGCAACAGATATGTGCATTAAGGTGTTGTAGTATCTCACATTGTGCGGACAGTTTTGAAAACTACGAAACTAAACATGATGTGGTGGAGTGAATAAAAAAAAATTGTCGAAGTGGTAATTCCATGAGGATATATGTCTGTACCAACAGTTGGCATTTTTGGGGAGTACAGATTGAGAAAGTTACATGTCGTTGAATTTTGACAAGGATACCGCAGAAAGATGGCATAGAGTATGAGAGTGTAGCTGGTGGCAAAGGCTATTGCCTTGATAAAAGTATACTCTCGTAGATACATGAATGCCTAAATACATTTGCTAAACCATTTCCCGGCATGCTTGTGTGGGTTTCTATTTATCAATCTAATTTTAATGCTTCAGCCCAATAATTATGTTTCAACTGCATGAGGAGCAGAGTTAGGCTTTGTACTTCTAGTGGAAAAGTAACTTCCTCAATTTGGTTTGTTCCCTGTATGATAATTGAAGTTCGAAAACCTTGTTCCTCCCTACAACCTGTCAAATCAGTGATGAGCCATGCCTAATGTCCACTTTACCTTTAGCAGATCTTCATAAAACAGAAATCATTTCTAAAGTTAAGGTGTGGATTTTAGGGATGTTAGAGGCACATAGTAAATGACTAAAAGGTTCTCACAATCTTTTTACATGAGTATTTAATGAATATGTGAATATAATAGTATGTATTAGTGTATTATATACACTTAAGGATTAAGGAAACCATTATGTCTGCATTTAGAGCAAATAAGTACCATGACTTTGTAGTTCAATCTTATGATGTTGCTACATGTTTCAGATAGTATCTGATTCTTATTGTTTATAAACTCAGGTGTATGTTTGAATCTAATATTTGCTTCTTTCATTACAGGAGGTACTATTTCAGCCTGTTCCTTGAGTTCTCTGACATTAGCATGCCTATAGTTAGAGCTATCATTGACAAAGTGACCAATGCCATCTCATTCTTTCTAGTTTGCTTGATTGGGAGGTCATTAGGACTCATCTATACTGGAATTAGGCAGTCACTCAGATGGAAGTGAGATGTAAATGGTACCTTTTTTATCACAAATTTCTATTAGATTCATTTTTGCTTGATGTAGCAGTCCATGGGAATGTGATCTGCATTGTTACACTGAAACCTTAATTTTTTGCCTTGATGCTACCTGATACTTCTGTAAATCTTTCGGTCAATAAATTGAGGAGTTGTTTCAGTTCTATGTTAAGAACACTGTTTACTGTTGATGTGTGATTTTTACCAGATAGTTGCAATTCCATTTATGCCCATTTAATGTGGAATTTGTCCTTCTATTAGCTGTCTCCTCTCCTTTTCTTTTGTTTTTGTGGCTTGTGGATAGAAACCACCCAGGCTTTAGAGCCATATGTGGTCATCAAGTTACTTTTAGCTTGTGCATGTGTGTGAGTGATTTGTGTTTGTTTTTGAGTTTGAGAAGAAGACTTGAGTCTTTTTCTGAAAACAGACATGGGAAGATGACAGGCACAGAAACTATGATACTTTTGAAAAGATTGCAAAAGCAAAAGTACATTTCAGAAGCTTTTTATTATACATTAATCAATTCATGGTGCCTACAACTTTCTATAAAGCAATGCATTCCCGTTCTGAAACTGTGAATTGAGCTTCCCTGGCTAAGGAGATCCGTTACTTAGAAAAACTGGGGTTACTGAAATTAGGGCTAGAGTTCTACTAGCTCAAGACATACACACTTTTTGCCTTAGGATTTTGCTAGAGTTGTTATTTGCATTGAGAGGCTTGAAAAGAACAAGACTTTTTGTAGTGTGGAGAAATCCCATTTCTCTGTGTCAACTTTTTATTATCAAACACTTGAGGTTGACAAAATGGTCAGGAAAAGGAAAATGAGAAAATGGAAGAATAGGTTTTGCATGAAAGGGTTGATGATCACTATCAAAACTTAAGAAAAAGGAAGATCTCAAAATACAAGGCTGGGTGTCTTCTCTCAAAAAATTGTGGTGAAACTTTCATGTGCTAAAATTGTAGAATCATCAAATATTTTAGGTGTTATTGTGTTTTTTTCTGTGGACCACACTGGTCTTGTCCACTTTCTGATTTTTATTTTTTTTTGGGCTTCGTGAAAGCAACTTTTCATGAAATTATTTAGGCAGCTGGAATTGTTATGATTTGATATTGATTTTGATTATGCAAGAGATTTCATTGAAGAAAAAAAAAAAAAAAAGAGAAGCAAGGGAGAACTTACCTTCATCCCCCCAATCTATCATTGTCCTCTCGCTTCAGTTCTGATCATAACGGGTGGCACTCCGGAGTATTGGTGAGTTGTTCTCGTACTGATATTGTCACTAATACCAATTATGGGTTTTTGTTTAGATATCTTTTTTTTTTTTTTTGATGAAATGTTTAGATATCTTTAGTTTCAATTTTAGCTCCAATTAAGTATGATTAACGAGTAAACTTTTCCGTAGAAAATATTAGTTGAATCAGGATTTCTCAGTGTTTCATATCAGATTCAAAAGTCATATTATCTTTTTTTGCATGTCTAAAATTATAATCCCACATCAATTAACCTCTCTTTATTTTTGCATACAGAAATCAGTAATCGAGTGACTGTAACTATTGCTACTAGTATCTTTGCGTTTGGTGATATTTATTCTAAAATATATAATTCAATTACGCATTCAAAAATTCCGAAGCAAAAACCAAAAGCTGCACAAAACATAGTAGCATCACTTTTATTTTATAGCAAAATCTTTAGAAAACAACAAAACCATTTTCTTTCAAAGGACCAAATTGTTTGAATTATTGTGAATGATTTTACAACTAAAGTAGTAATGTTTCTTGGCCCCTAGTTTCAGAAATAATGTTTGTCTTGTTACTTTTCATCTTGCGGAATTGCAGCATAAGCATACTTTTCAAGCTGGCGTGTCTTCCTTTTGTCTACATCACTGGTCTTGCCATAAATATCAGTTATTTTGGTTAATAAGTTTTTTTTTTTCCTTGGAATTGCTGGCAAATTTAAAGCATATTAACTTAATTAGTTATTGGCATTTTATGTGTATGCATGCGCGCACATACTTAGCATTTCTTTTGGAGTGATTAAGTTTATAGTTTACTTGCATGGCATATTAGCAGATTACAGATTCTGGGGACTGAACCTTTAATAAAAAAATTCTCTCAAGAAAATGCGAAAATTTGTCGAAAACTCAGACCCACTGTAAACTGATTGTTTTTCAATATTTCAAAGCACAATCAAATCTTAAGAAATATAGAAAGTAAAAATGCTACGAGTCTCGCATCCAATCTGCTGTGGCACAGTTTTGTTGTTAAACCAAACCCTGCAAAACTCTGATCTGATTGGGCTTGTAGTTGGAAAGTAAGGATTGCTGTCTGAGTTTGCTTGTAAGACATGAATGGAATTTCCTTAAAGGCTCTCTTTAGGATCGATCGATGTAATTGCTATCAATCAGAGAAGTGAAGGACATCATTTGCCATCAATCATACATCAAAGATAAATAAAAGCATTTGCGGCGTGGTACCAATGGTTTATCTTATAAATTATACTTACTAAGCTTCAACTTTATTACTCATTTCTGCTTAACTTTACATGCCTTTAGAATACCAGAAAAAAAAAAATTAGTCTCGTCTTTTTCTGCAATATTCTCATTCTTCCTTCTCACTTTCTCTTTTGTATAAATTATACATAGTTGGATTGTGTTGCGTGTGATTGTCTCATAATCAAACTTTAATCACTCAAATCTTCTTTTTACTTTACATGCATGCCTTTAAACTATACTTCTTTATGCATACGTCTCTCAGAAGAAAAACTATAGTCTACTTCTAGCTAGGCTGACTTATTGCATTTGAATTTGTTCTCTAAGTATCAACAGTCTGTTAATAGCTAAAATACTGAACTCTTACTTTCATTGATTGGGTTCACTTACAGTTTCAAATATATATATATATATATATATATATATATATAAGAATTTGTTCTCAATCATATTCCTTGTCCGAATAAAGAATTTGATGCTTGATCTTGGGGTCAATTGAATTCTACAATTTGAAAACACATGCAAAGGCCTTCCCTTCTCCCTTCTCTTTCTTTCTTGACATGAATGACATGAGTTTCAAATTCTATTTACTTTCAATAAAGTGCGTGATAGACAATTACTTTCAAACTTGCTGCAAATTTTCATTGTGCAGAAGGCTGCATATATACTTTAGAAGAAAAGGCTGCCAAAGATGAGGAAAGAGATTTAAATTTCATTCTAAGTTATTATTAGCTAGACAGTTGCACTCACCACAAAATTGTTGGAAGCATATATAGATATGTGGGATTCTAAATTTTTGTGTCTTCACTCTTTACATTTGATATTATATTGAATTTGCACGAGAAATCAATGGAAAGAAACCTCATCCAAAGTGAAAGTCGCCATGTCACATATAATGCTTTTCTTTTCTGCTGCAATTTTGACCAGCTAATATATATGAGCCCTGAGATCACTTGACCAAGCCAGAGAAATAAAGGAAACAAAAGAACAAAAACACCTTTGGAGGATAGAAAAATGATTATTTGACTGCTATCCTAAAAGTTTGAAGGCATTATTAATTATAGACCAATATTGGGAGCTTAACTGATTAAAAGGTTGAGGTAATGATGGCACATCAGTTAAAAGTATTAAAGAGGAGGAATCGAACCATGCCTCGCTACCATATCCCTTTAGGTTATACCCTATATTTTTTCAATTTTCTACCAAGGACTGTTGGGGTGGCCGAAAGTAATGTGTTAAGCATAGGGCATCTGCCCGGAAACATGCAATGACCAAATTTCTTAGTTATTTGATAATTGCTAAAGGCCTCAGATTCTGCATCAGCTAAAAAGTTTCTTCAAAATTATACTTACATTTCATTAAGCCAGGATTCCTATCTTTTTAGTGGCTTTATATATACTTTGCTTTGTTCCTGGATAGTTTATGCTTTTCTTTTCTTACCTTGAGAGGTAGAAAATTCTTTAATTATACTTATTGAATTAGTTTTGATCTGATCTCTCTTTGATATTATTCTGAGTGAAGTTGTCAATTTGTCAAATATGCTATTCCATGTGGTTTATGTATATGGGCTTAAGTACATTTGACCATTTGTTTAATTGTACAATGTAAAATATTAAAAATTCGTATGTTTGTATGATATTTTACATAAAAATTGTGTTATATTTTGTATTAACATAAAAAATATGAAATATATTTTTAATTTTTATTTCGTGTATTTTGTATTTTTTCTATTTCGTATTATGATATCCTATTTGAAATTATTTAATATAGGCATAAGTGGTTTTTTGCACCTCTACGACTTCAGGAAAAACCAATTAGCTTGAAAATGTTAAGATAGGTAGCGAAATGATCTGTGAATCAACTTTGTTCCGTTCCACCAGTTCAAGTTGAGCTGAGAACCTGCAATTGGTCCCTAACCCCCAGCCCCAGTTGGCTAAACTGGGAGTGAAAACAAAAACCTGAGAAATCTTGTTTGGTAGGGTTACTTATCTGACAAACCTTGATGTTACCCCTTACTAATTTGATGCTGGGTGACCCTACAACTGGTATTGTTGTGGGGTTCCAGGTAAGGTAAATCAAAGCAAATTTTTATCATGTAATTCAAAAACATGATTTTTGATGTTGCTATGAGGCTCGCACATTAATTGGAAAAACCAATGCATGACACCTGAAAAAGGAAAAAAATGTGATGAGATAACAGAGACTTCAAAAGAATGGGTGGAGTTGAGAAGTCATTTCACCAACTAGAATTGTGCATGCATCAAAGTCATGAAGGGGATGACACAAATGAACCAGAAAAAGAATAAACAGAGAATTTTCATGAATTAATTTACATGGGAATTAACACAAATCAACGGAAATGTTATAGTAATTTACCCAGCTGATGACCGTACAATTAGTGGGAAAAGAATATTAAAACATAACATAAAAATTTGAAGGACAGCATTATCGTATGCTTTTAAAAGCAATTCCTTGTACCAAATTCTACTTGGATTGGAAACAAAAAAAAGAAAAATACCCTTTCCAGCTTGAGATGGGAATTGAATTTTTTATTCACTGGTGGTTGGAAGGAAAAGGGAGAAAAAGAAGCATATGATTGACAGGTGGTGAAGTTACGAAAGACTGTTGGCTCTATTTTTTGCTATCAACCATGTGATTTTGTGAGTCACATCCATATCTACTACCCTAAATCCCATCCTCTCCATGCATAAGATTATATGATTAAAGGATATTCGAATGGATAATAAAATTAATTATAATAATATTAAAAATAATGGCAGAAACAAAATTGGTTATTGTAGTATTAAAATTAAAATTAATAATAGAGATATGTATTTTAGATGTAAATGCAATAATGATAATAAAATGAATTGTAATGAAAAAAATGATTGTTAAAGATGTTAAATATAAAATTATATATAATAAAAAATTTAAATTATAAAATAATAATATTTTTAATAAATAAATTTGATTTATTTATTAAATTATTATATAATAAAATTTATTTATTATATTAATTAGAAGTATTTTATAATTTCTTAAATAAAAAAATAAAAAAAAAAGAAGGCAATCGACGTCTCAAGCAGTCGACTGTCTTAAGGATAAAAGTGGAAAAAACACTCTCACTTGATCATTGGAGGAGGGTCTTCCTCCCATCACCAATCGAGAGCGTGAGTCAGTGGTATGCTTCCATCGTGTCGCACCAGAGGAAAGCCAAACGAATAACAAGCTGAGCAATTGAAACCAAAAAATGACCCAAATCGTGCCGCACACCATTCTTCCGGGGGCTTTGAAACTAGGCTTAATCAATCTCCCCCTCAACAATGCACACTAAAACTACTAAAAATGAGAAAAATTGCCATGATGTCAGCATTATGTCTAATTGATCTCTATATCTGTAGCTTTTAATTAGTTGTTGACATCTACTTTTTTTTTTATTCAAAACAAGAGAATCATTAATATCTTCAATATATATTAATATTTTTAGGATTCCATTTACATTAAATAAACATAGTATTTTTTTAAAAAATTGCAATATAAAAATAACAAAAAAAAATATGAATTAAAATTTGAATTTTAAATTTATTAAATATTATCTCTTAAAAATTAATTGAATTAAAATTTAAATTTATTAAACATATATTTTATATATATCTAACCGAACATCCATATTTTCATAACTATTTGACACCAATATTAATAATTGAAAAACTTAATTTGATATCTGGCTATACATTTCCCTAAAATGTTTAACCATATATAACAAAAAGTATGTGAATGGTACATAAATTGGCTAATAGCTATAACGACTGACACAAAGAAATGTCTCAACAAGCAGAGACTCTTATATGTGCACAAATTACTCTTCTTATGCATCCCCAGGGCAAGACAGATATACATATATATATATATATATATTTGGGTATAAGCACAATGAATGAAAGATAATGCTCTCCCATATTCAATAAATTTCCTGACATCCATCTGAAAATTTGAACATGAAACCTTTAGGTTTAAGTCTCAAATTCTGATTGTTGGACTTTCTTTTGAAAACAAAAAGATACCCTTTTACAAAAAGAATGAATTTACTATCCCTATGAAGTTTAATTATAGCTAACATTGCTTCCTAGCTTATAATTTGCCTCATATATCAATAATGCTCAATCACATCTTGACCCCATTTTGAGGTTTTTTTTCTTTTCTTTTTGTTTGATTAATTTGTTCAATAATGGATACTAAAAGCTATTTTAATGCCCATTATTTAATATTTATTAACTTTGAAAATTGAATGGTGCTGAAATTCTCACTGTTACTATGCTCAATAATTCATACTAATAACTAAATTACAAAAAAAAAAAAAAAAAAACCAGAGAAAAGAAAAATTCCATGACAAAAAATACCAGTGAGAGATGGTAGTTGAGAGCTTACCTCAATTAGTTGACAATTTTGGCCAGAACAGTGTGACATTGGATTTGCTGCAATCTAGCAATACTGCTTACCCAACAGAAGAAAAACATGTACTAACAAAAGAGGCTGTCTTATCTTTAAGAAGTTAAAATCATTTCTGATTTATTGGCTCTTAAGAAAACAGCAACTAAAATAAAAGTTTTTCTGAGATCTATACCATTGACTTTGGCACCTTGCATCCCATGGCCATGCACATGGGATTTTAGCTTTCACAAGTAGGCTGAGAATTAGCAGGATTTTGGTTTCAGCATCTAGGTTTGATTTCTTTAATTAATTTTCCATCATTCTGTTCATCTTTCCCTACATTTACTTTGCTCTTGATTTGATCACTTGCTCTTTAATTTTTTTTCTTCTTTTAAGAACTTATGATCAATATGACATCTGACTTGATTCATGGCGATGTGATGGCCTAGCTTTCTATACTCTAACTAAAGCAAATATGGTATAGGGTCTTCCTTTTTTTTTTTTTTCAAGAAGTGAAAAGCATAAAACTTAAGCTTGGGTTTAATTTTGAGAAGGCAGCAGGTAGCAAGTTTACTTCAGTAAGGTCTAATCAGCAATCAACTTTGCAAATGTTGTTTCCTCATTATGGCGATGTAGGCAGCTTTAGTCTTTTCTTTCATGGAGCTAGGTCCCCACCCCCAATATTTATATATTATGCATATAAATATGTATAAATATGATTATACAAATAATTATATGTATTATGCTATGCATAAAAAAATTGATAAGACAATAAAAAAATCTAGAGAAAGAGAGAGAAATGAGGAAATTAATTGAAATTAAAATCTACCCTTTTCTCTTCTGTTCTGTAATGCATATGTGTGATTGTCCACAAAGGGGTCTAATTATAGTGCCAATAACAACTTTATCATAAATTTTTGATAACAGCTATCACAATATTTTTTTTCGCCTCTCCTTATCAGGAAGTTGATTTGATTCAAGCTATCTAATTAAGTGTTTGATTTATTTTTTTTAAAATTTAGATTTGATCAATTAATAGTAAAAGAAGGGTTTTATATATTGTTTTCTGTCATAATAATAATAATAATAATAATAATAATAATAATAATAATAATGTGAATCAATTGGATTAAAAAATTTTGATAGGGTTATATCAAAGTATATACCATATGTTAAGGTTGACCCGTTTTTAATGTCAACATAGCCGTGTACGAACAAAACCAAAAAACACAGCAAGTAGCTGTAGGCCGTTAACAGACGGCGAATTACAATATCCCTGTTAAAAAACATCGAACATTATGATGAGTCATTGCATGATTGAAGAAAATTATTTATTTTATCTATCTATATATATATATGTATGTATATGATCTCTGATATTGTGGAGCTTGTTACCGAGCAGCAAGGGCCGATGCTTGGCATCAACCATCATACATGCATGGGAGACATTCAAGCCTTTACAATGTCGAGGAGAGAATTGCACCACTCTCTCAATTCCACAAGGAAGACTGAAAATTAAAGAAACAGAATAGGATGCTTTCCTCGTGGCCCTTTTTTTCCTTTGTTTTCTTTTTTTTTTTTTTTGGTTTCCCAAGATTACAAATTATTATTATTATTTTTAAAGTTTTGAAGGCTTTTGCCATCACTCTTTTTCTTATACTAATACTACTATTCTATTATTATGATTATCATCATATCATTCATCACTTTTCCTTTTTGGTGTATCACTTTCCCTTTTGGCTTACCCTCTTTTTGCTTTAAGACTACATATTTATCATCATGAAATTTTGGGTGTTTGCTTTTGATATTGATTTAATGCATAAGAAAAACAATATAATAATTGAATCATATTCACAATGTTTTCTCAGCCCAATCTCTTTCTTTAGGTTGGTAATGATCTCTCATCAGTCTTGTTTCTGTTCTTGGGGTTCAATATTTTGCTCAAAATTTCTTCTCTAATCATGTTTTCTAATTAATTAATTTGAAATCACTATTCTTTTTTACATAAGAGTTTGTAGTATGAGAATGAAAATAATAATTACAAATGTTATAATTATATGAATTAATTAAATTAAATTTTAAAATTTGAAATTATTAATTTACAAATGATATTAAATATTTAAAAGTAATA